TAAATAAATAAATAAATAAATAAATAAATAAATAAATATGTTTTTTAGATAAATGACTATATTATAATACGAGTAATTGATAATATCTTTAGGTTAAAAGGCTTTTGAGTAGTTATTTTCCTCAGAATAGTACCTAAAATCTGGTCAAAATATTTGAATTAAGATAGATAATTGGGAAATTATTATTTTTCTTCTTTTGATTAATCCCCAATTGTATACGCCTCTTTTTCAAAGTTTAGTTTGTTTATGCATTAAATTATTTATTAATTAGTATCAAATGCATATTCATACAATTTTATATTTGTTAAGAAAGATTTTAATGACTTTTCGCCATATAGTAAAAAAATAATCTAGAAGACGTTTAATAATATCACTAAACAAACTGAAACTATTGAAAGTGTTCGTGAAGAATTTGAAACGATAAAAAGTTATCTTTCACCCTTTGAATTAAAGTATAGAATTTTTTTTTGCGTAGTTTATATTAGGCATAATTAGATAGTAATAATTTCTATTAAATAATAAAATTTACTGACAATTATTATAATATCCGATTATAATTATTTCACAATTTTCTAAGTAGTGTTCTTGAAATCAGAGGAAAATATTTAGTTGATAATCTGATTAGAATCTCATATTGAAACCGGAGAGAATGTATTCATAATGAAGAAATAAAACATAATTTCAATCACAATTTTTTTCAACAAACACTTTAAATCAAAATCAATAATTACATGAATATTTTGATAATTAGTTTTTTAATATTTGATTAATGATATTTATTTAATTGCTTTTGTTAGCTGTGAATGCCATAATGCCAATTCCTATTTCAATCTCATAAGGTTATTAAACAGCCAGAATTTCTAGAATATGCGAAGTCAAATTTTTTTCCACTTAAGAATTTCCGGACCATATCGTAAAATTATTGCTTCATTATCATGAATTAATAACATATGATGAGGATTGTGATTTTGAGGAATCTATTCAGAATACTAATATAAAAATTGAAGGAGCTTTGAAATTTGAGATTAGTATAAAAAACTAAGAGCAATTATATTGGGTTACAAGTACAAATGAAGAAGCTTATGAGCTGTAAATAGATGAAAACTTAAATGTGAAGATATAAGCAAACAATCATTGGGGTTTAGCTAGAGCTCTTGATACCGTAAATCAACTGGCAATAAATAATGAAATTTAGAATGTAATCTAAATAAATATGATATTAGTTACCTATATATATAAGTGATGAACCATAGTATGTTCATAGAGGAATTATGATAGACACAGCTAGAAACTTTTTACCTGTAAAATTAATTAAGAGAACAATAGATGCTTTGGTAATTAATAAATTAAATGTATTGCATTGGCATATTACAGATGATGAAAGTTTTCCATTGCTTTTAAGTAAATATAGTTAAATAACTAATAATTCTAAATTTTGGAAGGATGGGTTTTTTACAAAACAAGATGTATAAGAAATTATTGAATATGCTTCAATCAGAGCAGTTCAGATTATACCTGAAGTAGACACACCAGCACATGTTCATTCTTGGGGTATATCTCCAGATTTATAATCAATTGTCATAACATGTGATACGAATATCAAACAATATGGATAATTAGACCCCACTTTAGATTAAACATATGAAGTCTTAACATCTATTCTATAAGATATAGATGATATGTTTCATAAAGTATAATTCATTCATTTTGGTGGTGATGAAGCTAGTATTTAATGTTTTGAATAAAAACCATCAATTAAAGAATTCATGACATAAAATGGAATTTCAAATTATTTTGATCTTTAAGCATATTATAGAAAAAAATAAAAAGACATTTGGAAAAATTAAATTAAATCTCAAAAGAAAATAATTTATTGGTATAATAAAAAAGATTAGCTTCCAGCTGATTAAGATGACATCATTTAATGGTGGGGTCTTTCTTCCTAGCTTAATGAAGTGAAAGGCCGGTCCAATTAATTCATACTAAGTGATTACCATCCCTTATATTTGGATACTGGAGTTGGGAATGCTTTTGGGGATAGATATGATAAATATTAAGGATGGAAAGATGTTTATAAGTGGAACCCAAGTATTCCACATAATTTTTAAGGAACTATATTGGGGGGTGAAAGTCTTCTTTGGGGTGAAACTAATAACTAAAATACTCACTTCTAAAAATTATTTTTAAGATCTTCAATTTTAGCTGACACGTAAATAAAATTTGTATAATAGTTTATGGAACCCAGACTAAAAGCAAGATGAATTATTTCCAAAATTCGCAAAGAGATTAAGTGACATGGAGGATAGAATGAACAAATATGATTTCCCTGTCTCTCCATTTACTCATAGTTATTGTAAAAGACAACTAGATTTATGTTTTCCAGAGTCTTATTCAACAAAATTAAAATTGTTCTTCATGTTTGTTATAGTTTATTTAATATGAAACTGCGTTTCAATATATACAAATTTATTCTAAGGATATCATAATAAAGAGAAAAAGTTTCACTTTAACAAGGCATTGAGTTGGTGTATTTTATTAAAAATGAATGGAAGAATTTAATTAGTGTTCAATTTTCATTTTTTTATTCTCCCTACTAATCTATAAAGAGTTTTATTTTTTATTAAATATGATANTAAGTGATGAACCATAGTATGTTCATAGAGGAATTATGATAGACACAGCTAGAAACTTTTTACCTGTAAAATTAATTAAGAGAACAATAGATGCTTTGGTAATTAATAAATTAAATGTATTGCATTGGCATATTACAGATGATGAAAGTTTTCCATTGCTTTTAAGTAAATATAGTTAAATAACTAATAATTCTAAATTTTGGAAGGATGGGTTTTTTACAAAACAAGATGTATAAGAAATTATTGAATATGCTTCAATCAGAGCAGTTCAGATTATACCTGAAGTAGACACACCAGCACATGTTCATTCTTGGGGTATATCTCCAGATTTATAATCAATTGTCATAACATGTGATACGAATATCAAACAATATGGATAATTAGACCCCACTTTAGATTAAACATATGAAGTCTTAACATCTATTCTATAAGATATAGATGATATGTTTCATAAAGTATAATTCATTCATTTTGGTGGTGATGAAGCTAGTATTTAATGTTTTGAATAAAAACCATCAATTAAAGAATTCATGACATAAAATGGAATTTCAAATTATTTTGATCTTTAAGCATATTATAGAAAAAAATAAAAAGACATTTGGAAAAATTAAATTAAATCTCAAAAGAAAATAATTTATTGGTATAATAAAAAAGATTAGCTTCCAGCTGATTAAGATGACATCATTTAATGGTAGGGTTAAACTAAAGAACTTTAAGACCTAAAACTCAAGACAAATAAAATTATTTTAAGCGATTATGATCCATTATCACTGGATATTGGTCTAGGAGATTCTTATGGTGATGTAGATGATTTTTATATGAGTTGGAAAGATGTTTATAGTTGGGTTCCGAAGCTACCAGATGACTATAAAGGATAGATTTTAGGAGCTGAAGCACTCTTGTGGGGATTTACAAATAATCGAAATACACATTTTTAAAAATTATTCCTAAGATCGTCAATTTTAGGGGATATGTATTAATTTTTTATCAAACTAGTTTATGGAATTCAAATTCTAAACAATCTGAATACTTTTGGTCTTTTACTCAAAGGCTGAGCGAAACGGAAGATAGAATGAATAAATATAAATTTCCTGTGTCCCCATTTACTAGTGGTTATTGTAAAATTTAAACCTAATTGTGCTTTCCATATTTTTATAAAATCTAATAAAACGATACTGCCAAAAATTGATAATTATTAAATTACTGTATTGAAATTGGTATTTAAATTTAATCATTCAATGCTTTATACATTTCTCTTGAAATGATTTTTCGTTTTTGACAATTTTTGTTTAAAATTTGTATTAACTTCTTAAAAACTACTATTTCACAATGTTTGAGATTATACAAAATATAAGATATTATTAAAAAATTAACTATAAATTATAATAAAAAAATTGACTTTAAGAATGTTGCTAAAATGAAAAAGACATTCTCAGCTTTTTATATATTCAGAAATATTAAAATATCTTTTAAATTGTAGGTTATTAAATTAATATTAATAAATCATTTTTATTATAATTATTTTTTTGAAAACTCTCTAAGAATCTAAAAATATTAATATGATTGTTCTTTGGTTCCCCCAAATTTTTCAGGAAATCCATTGTATTTCATTTCCGCTTATTTAAATAATTCATCATTTGAATAACCCTATTCAATATTTTGTAAGACAAATCCATGAAATCCTCTGGGATAAAGATCCTACCAATTATGTAAATGCTTTCTAAAAACATAAATTTCCATTGGCTATAAATAAAATGGGCATTTTTTGGCCATGCAGCAATTTTTGGTAATTCCCATGGCTTCATTAAAGACAATCTATTGGAAATTCACTCCTTTTTTTTCACATTCCTCAATTAACTCTTATTTTGTAAATGGAGCAATAATTATATGAGTTTCTAAATAAATCTATAAGTATTTCTCTTCCATTTACTATCTTAAATAATCTAAATTATTATATTGCTGTTCATTAAGAGAAATTAATTGCTTGATTTAATCATCAGCTGTAAAATCTATTGGTTTGGTCAGTACTTCATGTTATTTGTTATTGAATACATGACTAAAATAATATTTGTACTAGCTGATATCAAATTATTTTTTTAAAACTAATTAGTAAAGACATTCGATTGTTTTGAAATCAAATTTTGAGTCAACGTTATAAAGTATATTATCATTAATTTCAATAGATGAATCTACTTAAAAGGCTGACTCTTTTATGACTTTCTTAAAATCTTTTTTTAAAGAATATCTAAAATCTTTTAAATACAAGCACTTTTAGAAATATTTTTCAAGGTATTCTTTTTATTTGATTTCACCTTCCTTGCTTAATTGGGTTTTAAAGCAAGAATTTTTGATTTAAGGATTTCTGGAGTAAAATATAGAAATACTATAGACAATTAAGTCTTTAATATATTTCTCAAAGTCTTAAACCTAAATCAATCCACTTCTAAATGCATAAAATATATAGATTATAGCTTTTGACAAAGAAATGAATTGTTCATACTCTTAATCTTTTCCCTACAAAGCCTAAGCAGTTTGATTAATTATTTTATTTAAATAATCTTCAAATTATTTAGTTCCACTATAAATAATTTTAATAGTGGTATAAATCAACTCTAAATGTTCAAATTTCCATTAAGTATCTGGCTCTTATAAAATATATGTTAGTGAGTTAGCCAGCAATGCTAAATATGATTCTTCATAAAGTGTATCTACATTTTATTACACCATAAAGGTCATGAGCAACTTAATAATTCTTGATCTTAAAATTGGTTATAAATCTTGATCTGTTTCGTTGAACAAAGGAAGTATACAATTTATTTCTTCCTGTTATTAGCCTCCTACATTTAATTGAACCTAAAAGTTATTTTTAATCAAATAACCAGAGTCTATTACTTTATTTTGCTTTGCAAAATTGATGACATTTACCAACCATGGATTTACTTGAGATCCTTCAAATCTTTTAACTTTTATACCTTGTCCAATCAATGGGAAGGTTTCTGCAAAATCATATTGAGATTTAATGTATTTCATTGATTCTTCCATTTATACAGGATCCCTTAATATATCTCTAAAATTTTCAAGTGTGATAACTGATCTTTCTTATCCTTGATCATTTTACTAGTTAAATTGTGTATTTTTAAGAATTTCGATAAATTCTTATTTAATAATTTAAAATTCTTCTATTGTAATTCCTTTGAGAGCTAAAGCTTTTTATAAATGTTTTCCTGTAATTGTGCCAATCATCAATCTTTTTGCTTATTCAAATTCGCTCAATTATTTTGGATCTACTCCTTTCATTAGAGCCTCAATTTCATTTATAAAAAATAAAAGTTTTGTGCAATACTTATAAACAAATCCCTCTTTAGCTCTAACGTGGAATGATTTATCCGAGTTCAGGATATCATTCTAAGTAATTGTTAAAATATCAAATCCTAATTTTGCATTAAGATGACCAATAATTCTCCTCATAATATCTAAACATTATTAGCATTATTCAGGTAATTATTACTTTTATTGAATAATTTTGAGTTATAGATTTTAAACCCATGATCTAAAAATATCAATAGCATCTTCAATAGTAATTTAATCTTCTTTTATGCTGTCCAATTGAATATTCAATCCATCACTAATTATTTTAAGATCATTCTTATAACATATACACCATTAACCTTCAAATACTTCTTTAGTGATTTACTCATCATAAGGGTACAAATTAACATATTAATTTAGCTACAAAACTCTAGCAGGGTAGAAATATGATTTCATGGTTTCAAATTTGTTAAAAAAGGCCTACTCACTTGAGTATTCTATTAAATAGATGGCAGGTATTTGAGGATCTCCTCTATGATAAAGTTCTCTTAAATTCATTGCTAGATTAGTGGGAAAACCTTTTTCAACTCCTAAGCATATGAAATTAATGCGATGATTCAACAAGTTACCTTTGAGTTGATTTTTCATTCTGGTATCCAAAGTTTTTACTGAATTATCCTACCCATCACTAATGAATATCACCGTTATATTATTCTGTACAGGAACATTAGCTAATTGTTTTTCAAATTCAACGAAAGCAGGAACGATTTCAGTTCCACCTCCTCCGTGTCTACCAATATCTGAATTTAGCTCTTTATTATCTTTCAATACTGTTGGGTTATTTGAGAATGTAATTGCAATTAAATTATCCTTAGGAATACTCTTATTCCAGAAATTAGCCAACCATCCCCAACAATTACTCATAGAACCTGAAGCATCAATTACTCCAATAATTGTGAGATTTCCTTTATTAATTGTTGCTGTTTTCTCATTCTTTGTTAATTCCTCTAAAAAAGGAATTTTGTATAGATTCATATTATTCTAATCCATTTAAAATATATGATTTATGAAAAATAAAGTTGTGTTTTAAACTCTGAATTAATTCTTTCATAATAGTAATTATATATATATTGTCATTATTATAATAATTATTATAAAGCTGTGATATCCATTTATAAATTCATTATTTTATCTTATATAACTTCATCTAATAAGCTTTATACAATTTTATTTGGTTGATTTGGCTTTAATTCCTCCTTTTATTAAATTAATTTGAGTTCTTTTAACTTTTTTTATTTCTAGCTTATCATATCAGCAATTTCATGATTTGGCTCAAAGAATTCCTGATCTGAATATGTTGAATAAAAGTTTGATTAAGCTTTATACGAATTCTATTTAATGGAATCATTTTCATTTCTAAGAAACTAATTTTCCATAATTAGTTAATTCACTATATTGTCTAAGCTTAAAATTTATTGGGTCAGCTATTGATTGGCTTAATAGGTATCTTTATTGTCATTCAAAAGACGAGCTATTTAAGTGTCTTAATAGATGCATTTTTCTTCAAAATCCTTCAATTATTATTTTAGTTATTCTTATTCATTCATTTGTAATTTAAAATTCTAACATTTTATTATGTTTTATTTTATTAAATATAAATATTAACTAATGATGTTCAAAGCTTTAATTAAAGTGAATTAAAAAAGAAGTAAGCTCTAAAATCAAAACCAATATAATTATAAGCCAAGATAAGCATTATTGAAAGTAACCAGTGAATTTATTACCAAAACATAATATATATAATACTCATTGTTCGGTTTTGAGTCTTCTGGACACCTTCATTTCGTTGTAAAAATGACTTTTTGGTTATTCTTGTCTTAGTTTTTATACAATATTTCTAATTTTTTCTTTTGAAGGTTGACTTTGAGATTTAACAGATTGAGTTAGTTCGCCCTCCTCATGTTAGATTACTTTGAGTTTTTTAATTTGATTAGTAAAAGTTAACATTTTGGTTTCTAATCGTGGTGATATTTAAATATAGTAGTCTTCTTTGGATGATTCAGTTTTAAGGCTTTTTGGTGAATCTGAATGATTATTCAAACTATTGTTTAGTGATTTTTTCACATTGTTGCTTTTCTTCATCATAGTTAAATTCATTGAGTTTTTAATACTATATGACATGTAAGGTTTAAATCTTGTTTATTTTTAATTAATTATTAATCTCTTTAAATTGGCTATTCTTCCCTTATTAATTTAAGTTTATTTAATGATTCTAGTATTTTCAGATGTATTTTGAATTTATATGGTTTAGATTTTGCATATTTGTAAAATATAAGAATCAATTATTGCAAAAGTTAATTAATAAAATGGAACTAATTTTTTAAACTTAAGGTTCACTATCCCAGAACTACTTAGTAAATGGTATTTAAATCAAAAATAGAGTCTATTCTGTAACTTTGTTTTGTGAATTTTATGCATAAATACAAAAATATTCAATAGCGAAAAATGATTAATTTCAGAAAGGAGTATATCAACACTCTTAGAATGAATATTTTCTATAAAAAATTGAAATGATTTCATTTTTTATTATTGAGTTTTTCATTATCAATATTGTAGAATTAAATTCTTAGACTCAAGAATTGATCCTTTTATTTTTATTTTTTATATTAAATTGGTAGAATTAAACATTCCTTATATTTAATTTTATAAATTGTGGTAAGCTGTTGGAATTATGCTGTCTTAGACTAATAGACTGGAATAATAATATTCCTTATAAAATTCAAAATTTTTTAGAAAGGGAAATTCCAAAGAGTGAGAAGTAATACTTAAAATTCAAATTTGAATACCAACATCTGACCATTCTTTTTCTAAAGGAAATATCTTTTATTTTTGTAATTCCATTTTGATAATAAGTATCATTTAATAAATGAAATTGATATCTATAATTTATATGAAGGTACTTATTAGCATAATATAATAATAGCTATTAAAATTAATATTCATTTTCTTGTAATTGGTTTATTCATAATTCTTGTGACATCACTTCTGATATGTCTAAATTAACCAGGATCAGTGTATTTAGAATGTAAAGTGTAGACACCATCTAGATTTCATAATTTGTAGAATTACCTCCTAATGGCAAACTGGTAGCAATATCATGTGGATGAACTTAACTAGAATTTTTTTTATAATTGTCCATACTGCTTTACCTTAAGTTATTTTAGGCAGTTGTCAATCCTGCATCTCCACAATGAATCCATTGCCTTTGCACTTGAGTATTTTCTTTGGGATCGATGGCTAAACTTAGATAAAGGATTGATACAGTCTCTATATTTTTCACCTGTAATGACCGAAGTCATTTTCAAACCTTAATCAAAGGGATCTCTCTCTCTACAACCAGTTGCTAATGGCTTCTTCTTTTTATCAGTCAGAATTTCTGCCACATTATTTTCAGGTTATTGAAAGGATTATTAGTATGTAGTAATGGCATAAAATTTATTATGTTATTCGGGATGGTTTCGGAATGTGGAACCAAAATCTGTATAATTTTGATGTACTGCTCGATCAACCAATATTTATTGCATATTTGTTTGGTCTAATTGTTTAATTGATTTAGCTCCTGAAGTTTATGCAACTGTTGTATTACATTCTGGGAAGTTAACTTTATCAGCATTAGTTTTAATCAAAGATCTGCAATCTCCTAATTACATATTCTGAATATTTTTAGCATCAAACTTTGTTTAAAATTCAGTTCTGAATTCTCTCTTACGAATTATTTATATAATTATACATATCCATCATCTGGCACTATGATCTCTTTAGTAATATAGGGAGGATTGCGATTCACTCTTGGTAAAGGAAGTAAACACCCATTATCTCCTGGAATGGAAATGCCTTCCTCAACTCCTCTTAACTGAATATATGTTAAAATCAATTACTGATTTTGTAGCATTAGGATCTCTTTGTAATTATTGAGGAGCCAGTCTGTCTTCATACCAGTTGGCTAAATTATCCTTAGAAAATACCCATTAAAGCAGTTTTATTATACTCAACTTCATTTGGCCTTCGCATTGATATTATTAATTTATTTATATATTGAAAATATATTAGATCTGCATAATGTAATAAAAGCAATTCAATTTTTATTATCATAAACTTTACACTAATTTAATTGAATTATCTTTCAATAAGATAAATGCTATTGAATTCAAATAAATAAAATAAGTTACAAACTATTTAATAAATAGAAAATGATAGCTATTTAAATAGTGTATTTCTTACAAGTTACTAAGTTACTGAATCTAAAGAAATTCACATTATATGACTATGGACCTAATTTTTTTAGAAACCTGATTCCGCTAAAGAATATACTTATTTCAACCATTGAATATATATAAGATAAGGCCATCTTAATCAGTGTTCATTCCTAAATTTAATTTAATCATTTTAAAATATTGACATTATCTCCAAAATGTAATACTAAAAAAATATTGTAATTAATTATCTTAAAAAGAACTGATTAAAAATCATAATTTAATAAAGATTAAATAATTATAACTAGAAATTGAGAGTCCAGCTGTCCAAAATATTTAATCTTTATACTTACTAAAATTTATTGATTGTTCTGATGAAATAAAATACAATAAATACTAGATTTAAAATTTAGAACTTGAAAGTTTCTTTAGGTTATTTAAATAATTGATTTTGGAGAGATAGATACAGTTGTAAAAATGATAGAAGGAGCCCTAACTAGTAATTCTTTGTATGTTTAATTTTGCTTACTTTATTTTTGTTATAAGTATTTTTGTATTCTCTGTTATATACTAATTATTTTTTAAACATAATTCTATGTAGAATGAATATGATAATCTACAGGGCCTACTGCTAAATTAGTAATTCGAGTGGTTATTTGCAAAATCAAAAATCTAGTTATCTTTTGACTTTTTAGCAGGTATGAATCAGACAAACAAGACTATGGTTATAACAAAGAATTATGCTTATTGTTTATTTATTGGCATTTCTCATGTTGTAATTTTATTAGTTTTTGAATTGTATAAAATAAATTAATAAATAAAATAAAATGACTGATAACATTGAGAAGAATGAATCTATTCAAAGCTATATGAATTACTCAGAACAAAGACTGATGAATGAGGACTCTTTTTTAAAGTAGAAACAAACACAAGAGGAGGATCCTTAAGCATTCGATTAATCTGAAACTCAGTAAGTTATCATTTATGATTAAGTTCATAAAACAAATAGATTGATCCAATGTTGCAACAAAATGATGAGGAATAAGAATAAGAGATTCAACCCATTGAATTGAATCCGCTTTAAATATTCGAATCTAAGAAAATGGAAATCATATAAAATTGCTAAAAAAGCAAAACTCTCTACACTGATCCAGATTTCCCAATCAATAATAGTAGTTTATATAAAGACCCTTAAAAGCCTCCTGAATTTGCAAAGGATATTAAATCTGTTAAATGGGTCAGACCACATGAAATTTCTAAAGATGCTAAATTTGTTATTGATTTTGAGGGAGATTACAAATAAGGGGCTTTTGGAGAATCCTGGTTTGTAGGAGCAGTTGTCATAGTAGGACAAATGAAAAAATACAACGAAAAACAAAATAAATAAACTCAATAGTTATCTTAACAATAAATATCTTAACTTGAAAAATTGATATTAGATTATGATCAATTTGATGAATGTGGTTTTGTAGCATTCCAATTCTTTAAAAATGGAGAATGGTAATAAGTCATAGTTGATACCCTTCTGCCTTTTGATTAAGATAGTAAATAAATATTATTCACTCAATGTGCAAATCCATCTGAATTCTGGTTGCCATTGATGGAAAAAGCTTACTGTAAATTACATGGAAATTACGAAACTATATGTGATGGACACATTGGAGAAGGATTAGTTGATTTAACAGGAGGTATAGCTGAAATCAATTCATTAAGAGATCCATAATTAAGCAAAATGATTGAGAATGATTAATTATGGTAAGTGTTATTGTAAACACATAAATTATAATTTTTTATGGGATGCATGAATCACAATGAAACTAAGGGAACAAAAAATGCTGATACAGGTACTCATGGTATATTGGAAAATCATCATTATGGAATTGTGGATGTAAGAGAATTTCCTAAAGAAAAATTGAGATTGATGAGAATAAGAAATGTTTGGGGACCAGAAGGTGGATGGAATGGAGCATTTTCAGATGATTCAGAAGAGTGGGACAAACACAGAAATCTAAGAGAAGAATTAAAATTAGTATTTAAATCAAAAAAGAGTGATGGAACATGGTGGATGTCATATTAAGATTGGCATTAGCACTTCAATAAATTTTATATATGTAAGGTATTCCCAGAAAGTTGGTAATAATATGCAATTCAAGGAAACTGGTTTGGCAAAACTTTAGGAGGCGTATGTCCTTTGAAAATGCCATCTGAAGGCTTACCTGAATATATATAAGTAGACACTGATGAAAAGTGGTTCAACAATCCTTAATATAAAATTAAAGTACATAAAGAGACTAAATTATATCTATCATTGATGTTAGAAGATGAAAAAATAACATAACAACCTTATGTAGCTTGCAATCTAATGGTCATTGCTAACAAAGCAAGGCTAAGTAGAATTTGGGAAAGACCACCAAATTAAGATATAGTTATTGATATGAATCCTAAAGGTGACATGCCAGCTTAAAGAGAAATTACTTAATATTTGATACTCAAAAACTTTGAAGGGAAAACCTTTGGTAATTACATGGTTGTTCCCAATATGATTGTAAATGAAACTAGAAAAGAAGAGAAAAGAAACTTTATCTTAAGAATTTTTAGTTCTGATAAAATTGATGTGGCTGAAATGCCTGAAACGTTAGAAATCCAATAAGAAGGAAGTTGGAATGAGACATCTGCAGGTGGTAAAAGGAAATATGATAACGGCAAAGAAAATCCTAATTGGTGTAAGAATCCTTAATATTTCTTGAATTTATCTGTTAGCACTCATTTAAAGATCATCTTAAGAAGATAAGGATAAGTTAAAAGGGCCAAAGGTACTAAAATTGGAATGACCATTTGCAGATTTGATAAAGCACCTACTAATTCATTAAATATCATCAAATAACAAAAAGGAGGAGGAACAAGTATATTAATTTTATTTACTCTTTTTAGATTTAGTAAGGCTTCTAAAACAGACTTAATAATAATTGGAAGCCCCTAAGATGGTGGGAATTCAAAGAAAACTCTTGATAGGATCAAATGAAAAATTTAAATAATCTACTTACTTTAATGAAGATGTGGCAGCCTTGTATTTCCATTTCAATCCAACTGAAGGTCCTTTCATTATAATCCCATCATTAGATTAAGAGGATCGTTCTGCCAATTATAAATTAACCAGTAATTTCATTGTTTAACTTTTATAGTTTACTCTAATTAAGAAGTAGAATTAACGAAATTGGATGAAACCAAGAATTAAGTTCATATAGGCAAATGGGAATAGGATATTTCAGATGGTGGATGCCATCTCTATGAAGATCCTTATGAAAAAGACACTAGCAAAAGAACATGGACGATGAATCCTAAATATTCATTATAGTTTTTTGAGCCCATTCATATCACTATTACGCTTTGTATAGCAGAAAAGAATTGGAAGTCAAAAACAAAGAATACAGTGGGAGGTATGATTGGAGTCTACTTGATTGAAAAATCAGAGAACAAGATTACAACATAATAGATTGTGAGAGTTCCTAATTTCTTACCAATCAACGAAATTTAAGAAGAATTTGATCTATAACCAACCAAGAATGGTTATTATATAATGCCAACAACCTATCAATCTAAAATACATGGATAATTTATTTTGGCAGTTTAAGGAGACAAAGAATTTACATTATAAGCATTAAAATGAAATATATCAAATAAATTTTATCATAGATTTATTCTTTATTAATTACTTTTAATTATCAGTTATTACCCATCATTTAATTTGACTACATCCATATTATATCTATATCTGTTTAAAATACAATAATAATTATTATTATTATTCATACACATTTTTGTTATTGATTTATATATTGTGATATACTCTTATTCAAAAATGAAATAAATATATATACTAATCTTGATTGCAATTAAAATGCAATCAAAAACAAAGTAGTTAATTAATTATTTATTCAAAAAACTCGATTTCTTTTAAATTCTCTATTAAGATTTAGTTAAATAGATCATTTAAATATTTATTATACAATAAAAAGATTAATTTTTCACCCAAGTAGGTAGTTATAAACTTTTCCATAAATATATACTTATGATATGACGCATATGATTAGTATTTTATAAATCTATAAATTTAAGGCAATTAATTGAATTTTAATCTAAATAGTATTGCATAACTTATTTAATTATAAATAAAAGTGATTTATAACACAAATGAGTAATGAAGCAGTGGCTGGATTTATAGTTACAAAAACCATATAGTAAAATCCTTTGAGATATTATGATGCTAATTTCAATGATTATCGTGATAAAAACATGATTATGTATATTTAGAAGAAATATGCAGATCTAAAAAGTAAAGTTTAAATTTCCTGTAGAACGAACTGGAGTGAAAATTTTACCAAAACAAACCTTTGCTAATACTTAATTATAAGTGAAATTGAAGGCTTAAGAAGGCAACAAGGATTATTAAGGAAATTATGAATTGTAACCTGAAGTAGTAGAAATCATGCAAAGGGTTCTTGACAAAGAATAATTGGAAAACTTATTAAATTTTTAAGTGATACCTAAAAGATCTAAGAATTGGAAGAGAAAACCAATATCAGTTTAATAAAAATTAGCAATGTTGATGAATGACAAGATAGAATAGGCTTAATTGGATGATCTTTATAAATGTTACAAACGGTAAAATCTGAAACAAAATGTAATTTAAAAAATGAAATTTAGCTTAAAGAAGTAAAGACATCTGCATCCATGAAAAACACAAAAGATGCAAACAAAAGTATTGGGAAACACAAAGGATATTAAAATATTGAATTAGAGGACTAGGAACAAGTTAATTTTTTTATGAAAAAACTTTGTGAAGATTAAAATCTAAATGCTTGCACAGTTTTGGATATCTAAAATAGTAAATGTGAAGTTTAATTGTAATTTTAGATGAATTAACTTTTAAAGAAGATTAATGTGATGAAATGGAGAGGTGGAGAAATATAGTGTAAAAAAGAATCACATAAGAATAGTTATTAGAAATCATGCGTGAAGAAGAGTTAAAACAAAATAAAGAACTAGTCAAGATTTTCAAAGAAACAAGAATAGATTAATTTGATCCTGACTTTTTCAAAAGCAAAGTCAAAATGACAACTATGAAAAGAGTCAATTAAGCATAAGATTCTTAATATCATAAGTTCTTTGTTTCAACTGAAACTTAAGCTAATGGTTTAAGTTAAGAAGATTTTAGAAGAAAAACCCAATAGTATCAATCTCCAAAAAGTCACTTCATGGAAAATCTAAGCAAAGTCTCAAGGACTACAAGACCATAGACTAGCGTTAGTAGAACACTAAAAACTTAGACAAGTATAAAGACGGAGATAGAATTCAATAAATTCTTAAAACAATGCGATGTGGTTGAGACCAACTTCAAAAAAGAAAAGCATTTGTTGAAAGAGAAGTTTAGTTCTCTTGATAATATAATGGAAAAGGCTAGTCAATACTTATCAATGGATAAACCTTAATTTGAGAGAGAGCCTAATTAAGATTTTGAGAAATTCAAGAAACAAAGACAATTTAAGAAGAAATTTGTGACATATTTGATCGACAAAGTGGAAAAGTAATCTGATTTGTTGAGTGAAAAAATAAAGTAATCATCATCAAAGTAATTCATTGAGAGAATTCTATCAGAAGAATAATGATGTATGTAAATATAAACAATTTTTTATTAATATTCAAATTAATCAGAAATTAAGCTTGATATGTTTCTATAATAGATTGATATCTTCTTTAAGCAAATTTTTAAGACAGAATTTTAAATAATCTGGGTCATTCTTAATCAAGTTTTAGAAAAATTCCTTAAGGGCTTCCTAAAATTAATTAAATTAAAGAAAGTACCACTAAATTGATATTTAAACAAGGATCTTTAAGATAAGTTAAATCTTCTTCAGTAGTTTCATCACATTCTTCTCCAACTTCCTAATTAAAATCTAGGAATTCACTCATATACAACGTTGACCCAGTTTCAAGATCTGCTAATCCCTTGTCTTTCTTTTCCTTTGGATCCAATGACTTAATTTAAACAAATAAATACAGCAAATCTTTCTGCTATGTCTTATTCTTCATCATCCTTGATCTTTTCAATTTCAACATCAACTTAATCTTGGAATTAATCTCTTTTGATCACTTCATCATCATCATCTTCCACTTCTAATCTTTCATCTTCTTATTTGATATCGTTGTTATTTTGAGAATGAGGAGTGATTTCATTATCCAGACATCTAATCAATAAGGACAATATTTTGAATGGGGCATAGACATCTAAATAATAATAAATACAATAGTTATACCACTATTAATATTTTGATGACTTGGGTTGTAGCCTATAACTAATAGATTTTCTAAGGTCTTATCTTTTAATAAGAATAGTTTCATCAGAGCAGAGAAGGTGGCATTTTTTGTACCTTTTCCTCTAAACAAAGGTTACTACAATAACCATTTATCTATAAGGACTTTGAGAGCCATTCTGTTATCGATACTCCATGATGTCAGGAAATTGATTGACTCTTTTGGTTTTTCAATAATCATTCTGGCATACACCAACACTAAAGATTAGACAGTAGATGGCATTCTAGATCTATATATCTTGAAGACAACAGATTTTAATAAAAGGATGTCTGGATTTCCATCTAATAAGTTGTTTATTGTGATCATCACTAAATTTCCAGCAAATAATGAAGCTGATTCATTAGCAGAATTCTGTGGCACTTCCAATAATTTAAGATTTACCTTCATCACATCTTGGACTAGATTCCTTAAATTAATTTATGCAATTACATTTTTAGTATTTGTCCAGTTTCAATAATGATGAAGTTTTTTAAACACTAACTAGTGTGGACTTATAATTGTGGATCTTCATTAATCAGAATTAGATTAACCATAGAAGGTAATAAATTAATAAATGCTTCTTAAGCCTTGTTGTCAGAGCAATACTTGATGAAAATTGATGTAAGATGCATTATTGCACTCATTAATCCAATGTCTGTTGGCTTCATTTTACTTTTATCCTAAATCTTATTCATGTCTTCATAAAACACTTAAAAGCAATCCATAATAAATGGACAGAATACCTAATGATACTATTAATATTATTTACATCAAAAATATGTGGATAAGCATCTTTGCATTGACAAATCCTCATAATTAATTCATTAAACTGTTTGATAACAATTGATTCAGTATGGAATATACTGAAAAAGGATAATAAAATCTTTGATCCATTCTTAGCCAAAGTAGTAGCTAGAATAGATGAAAATCTAACTAAATGAATAGTTGATTCCAAGACATAAATAATTTGATCCTGACTAGCCTCTTGTAATACTTACAATATTAAATCCATTATTTCAGCCTTATATTGAAAGGGAATGTTGTATTTATTTATTTTGGTGGCATAACTAAAATTAAGCAAGTACTTACTTTCCTAAAGCTTTTACTGATACTATTTTTAATGTAATTGGATATTAAGATTTTAGATAATTAAGGACCGATTCAAAGAAAGGAACTAGTAATTCTTTAAATTAATGACTAATCAATTCAGAGTATTTTGTTGTACTCCAAATAGCTCTAGCTTGTAGACTACTTGAATCTATATTGAAATTAATAAATTTTATTACTTTTTCTTTCCAATTCAATGAGTATATTCTGCATGCACTTTTTAATATCGAAGGTGCTCTCATGTTTTTATTGGAATACAATAATATCTTCTGAGAAACTACCTAATAACAGATATCCAGTTTCTTTTCGTTTTTGAATAAAGGATTTTAAGTAGAATGAATTAGTAACATATATAGCTGAACTCTTCATGAATTACATTACGCTATCTTGATCAAAATCTTTAGATTGTTGTCCTTTCAATTCTTGGAAATTCAATTTTGATATTATCTATTGAGCCAATTCAATGAACTCTTTTTCATCACGATTCAATATCAATTTCTCGCCTACCATCAATATCTACTGGACAAAGGTGTCTCCATATTTTTCGATGATGTCATTAATCAATCTCAAAGCTAGGGTCCTAACACTTTTCTACAACAACTCCTCTTCGTCATTGAGAATAAAGTAACTAGGGTCTTTAACCCATTACCTTTCCTAATCTTTGGTGGCAATCAAAAATGTTGCCAAAGTATTCAATAATGGGAACGTACCAAACTTAATTAGGTTATATAAAGCAGGTTTAGTAACTAAGATAGTAATCAGTTCAATTGAATAGGCACAGAGACCCTCAATATGATTATCATAATCATCATCTTCATTTAAATATTTATATTCGATATCTAAAATTCCATATTTTATGAATACCATTTTGCAAATTGATAATTCTCTAATTAGTCTAAGGCAATTCTTTGGATTCATCTGAAAACAAATTGTCAATATGTTCAATGTCAATTTGGTATACTATATGACCAACATATAATTAGGTTATCGAATTGAAAAATTTCCAAACTGGAATCAATGACAATGACAATGATTTTCTACTGTAAACACCGAAGTCTCTAAAAACTACAATCAAAATCTTCAACACTAATTTCTTGATGAAAATATGTGATTTTGGAGATGTTTGCAATGCAGATAAAAATAAAGACTAAATAATGCATATAAGATCTTACCATCCATATTTAAAATGTTGAATCTAGACATTTGTTTACAAAAGAGTTATCAGTTCCATCTGCAAACGATATCGACCTAAACACCAAATAAACTAATAAGAGGATTTTCTCTCTTAGTTTCTCATTCAATTCTGGCTAAGCAAATATACTGAATCCTTTCTCGAGGACTGATGGGACGATCTCTTTACATAAGCCTTATTATTCTCCATTGGTTTCACTCAGCCTTCCAAATAATTGCAAAAATAGCTCAAGACTTGATTCTATGGCATTAAAGTCATCCATCCAATTCAACAATTCAATCAAAGGATTGGGCCAAATATGACTTGGGTCAAGGCAAATGATTTACACTATAATGGATGACTAACATCATATATTAATTAAATTACAATTAACTCAATAATAGGCATATTTGAAACATTCATAACCAGTCCATTCAACAGAAGTTCGCGTATCACTTTTCTTGATGGCTATATTGATTCCCATTATTCAATCAAAACCCCCTTCAACAGTATACCAATCTTTAATCTTATTTCGACTGGATATTCAGGAGACACCATCATTTTAGTACTCTCAACCATAAAATTGGGATAAGCAGTATGAAGGATTTCATATGCATTTTACAAATTTTCTAACGCTTACACAAAGACTTAAAGAGTTATTTCTGGTGTAGCTTCAGCCATTTTAAATTTTATATAATATATATTATTTATTTCTTGATCTAACAATCGCTAATATATGCTTTTCACACTCCCTGTGTTTATGCAACTCTCCTGAACTGTATTATTGGAGGTCCTCTTTTTTCTAATATTAATTAATTAATGACGACCTATTTCTTATACTTTGAGAATTTAATAATATTCTCAAATAATATCATATTAATGTAAGATAATAGTATATTCGGAATCATTTAAGAATCTAATTGGAATTCTGTGTGTTTTACCCTCAAATGTCAGAGATTATATGTTTGCAGCCATCAAACTCCTACCAGGAACACTATTCAAATGACCAACAGGAATAGTATTAATGTATAGGATAAATGGATCAAGTACATAAATATTAACACTTACACTCATGATACTGGGTAAAGCATTTTTTAATTTTAGATTAATCTATTGATAATACCTTTTTGGTCATTTTTTTAGCCTTGTGTGATTTCTTTTATTTTATTAATCAAAGATAAATTCAGTTAAAATTATAAGTCCTTTATTTCAAACTTGGACACCTTAAATATTGGATGATTGGCGATTTGGATTAGAATAGAATCCTGGAATTTAGAATGTAGACTTAAAAATATATTTTTACGAACCATTATTAGACAGTTATTAAGTGTATCATTTGCTGAAAACTAATATACTACTTATTAGACATTATCAATAAACATGATTCTATTCAGTTTTTGCTTTATGAGGCCTATTACTCATTATATCAGAGAAGATTTTATGTTATAAACATGGGATATCATAGCAAAAAACTTTGGGTTTATGTTTGTTTGGGGAGATATTGTATATTTACTTCATCTCTCTTGTATTGGAGGATGGTGCTTGGGAGATTTTGTGTAAAATAGTTCAACCATTTATCTGATACTCATCACATTATTACATTTGACTTCATTGTATATGAACAGAGATTCTAATTGGCTAAAGGATAGATACAGAAGACTTGGAGATTAAGCAATAATATGAAATCAAAAAACATAAATATTATAAAATAAATTATTAATTAGGGGATAGTGCGGTATATTGAGACATCTCAATTACACAGGAGAAATTTGGTTTATCTTTCTATTGCTACGTTTGGAGAACTCAAAGAGATGATAAGTTTTGCAAAGAAAAATATGGTAAAATCTGGTAAGAGAATGGTTAAATAGCTAAATCTAAGATAATCCATTTATATTTTGAATGATCATTATTATTAATTATTATATTTATCATATTTATTATCAATTTTATAAAATAATTTTTTTATTTATCCTATAGTAGTGTCATTTTTTGTTTTTTTTTAACTGTTTTTATATACCTAATTCTTTAAACTAAGTACAGATGGTCTTTACCAAATTTCTGATAATTATTTTGTCATCTGGCAATTCGTTAGTGATTTTAAAGCTCTAATGATCAATTATGGTTCTGATATCTGTTCCTTACTTGGGATAATTGGAATATTTTCCCCATCTTGAACCTTTATTTTTTTAATAAGTAACTTACTCTCTACTTAATCAGTTATTTCCAATTTGTTCAATTCCATTTATTTAGTTAAATATTCCTATAATCTGTAATTCTTATTAATTTAAAGACTGAATTTCTAAGTTTTATTTTTTATTCCTAAGTATGTGATTAATTCTGGTAGAGGAACCTCATTATCGATTAAAGTAATTAATCCAGACAGTATAAATAATTTCAAACCTTCTTTATCTAATTTTTTCGACTATGGCATTTGTTGTTTTTATGTACATGATAGTTATTTTTTTGATCGATGACTTACTTTTCTTACATCAATATTAGGAATATTCTATTAAATTTAACAGGTGTATAATTACAAGCTTTCTATTATTTTTATAATATTTTCCAAAATGGGCTCATCATTAATTTAAGTCTTATTAGTTCTTATTTTAGGAAGCAATACTAATTTGTCCTTCAATTACTCTTTGGCTTTTTCAATTTTCTAGTAATTCTACATCACTTAAATTAATTGGTTTTAGATGCTATCCTTTTAATTCTGAACTACAATTAGTATTTTTTCAATAAGAACAACATCTCTACCAAATTGATTGTCTAAATGAAATTATTATAAAAAAATTTCAAAATCCTCTAATTCCTTAGTAGCAGTATCAGGTAACTCCAAAAAAGATTCTAATTATACTTATTCTATTTTAGGTTTCAATCGATTTTCTTATTATAAATAAGGTATTAACCTTTATTTTGAAGGCAATATTTGAACAGAATTTTAACTAATTATCTAACCTTCAACTATTTTTTCTTTATGTTTTTTGAACCACAAACAAGTCAAAATTTCTGGAATTGGTATTTCCTATTCTATTGATTCGATTAATATCAATTTTACAACAAGTTTAAGCAACCGATAATATCTTTTTTAACATTTAATAGGCTTGCTTTCATTATCGATATCACTCTAATAATTTGAATATGCGTAATTCTTTATTTCAATTTCATTTTTTATTTCTGCCTTTTTAGTCTCATCATAAATCAAAAGTAGTGTCTCCAATTTTTCAATAAATTGTTTAACGATTCTAAAATGAGCATCAGCTTCTTATATTCTTGATAATCTTTTTATTTAATTTTTTAATTAAGGATATTTGACCAATTAAGTTATTTTTGATTTGAGAGATTCTTATTATTGAACTACCAAGTCTATCATTCTTATTAATAGATGATATTCAGTTATTTTAATCTTTTGTCTTCCATTATTTAATTCTTAATTGCACTTTAATTCTTCTGTATTTTCTTCCTTTATGTTTTTTGTTTCTGATTAATTTTGTTGAGCCTCATTGTATGAGTGATAATAAAATGCACATATATTCAACATATCTTGATTAGGATTAAACGTTAAGTTCATTCCATTTCCTCTATTTTTTAATTCAGCACAAAGTATGATTTCAGGAATTGCAATTTTCTCTTAAATCAACCAATTTACAATCACCTTAATCTTCTCTTTATTTAAAGAACTTATAACTAATGGCTAAACCTATGGAGTTACATCAAAACCTTCTGACTGAGTTTTTTAACCTGATAATTGCTATGCAGTTTCTGAGCATTCTATTTTAATGGATTTATTTCCTTAAGGATAGATATTTAAATAGTTAGATTACAGTAATTAGATTGATTCAAAGAGTTTATATTTGATTTAATTTTCAGGTTATTCTGAATTTTTCAAATCTAAATTTTATGGAAATTAAAACTACTTATCTTAAAATATTGATTGAAGTTCTTGATTAATTTAAGGGTTATTTATTTATTCTTAAAGCAATTCTAATTATCTTAAAAATATTTCTTAAACTTAATTCAAGTGAGTTTTGAATATCTCTTTTATTAAGTGTTCATAATAGTCTGTAAAGTATTCAGAATCATTCTAATTATGGTTAATAAGATCCTCGATTTACAGTTAATCAGCGATATCTTTCAGGGTTGGATTTACTGCTAATTGTTCTACCAAAATGTAGTTAGGTTGAAAGAAAAATGAGGATGGTTCATTATTATTGAAATTTAAGGTAATATAATGAAGAGTATTTGGACATGTTATATGGTTTAGGTTGGTGTATTTGAGTAAAATACACCCCACTTCTTAATAAACTATTTCAAATATTGATGGTTCTTCATCTTTTTAATAAACTTCATCATCATCAAGAAATATCTCATCTTAATAGACGTCCCCTTATTAATACATTTTATTATGTAAAATTATATCCAAAAATTTGCATCCAAATTTACAAATAAATAGCAGGAAATTTCTAAATCATTTCAAATATCTTTCTTCTTGGAATTCAATTAAAATCTCTTCCTGAGTAATTAAAGATTTCATAAGTATCATTCACATTCATATTTTGAATTCAACATCTTAATTTAATATAAAAATAAATAAATTTATTCTCTCATTATCTCTAATAGATAAGTTCAATTTATTTTAAGTTACTTTTTGCATCTAACTTCCTCTTTAAAACATCATAAAAATTATGGATTCAAAAATTTTAGAAAATCAGAAGATGGCTTAATAATTTAGATATAGATATATTAAATATTGAATTTAATTTCTAACTCATCAAAGTAAGAAATTATAAATGAAGAATAAAATATTTTTTATAAAAATTAATATTATATATGAACCTAGACTACACTAAAATATAAGACAATGTCAATAAATATCGATATGGTGTGAAGATAGGTAACTATAATGAGGAAACTTTTGGAATGGATATGACTTAAGTATATTTCATGATTGAATATAAAATTAGAATGCTCATAAAATACCCAATAGTACAATGAAAGCTACTTATGGTCTATAAAATACTTTACTTAATATGCCTAGATAATAAGAAACAGAAGCTGAGAAAGAATATTATGAATAAACAACTTTCAGTCATGGTGGGTTACAGAATCATTTATTAGTTGGCCATGGTTAGTAATCCTATGTAAATAAATGAATTAAATAAATAGTTTGAAACAAGATAATTAACATCAACTTATGATCTATCTCATAATCAGCAAGTCAAACCTTAAGTGTAAATACATTCAAAATATGAACCCAATAAAACCCAATTTTAATCACAATAAAAAAAAGTTGATGTGACAGATAAAGTTCAACATTTAGTTCCAGATTTATAATAAGCAAACTAAGAAAGACTAGTAAAAAAGAAAGAATTTACAAATACATTTAACGACAATTATAAAAAAATTCCTTTAAGAAAATGAATTTATATAGTATAAGAAATTTAGCATAAATTTTATATTCATTATAAATATTATATCATAATGAGAGATTTTTCTATAATTTTCACTAAAAGTAATGGAAATAACATTTATAATCATAAGAATTAAATAAAATTGAATTAATGTTGTAATATTATAACATAAGAAATAGCAATTCTACATTCCAAAAATATTCAGAGATATCGAAGTCTAATTATCATTGGAATTAGAGGCTTTAAATATGTCTTTAATATTTTATCAAATCGAATATATACAAATTGATAATAAGGAACAAACAAAAAATAATGAAGCCTTATAAATGATGATTCTAATAATTAGAATGCAAACAGAGTAGATTTATAATATTGTACTTATGCTAAAATATTATTTCATTCTTCTTTATTTGGCTTTACTCTCTTTGCATTCTTTCTCTTTCTTCTTCCTTCTCTGCCTTATCCAAATGGTGAGGTGACAGCAAAATCAACCAATTTTTCTGATTCTACTCTGACTAAAAAGGATGGAGAATTGACTAATCTTTTTCCTACTCTAATAATAATAAATTGTATTGAATACCTAAAGTGTCGCTATCTAATCAAAGTTCTGGCATGATGAATTGATGATGCTTGATTGCTTTTGAACACAAAGGTTTAAAGTCTTCTTTCCATCATTTTTTAAGTTGTCAAACCAAGGACATAATCCAACTTTCTCTCTTATTCAGACAACAAACCAAATCTAACCATTCTTCTGATTAATGCTTCTCCTTCAAATAATCTTCTTGGATCCTTTGGGTCAAGAGTCAACAATTCTCTTGCAGCCTTTCTAATTCTAGCCAAAGTGAGTTAGACTCTCCACACCTCTCTTTTGTTCTTTAATCCATACTTACCAATAATTTGCAATCTAAAATTGAATGATTATTAAAATTACTCATTGTCAAGACGTTCCTTTTCGAAAGGCTTTCTTGGTGTAGCTGAGGTCTTTGATCTATTTCTGTAATTCTTGCCCATAATAAAAAGATTTAAATATATTTAAATTTATTCACAATTAAATAAATCTCTCTGTTCATATTTCTTATATGACTTGGTTAACCATGCATTCAATTTTGTTTAAAAATACAATAGAAAGCTAGCCAATTTTTAGTAAAGAATAATAGTCTCATTTTTTGATCCACTCTATATCTAATAAGACTTAAACATTGCAAAAATGATATTGCTTATAGATGTATTTATAAGAGTAGAAGCTGGAATGATAAATCATTTTTTACAACTTGAATGATTTGAAGAATAATTGTTGAATGCATTTTTAATAATATCCTATTGAATATAAATTGGATGTAGAAAGAATAACATAGTAAACTAATCATTTCTTTTATATATGAATTCAGATGGAATTTTAAGTTCTTATAAATTTATAATCAATAAATCAATTAAAGAAAAGACTCAAGCATTCAATAAAATTGATAATCTATATAATGTATACATATCATTAAGCAAAGACTAACTAATTTATTGTGAGATGATTATTATATAGCCAATTGCATAAAAATTATTTATTTTAAATTAGAATTTCAGAAGAAAACTTAAGAATCTAATCTATTTTACATTTTAAAACTAAAATTTACTAAGCAATAGGTTATTAAAATAGTTATATTGGTAGAATGGAGTACAAATAATTTTTCAAGTGAAATTAATTTAAAATAAAGTAATTGCAGATATGATTAGTATAAGGAATATATAAAAAGATACTTATGATAATATGACGATGTATTTTAGAATTTCTAATTCAAGAGTACAGAGGGCTTGTTTGATACTAGACCAAATTTATTTTTCACTTTATGTAAATGATTAGAAATTAAATATGGAGAATAAAACGANAGTACCTAAAGTGTCGCTATCTAATCAAAGTTCTGGCATGATGAATTGATGATGCTTGATTGCTTTTGAACACAAAGGTTTAAAGTCTTCTTTCCATCATTTTTTAAGTTGTCAAACCAAGGACATAATCCAACTTTCTCTCTTATTCAGACAACAAACCAAATCTAACCATTCTTCTGATTAATGCTTCTCCTTCAAATAATCTTCTTGGATCCTTTGGGTCAAGAGTCAACAATTCTCTTGCAGCCTTTCTAATTCTAGCCAAAGTGAGTTAGACTCTCCACACCTCTCTTTTGTTCTTTAATCCATACTTACCAATAATTTGCAATCTAAAATTGAATGATTATTAAAATTACTCATTGTCAAGACGTTCCTTTTCGAAAGGCTTTCTTGGTGTAGCTGAGGTCTTTGATCTATTTCTGTAATTCTTGCCCATAATAAAAAGATTTAAATATATTTAAATTTATTCACAATTAAATAAATCTCTCTGTTCATATTTCTTATATGACTTGGTTAACCATGCATTCAATTTTGTTTAAAAATACAATAGAAAGCTAGCCAATTTTTAGTAAAGAATAATAGTCTCATTTTTTGATCCACTCTATATCTAATAAGACTTAAACATTGCAAAAATGATATTGCTTATAGATGTATTTATAAGAGTAGAAGCTGGAATGATAAATCATTTTTTACAACTTGAATGATTTGAAGAATAATTGTTGAATGCATTTTTAATAATATCCTATTGAATATAAATTGGATGTAGAAAGAATAACATAGTAAACTAATCATTTCTTTTATATATGAATTCAGATGGAATTTTAAGTTCTTATAAATTTATAATCAATAAATCAATTAAAGAAAAGACTCAAGCATTCAATAAAATTGATAATCTATATAATGTATACATATCATTAAGCAAAGACTAACTAATTTATTGTGAGATGATTATTATATAGCCAATTGCATAAAAATTATTTATTTTAAATTAGAATTTCAGAAGAAAACTTAAGAATCTAATCTATTTTACATTTTAAAACTAAAATTTACTAAGCAATAGGTTATTAAAATAGTTATATTGGTAGAATGGAGTACAAATAATTTTTCAAGTGAAATTAATTTAAAATAAAGTAATTGCAGATATGATTAGTATAAGGAATATATAAAAAGATACTTATGATAATATGACGATGTATTTTAGAATTTCTAATTCAAGAGTACAGAGGGCTTGTTTGATACTAGACCAAATTTATTTTTCACTTTATGTAAATGATTAGAAATTAAATATGGAGAATAAAACGATAAGATAAGCAATAGTTTTCAGTACTAGATACAAAGAAATTGATAGAAAAATATAATTATGTTATATTGGCTTTTGGATAGTTTTAATTTTAATATGCTATTAATAGATTATGATTAACACCATCAATATATAACAAGAAAAACAAAAATCATAAATTCCATAATGATGGTTGTCCATAAACAACAATCATTAGTGTATGACAATAAACTTTAAAGATTAGAATCAGTGACTTTGATTTCATGAGTGGCTTGCTCAACCTAAGGTTAGTAATGCATTTACATTATCATTTAATCTCCTTAAGATCATCTAATCCTCTCCTAAAGCCAAGTTAATATTTTGAGCATTAACTTACATTCTCCCAGTGGTATCTATCATTTTGTCTATGGTCTCATTTTGTTTGGAAACCTGCTATTTTTGCATCTAAACCAGTTCGACATTGGATTTGGAAGTAAAATCAGTTTCGGTTTCATAAAAATCCTATAATAAACATTAATAAATGATTGAAACTATACCATTTTAAAGACTTATTTGATTTCCAAAGTTTTTCTAAATTTCTCAGAGTTATTTTAAAATTCATCCAATAAGGTTTTAGATTTCTAGATATCTTGTTGAGAACTAGTTGATTAACATAGAATACAGATGTGGTGATTTATTTAATAAAGCTCTAGCCTATTTAATAGAATCATTGATGCCATCAATTTGCATAGCCAGTTGTCTATCTAGCTAAGAAGATGTAGTTTGAAATATACTTACTATTTGCACAGACTCGTTCTTTTAGAATTTAAGGTTTCTTTGATAAACAGCTTCTGAGATGGTGGCATCCATTTTTCTTATCTGTTCGATAAAATCTTAGAGTTTTGATCCTCCATCTAGTGTAGTATAATAATTCATAAATATAAATAATTTATTATAAATAGTAAATGTAATATATCACAATAATTTTGTTTTTTGGTAATCATCTGTTCTATTGACTAGTTTTAATGTGATGTTTTATTATTTGACCTTCTAATATTTATGATTGAGTATGCACAACACAGAGACGGAGATCACCATAAAAATACCTAACAAAATACATAGAACAAGGGATATTTGATAAAATGAAATGGTGTTATCGATGACTATGTTGTAAGTGGATGTTAATTGAATGATCCCCTCGTCGTCGTCGTTAATCAAAATAAGAATCCAGAGTGATTATTGACTATCATTGATTTCATCATCAAAGTAAATGACTGAAATAGTGGAACAATTCTATATGTAAACATAGGGAGTGCTGAGTCTTGAAGTTGGAAGTGGTTAAGTAGGACATTGGCTATCAGTTTATTAAAATCCGCATCTTTCAGTGTTCTAGGTTTTATTGGGGAATTGGAATTGTTGGATCAGACAAGAATATTTAGAATCGTTGTAGGGCAATAGAATTACTTAAAAACTTTTATTCTCAGTTGACGTTAAAGTTTAATTGACTTTTAGATTGCCCACTTTAAAGTTTTGTTTCTGATAATCCCCAATTACTTATCCTAATTGCAAATAGCTGTTTGGTTGAATAATTGGCTATTCGATTATTGTGGTCTGTTGTGAGTAGGTCATGGCAATCAATATGAATAATATAATTATCATGGATTAATATATATATTATTATAGAAGCCAAGAATATTAATAATGATATATAAAATAATTTTTTGCAAAAATAATGAATTTAAAACCACCATCAGAAAATGGAAGTGTTGACAAAATCAGTGATAAACAAAAGATAAATACTCTCAAAAAGGCAGTAATAGAATTAAGGGAAGAGAAATCCCAATTAATGAAGCAGATTACAGAATTAACCCTCAAAAATAATTAACTAACTAAAGAGAAAGAAGGCATAGTATGATATTAATGTTAACAAACAGTAGGAATAGAAGCCTAATATTGGTGTTGAATCTATATAAATAGCTAAACTCTAACAGTAAATATTTTTAGTATTTTTTAAGAGAATTAGCCTCTATTATTTCTAATTACGATGCTAGAATTTCTATTTTACAAATAGCTTATAAGGAGATGGAACGAGAGTTGAAGTGCAAAGAGGTTTAAAACTAGAAATTGATAAAGGAAGCGGAGGAAAAGACAACATTGAATAATCAACTCTAAAAGAATATCGAAGATATAGAGAGGGATTTATATAACAAGATTAAGGATTTAAAAGCAGAGAAGATTGAGATTCAATTGTAATTGAAGACTTTAGACAAGGAAATGCTATAGAAAGATGAGGAATTGAGAGTAATACATAAGGGATTGGATGATTCAAGATTCACAGTGGCACAATTGTAAGGAGAACTTGAAGAAACAAGGGGCAAGTTTATTTAATATAAACTGATAATGCATAATCAACTTTTGGATATTGAGTGTCTGTTTATTTTAAGACAAAATCTATTTAATGATTACATATTCGAGTTAGAAACAGGTGCTTAAAAATTCTAATATAAGGCGAATGAAATTTCTGACTTGAAGATTAAGGATGAATCCTCTTTCACCTTGTCTATGAAATCAAGAAGCAGGGAAGAAGTCTTCGTTATTATGCCCAATCAGGATTTGAAAAAGATCTGTAAATCTATTAAGTACGTCTATTCTCTATTATAGAAACTTTCTATTAAAAGCATAGCAATATTAAATCCATTAGTAGCCTACTCATCCATAAAGTCCAAAAAACAATGGGTTCTTAGGAGGACTGATGTCCATTTTTGGAAGTACTCAATTGAAGAATGGAAGCAATACAAATATTGAAGCAAAACAAAAATGATATTTTTATAATCTAACATATTATATGAGCTAAGAAGAAGAAAATAATGACATTGATGTTCAAGCTTTATTAGCAAGTATCAATGCTAATTTTGACAACGAGCTAATACTTAATGAGGTATAAAGCAATGCACAAGAAGTGCTTCAGGAGATTGATTAATTGTAATAGGGTCCCAGTGAATCGATTGTAATTGTCAGAGACCAACCCATACAGAAAGAATAAGAAGAGGTAGACCCAGTCGTGGAAATATTGAATAGGGTTGAAATATAAAATAGTCTCTTAACCAATCCAGAAATTAATTAGCATCAATTAGGTAAATTCTATATTAATTAAAAGAGACTGGCCCATTACAACAAATTATAGAGTCAATAAAGGACAAATTTGACAAGTAACAAGATGTTATTGTTAAAAAACAGCGAAATATTTTTACCTAAATAATTGATATCAGAAATATATCGAATTAATTAGTTAATGTTTAAATTAATTCTCATGGAGTGAGCAAGATGAAATTGAATGACTTTAAAAACAAGCAAAAAGAAATCGATTAGTTAGACATTTAAGTGTTTAAGACCAAAGGATACGTCCTGTCTATTATTGAGAGATTGGAAATCATGGAGTAGAAATTAGATTACAAGATAGATTCATATGTTAAATAGAAAGTTCAAGAACTAGCAAAGAAATGATGATGATTAAATGACTTATATTCACATATTTATATTGGAGAAATATATAATTAATTAAAATTATTACTTTTTATTAAAACTACTTGCTTATTTTTTCCAAACGAATATCAATTCTAAGTAGTAGTTATCACTTACTATGCTTTTAATTCCATAGAGGTGCATTTCATAATTTATTCTAAATTTGGATGATTTCATATTATATATTATTAAGATAATATTTAATTTTATATTAAAATGTCTAAAGAGGGCAGTGCTTTATGGTCACCTTTCAAAACAACTAAGGAGTTTATTGAAAAAGATTAAAAGATTACAAAAGGATTCATATAAGGGGCATTGTTTGCAGTTGTAGGCTATGGAGTAGGATTCTTGTTATTCAAAGGTAAGACACTGAGAGGCTTTAGTGCTGGTACTGCAGCAACTTGGAGATTTAGAGATTAGATTGAATAATGATTTAAATAATATATATATTATTAAGCTCAGCATTTGTTTTAGCATGTTCATCTGAACAATAAGAATGTGTGAATCAATTATATTCCTTTCAATTTGAAGTGTTTGGTAAGGTTTAAGGAGTCTATTTCAGAAAATTTACTTAACTCAAAGCATAAGAGTTGGATTTGGTTGGCTGGGTACAAAACACTAAGAAAGGCACAGTCATAGGAATAGCTTAAGGAAGAAGAACTAATGAGTTGAAGGAGTGGTTACAAAATACAGGGAGTCCTAAAAGCATCATAAAGAAGACAGAATTCAAGAACGATAAAATAATAGATGAATTAGAATATGATCAATTTGATATCATTAAATGATATATATTAGGATGGAAGAAAGACTAAAAACAATTATATAGACTATTAATATAAGTTATGCATATCCTTATGATTGAATAAATTACTAAATATTCTTACTTAAGATTAGCAGTAGCCAAGTTAAATAATAGATACATGTCTTATCATTATCCCCTTAATCTAAAGAGATTTAAATTAATATATGAATCTATTAAGATTTTAGTTGATTGGTAATTTAAGGGGTGTTATTATAAGTCTATCTGTATCAGATCTATTTATTTCAGAATATAATATTAAGTATAAATTAAATTATTCCCTCCTTTTTTAATAGATATTAGTTTTATTTAATGTGTATATTTTAAAACTACAGAACCTTAATCAATTCAGGTTAAATTCTACATTACTTTATTATCTGCTAGTTTTAGAAACATAGCCAATTAAAATTCGCATTATATGTAAATTCTTGATTTGATAACAAAAACACAAGGAAACATTTAACAAATGTAAAATTCCTGCCTCTACATAAGAAATTATAAGAACAAGTTCAAAGTCATAGTCTTGTTAGACGATCTCAAATTAATAATAAAAATAATCATTGTTTCATTTGGTCCTATAAAGTTCTTATTTTGTTTATGTATTTTTTGATCCATAAGAACTATTGTGAATGTGGAGATTGTGAATTCCCAAGGGTTTCTATTAGTAATTTGACTTAGTTTAAATGAGAAATTATCACATAAAAATAATCAAAAAAAAACAAGCCATTATTTGACAATCCTTTCAAATATTACTAAAGCTATTCATTATTTATATTAATGGACAATTCTGAGCTATATGAGATACAATATATATTCGGCTCTCAAATACTGAATAACAAAATGCAATACTGTGTCAAATGGAAAAATTATCCTAAATCCCAAAGAACCTGGGAGCCTATTGACAATCTTGGAGTTCACAACATATCCTCTGTTCGTAGATACCAAAGACACGCAGATTACTTTCTATTTTATTAGTTCATATATGAGGATTAGGTCGAAGGATATAGAGTGCATTAAAAATAAAATACACTTGAAAAAATTAAAGTCATACCAGACCCTTAAGAAGAGGAAGAACAAATAGACCAAGCCAATACAGACAAACTTAACACAACACTCAAGGAGACAGTCAATAAACCAATCACCACTCCTAGGGAAACTACCAAAAAGCCTAATAGATCCAGTAGAAAGTAAGCATTTCAAAAAGAAGAATATGAATCTCATTCCGATTCTAAAGATTCTGATTTTGGGAAAAGAAGCAAGAAATCCAGATCCAAGGCCAAATCTTCATAATCCAGAAGGAAATCTCCAACCTCAGCAGGCGATAAATCCAATTAAACCTAACCAAAGAAATCTTAGTTTGTAAAGTAAGAACAAGTAGAAACCGATGAAATCAATCCTGTTTAATAAAAATCCTAAGAAAGATAACAGCTCCCAGATCAAGATAAATAAAATGAGGACAATTTAAGTGAAAAGTAGTCGTAGTCTCCTAAAAGACAACAAAAGGTTTAGACAAGATTAAGAAATTTGAGGAATTAAAAATCTGTTGAATAGATTAAATCTCCTGCTTATTTCAATTAAGTTAGAAAGTTGATTCAATCCCTTAATGAAGATGAGAAATCACTAGTTGCATCCTGCATCAATGATAAAATGAAAGATAATATCTTTGAGAATCTTGGAGCTTTGTGCATATTGGATTATATGCAAAGAAGGGATGAAGTATTACTGGAAATTAAATAACAAGAATATGTTTATCCTTAAAGAGGAGATCCAGATGCTTAATTGAATAAATAGAAGAAGAGGATTAAGAAATTAGAAAAGTCATCTATCAAAATGGAATCATAGAGATCAACTGACATTGCTTGTCCTCCCATTTCTAAAAGACTTATTAGATTGTCTGCCTTTGAATAGAAAAAGAAGTTAGTGAAAAGGAAAGAAGATCCTTGTAATATGGCTGATTTCTTGGCTTCCATGAATCAATTCCCATAATTTGGAGTGGTGTCTACTGAAATTGACACCAAAGAATAGTATGGATAGATTGGATTCCAAATGGGTGAAGAGATAACTGGACATTATTATGGGGTTAATGCTAATGAAGTTGGTAAGGCCAATATTTAATTGTATTTTATAATGAAATTCAGAAGAGAAGGAGATAAAACATTTCTATACAATCATGTCACGAAAGCTGAATGCTAACTCTATGAAAAAGACTTACTCTATGAGTATGTCTACAAAAATCAAGACTTTCTACCAGAGATGTATAATGAACTTATTGTTAGAAGTGTTTATAATTAATAGTGACAATTTTAATTTTATTTTTAATTTTTCATATGTTATCCTATAAATCTTTATATGGAATTGCTAAATTCAACCAACTCAAAGATTACTATGCCATACTAAACATCTCCAAAACCAATGATCAACCAACCATAAAGAAAGCATACTATGCATTAGCCAAGAAATTTCACCCAGATGTTAACCAAGGCAAGGAGGATAAATTCAAAGAAGTTAATGAAGCTTATGAAGTATTCACTGCTCTATTCTCAGGTTTTGTCTGATGACAACATAAAAAAGGAGTATGATGCTGCTAGAGCACCCCAATCCTAAAATAGTCAAACCTATTAATAGCAATAATATAATGACTCTAGGAAATATTAATCTACATCTCAATAGAGATAAAGTTAGAATTACACGTAAACTCATTGGGTGTATTATTAGTCAAAATCAATACACTAGAAATCAATTTGAAGAAGCCATAAGAAGAGCATAAGAACACTTAAATTAGCAATAATAGTATAGACAATATGAGAGAATGAGGGCTTAGTAAGAGTATGAGGAGAGGATCAGATAGGAGGAAATGTATGCAAGAGCAAAAGATCAATAATATAAGGAGTTCGCACATAGATATTACAATGAAAATAAAAGAAAAACTTTTTATTCAAAGGAGGAAAAAGAAGCATATGATTCATTTGTTAGATAAAGAGAGTTCGAAGAATCAATAAAAGAAAAGATTGTATTTAAACATCTATGTCTAGCAAGATTTTAAATAAAAAGGATATCAGGTTATGGATGGATTCCAAAACATCTCCAAGAACCTAGGCGATATTAAGGGAAATTTAGGTTCAATATGGAATACTATCAAAGGAAAAAATAGATGAAACAATAATTATTTATATTTATTTATATTTATTGCTTCTATTATTGTACTTATTCTGTATTAGTTCTGATGGTTTTCATAATTAAAAAAGAATAAATTGTAAAATAAATTGAATTATTTATGGATTATTAAGAATTGTACGACTTGAGGAAAAAACTTGTAGACTGGAAAAAGTTTCCCAAAGAAACTATTTGTATATTGAAATCGTTAGAATAATCTCCACTTGAATGGGAGAATGTCAATAAATCTAAAATACAAAAAACACTACATGCTCTTACAATAATAGATGATAATAATGATCCTCTAGTTACCACGATCAAAGCCAAAGCGTCAGCATTATAAGATCGTTTCAAAAGACTTTCCTAGGCCAAGGCTATTTAAAGAACATCATAAGAATAATAGCAGCAAGCAATTGAGGAAATTAAGATCTAAAAGTAAAGTAGTGTATAGAGCACTTAGAGCAATAGATCATTACCTTGTAAGGATCTTTTTGAAAATCATCGAGTACCTTATCCAGCTTATGCGGATAGGCTCAAATATTTAAAGGGAATAAATCAAATGTTTATTGCAAACATTTTCACCTTTAAAAAGGACAATGTCTTAAATGACTCTGAATATTAGACTATCAAAGAATGTGTAGAAATTATGGAAAACACCATATATCATAAAAGAGCAAAAGATCACACTCCTAGAAAAGCATATGAATAAGATTTGAGAATTTTAGCGGGCTTTTTAAAGAAAGATAAAAATGGTTCTCTCACTTACAGAATCTTTACAAAAGCTTTTGATCCTGTTTCCGCAGCTTAACTAAGGTATTTATAAAATAAACAAATTAGAGCAGCAGATTGGGTTGATGACGAAACAAAGTAAGAATAAGCAAGAATAATTAAGGAGAAAATGGAAGCAGAATAAATCGGATTTTATAAGGATTTAAGCAAAAGAGAAATGGAAGGAGTTGAGGGAAAGACATGTAAGGGATGTGGTCAAAAAAAAGTATACCTTGTAGATGAGAAATAAACACGTGCATCAGATGAACCAACAACTAAATTTTTTGAATGTTACAACTGTGGAGACAAATTTAGAATTTGTTGATTATTAACAAACATTTTATTATAGCTTTCTTAAACAGAATTTAAAATAATTCTATAATTTAACTCACATACAAGTTAATCATATCACTCAAATTGTAACCACTGTTTTCTTTTCTCCACTTCTAACACTCCTTTTGTTAAGTGTAAAGATTAGATTTCTTCTTTAGTTTTTAATTTCTGATCCTCTTCAGGCTTCCAATAAATAAAATAATTTTTGTTTTCCAAGAATTATTTCAAATTATGAAAGCTTCCTGAACATGCCTTGAGAAGTGAGATCATTTTCTCAAATGGGATATCGTACCATATGCTCAAATCGTGTAAAGCATTCTAAAATTATTCCTATTTCAACCTCTACGACTATTAATAGTTAGGATTAGTTGGAAACCTCTATTCTTAATAGGTAGGATTAGTACTATATAAAATATACTTTTATAGATCAGTAAGTTAATAATAGTTTTATGGTTAAGGTTATACTTCTGGCTAAATTCGAATCTTTTTCTTCAACAAAGGTTCCTCAGAAAGTTTGATTCCCTTTTTGGTTAAGGTTATATCCTTTTTCTTTTTGATTTCCTCATTGATTTTACAAATTTGTAATCCCTTTTTGTCATAAAATAATATTCCCTCCAAACCATTATTTTTAATAAATTCTATAATTTATTTTAAATCTTCTTCTGTTAATTTCTTAATGCAATTAATATATCTAAGTTTTAATTCATCTGGTGTCTTATTATGACATTTTGATGATAATTATTCAAAATGTTAATAGGTTAATTTTTCATTTAACATTATTTCCAAAATCAACAGATCTTCATATAATGAAAATTAACTTTATTCTAAATATTAAACTATAAATATATTATTAAGAAACATTAATACCAATTTTCTTTTCCTTTTCTTAAGTATGTTCTGAAATGTATTGTTTTATCAATTGTAGCATTATAATTAAAACAAATTAATAATAATTTTATCATTTTTTATTTACTTTTGGTAAATACACTTTTTGATATGAAAATGTTTTGGACTGCTAGTTTTGCTTTTATTGTCTTGATACAGGCCTCAGAAATACATCTAACTATCTAATGATCTTTGGGTCCTTATCTATTTATCTTGTACAATCTAAAAACGATTTTAACAATAATGATCCTCTACTTTTAGTCTTATTTTCATCATTTATTTATGTGCTTATCATTTTGCTAGCATTTGATACTTCATCCATTTCTTTGATTTTCTCCATTGCTTTTCTCATGCCATCTTCAAAATCTAAAATTTGATTTTTGTTAAACTTGGACTTTTTAAACATTGGGGTTTACAACTACTATAAAAGAGTGCTCCCTTTTAATTCTTTATAAACTTGAGCCCTAAGTGGAGTTTTTTATTGAGAATTTGAAGAATTTGCATAAATAAAAGTTTGGTATTCCTCCTCATCCTCTAGAGGTAAGAGTCTTATGAAAGAGTATTGTTTAGTTTTCTATCTTTAAATTTTAACTCTTTGTATTGGAATGGGCACGGCATCTGGCATTGTTTTACAAATTTATTACACATTTGATTCAACCTTGCCGTCGTATTTTTCAATAAGTCTATGCAACTTCTGAATATCCCTTTTAGGTTATTCTAATGTTGGACTGATTAGTGGCTATTCTATTATACTAGTATTTTGCTGTACTATTTTCTTTGGTGTAATTAAATAAAGTAAATTTCTAAGAGCCAATAATGATCAAATGTACTTTGTTATTTTTAATTCATGTGATTATGAAATATCGCTCTACTTAATTTTTTCATGTTGAGCGATTAACTTAGGTACAAGCTTTGACTCATTTACTTAGCCTTATTGATACTCCTCCAATTATTTATTGATTCCTCCTCCACACTCTAAACATTCACAACTTTTATTTCTTATTAAAATTGGAAAAGTATCAGTTTATTAAGTTTACCTATATGTATGTAGTTTCTTCAACTATCTTTTATCTTGTAGGAGATTGTTTAAGATTCTTTTTTGCATTTAGTTTTATAATATTCATTAAACTATGTTCACTAAGATACTTATTTTTTTGATCGAAATTGTTCTAATTTCACTCTGGTATGTATTAATATGTTAAAATTTATAATCATTATAATTCTTAAAAAGTATTTATAAAATTATTAAAGGCTATAGTTTTTTTAGAAGTCAGACTAAATATAAAATGAAAAGATTGAACCTAATTTCAAGGATTATACTTGTCATCCTTATAGAATAAATAATTTTATATATCCAATGTAATAATTTTAAAATCAATATGTAAATAACTTATTCATGGTTCCTAATCAAATTTAGAGAAATATTATTAAACATAGAGATATTGAAGTTCTTGTGAGAATATAGATTAATATTCATTATTTTGTAATAAAAATATTTTCTTAATACTTTATTATATCTTTTTTAGTAGACTATATATATAAGATCTAAATCAATAATTATTTAATTAAATTGAAGCAATAATTAATAGTCACAAAGATCAATATTTTAATTGATGTGTTTCATCATCAAAATTTTAATAGTAAGGGTGTTTTTTTCTTTGATAGGGTTTTTAATAGGGGACACTCAAACCTAGATCACGAATTGTTATGATGAATATTTCATTTGGAATTATTTCATAGAAAAAATTGATTTCCAGTTTCTTCAAAATTTTATTATCATTCCACCTTTATATAAAATTATTTAATTCACTAAATGAAATCGAAATCTGTAAATAAGTATAGTCCTAATTTGATAAGCTAGTCAATTTTAGTAGTTTATGAACATTAACATCCATCTAATTAAAAATTTCAAAAATATGATAGAATGCAATTATGAACAAAATTTTATATGTGTGCACTACTAATTCTACTTCACTCGAAATGATTTTTACATCATGATGAACAATAGTTTTTAATACTTTCAAAACCTTTAATGCGTCAAAAGACTTTATAGTTGATGATTAGAATGTGAAAGTGGAGGTACAACTTAAATTTAGTCTGATTAAATTTCTAATTATTTTTTATTTGGGCAATTTAAGGATTTTGTAGGTGTTGCTGATATGATTGGTGATAAACTATTAAAATTTATTATAGTATTCCTTGATTTGTAGGTATTAACTCAATTCTGTTACGTTTGATTTGAAAACTATTAGGAATTAGGTTTTATCTGAGAATAATTCGGAGTAGGATATAATTTGGTTATTTTTAAAATTAGTTTGTATTTCTAGCTCTTGTTCAGAGTATTATTGGGCATTCCTTTGTCTCATTCTATCAATAATAAAGGACTCCAAAGTCTAACCTTAGAGTTTGTAATTTCTGAGCATTTATCTCAAACGACACCCTTAACAGTAATCTAACAAGAGATCGGCTTAACTAAGTTGTTGTTGATGAGCATTTGTTTTAATCAGATGAAATTAAAAACTTTTATATTCAAAATAATAAAATGGTTATTTAATTACAATCGGTATAAACTACTCTTTTCATATATGTAATAATTACATTATTAATCCTCTTTTAACTTTAGTAAATATTGCTTCCTCAAAGCCAAATGTAAAAAATAATAAGTCATTATCTAGGCTATGATCAAGGAAAAACTTAAAAAATATTACTATGCCATGTATTCATTACCAAGTACAAAGGAAAATAAAATTCTGATTGTTGATATGAATATTATCTAGTGTAAGCAGTGTTTAAATTCTGTTCCAAATAAAATTATCATCTAAACAACCATAATATTACACCCTTTGGCATATGCCTAATGTATTGAGTATGAAGAGTCCAATTAAAAGTACTCTATTGCACAAATATAATTTATAAGTATTAAACATACATGAAGATAAGGTTTTAGTTTTGTGAATAGAATCAATCCAATCACACACAAAATTACTATTACTAGTTCAATAGGCCAGGAGGTATTATTTTCATCAACTGAGTCAATTATGATTTTGAGTACATTATTTATAAGCACAATAGTTATAATTCCTAAGTAAATGACCTTCCTCGCCCATAATCGATTTATTTAATAGTTTTCTTCTAATTATTTCGAATGAAATGTCAACGTAAAATTATTCATTATTAAAAAATAGATTATTATTATAATAACTACTTAAACACTCTCAATTAAAGATATATTAACAAATTCAATCTCCCTTCTTCTTATTTTGTTCTACCCCTTCAGAATGTTTAAATACTAAATGTCTACAACATAATTTAACAATTAATAGTTATTTTTACATTTCATAATTAATTATAAAATTTGAACTATGAAATAATAATATCAACTCAACAAATAAATAAATAATTAGCTTAATTTATAACATTTTCTATAAACCTAAAATTATACTCTATACAAAACAATTATGTCAATTAATTTATTATTTATATAATGTAATTTTATTTCATAAATCAGTTCTGTGATGGTACAAATAAATTTTAAAAATTGTACAATTAAGATAATGTAAGTTTACATTGCAACTGCAGAATCGACCTAACACACTTGATTATAACCTTTTATGAAGCCTACCGAGAATAAGTTTCAGAATAGGTGAATTTATTTAAATGAAATACTTATGTAATAAAATTTTCCACTTTATAAATTAATGTTATAAAAGAAAATGCCCTCTGAATTTAAATAAATAAAATTGCGTATTAAATGTCCCAATTCTTATAACCCACAATCCTCCTATTGAGAGAAGGCACTGACACGTCTCAAGGAAGAGCACAAATTGTCTCCAATATAAATGCAGTCTAAGCTGTGGCTGATGTGGTCAAGAGCACTCTTGGACCAAGAGGAATGGATAAAATGATATAGACAGGCCCTAAAGTTACTATTTCAAATGATGGAGCAACAATTCTCAATTTATTAGAAGTTGTGCATCCTGCTGCCAGAGTTTTAGTAGACATTGCCAAATCCTAAGATGATGAGGTTGGTGATGGTACAACTTCTACTACTCTTTTGGCAGCTGAATTACTTAAGGAGGCCAAGCCATTCATAGAGGAAGGAATCCATCCATAAATAGTTATATAAGGATATAGAAAGGCTTTGGAGTTGGCATTAGAAAAATTAGAGGGATTTTCAATTAATATTGCCAAGGATTCTGCACAAGACAAAAGGGACACCTTATTGAAATGTGCTTAAACAGCTTTGAATTCCAAATTAGTATTATGATATTTAAATTGTTAGTTAGCGAACACTAAGCACTTTTTTAGTGAATTGGTTGTTTCAGCAGTTGAAAAATTAGATCCTAATATATTGGATAGAGATTTGATCGGAATAAAAAATGTAACTGGAGGAAGTGTGACTGATTCATTTTTGGTTGATGGAGTAGCATTTAAGAAAACATTCTCATATGCTGGTTTTGAACAATAACCAAAGAGATTTGAGAATCCAAAGATCTGTCTATTGAATCTAGAATTAGAATTGAAGAGTGAGAAGGAAAATGCTGAAATAAGAATTGAGAAACCTGAAGAATATTAATCCATAGTGGATGCTGAATGGGCTTTAATATATGAGAAATTAGAGATTATTGTTAAGGCTGGTGCATAAATTGTGTTATCAAAATTACCCATTGGAGATTTGGCCACACAATATTTTGCAGATAGAAATATCTTTTGTGCTGGTAGAGTTACTCAAGATGATTTGTTACGAGTACAAAAAGTAATTACTAAATTTATATATTAGGCAACTGGTGGCTAAGTGTAAACAACTGTTAATGGATTAAATCCAGAGACATTTGGAACATGTGGTTTGTTTGAAGAGGTTTAGGTTGGTGCTGAAAGATATAATTTATTTAAAAATTGTCCTTAAGTAAACAATTAGAAATATGAATATAGTCAAGAACGGCTACCATAGTTTTGAGAGGTGGAGCAGAATAATTTATCCAAGAAGCAGAAAGATCTTTGAATGATGCAATTATGATTGTTAGAAGATGTTTCAAAGCAAATAAAATAGTAGCTGGAGGTGGTGCTATTGAATTAGAAATTTCAAGATTTCTTAGACATTATGCTAGATCAGTCACAGGAAAGACTTAATACATTGTGAATTCTTATGCAAAAGCACTTGAAGTCATTCCCAGAACAATTGCTGAAAATGCTGGTTTGAATTCAATTGAAATTATGAATAAATTGAGATAAAAACATGCATAGGGTGGTGAAGAAGGTAGATGGTATGGTGTTGATATTAATGGTGCATCTGGGGTTTGCGATACACATTCATCATTTGTATGGGAACCAACCTTAGTCAAAAGAAATGCACTGTGTTCTGCTACTGAAGTATTTTCAATTTCAATTTAGGCTGCTTGTGCAATCCTCTCTATTGATGAGACAGTGAAGAATCCTAAATCAGATTAGGATACCAAAATGAAGCCAAAAGGACAACCAGGAAGACCACCAATGGGGATGAGAAGATGAGTGTTTTATAATATAAAAATTAATATTTGAGCATTTGAGAATTAATACTTAGTAATTATGTCAAAATTGTAGATGAGTTCTGAATATCAATATTAATAAATAATGCTTTTAAAAATTATTATGGTTTTATGATGATTATTTTTTAACAATTGAATCATTCTTCTCTTAATGGTACAATTGCTGGTGCTACAATTTTTAATACTTCTACTAATCTTCTGTGGCAATTCAATACAGCTTGATGATCGCTATCTTAAAATTTTCCGACAGGTCTTTATCCTATTTAATGATTTAATTATTTGTTTACCTGTAATTTATTTATAGCAAACTCTAAATAGTCTATTAACTGTCTCTTGATTTGCAATTGATAAGATACGGTCTGCTTAGGCTTCACTCATCTTCACAAAATTAATTTATATATATATTAATATTATATATCTACAAATTTTAACTTTTAATTTACCCATATATAAGTTTATTCCTCAATTTGTATTAACAATTCTATGTGCTTATATATAGTGGAGTAGACTAATTATTCAAGATTTGTATTCTTAATGAAAGCCAATATAACTACATTATAATTAGATTGTTATCATATGGATATTGTTATTTTGGATTATTATTTATATGAAATAATTCAATCTGTGAAATAAAAGAAATCATGAGCTGCATTATCGTATAATCTCATGCAAAAGCATCCAACTATTTTTTAATAGAATGCTTACGTCCATAGCTAAACACTACAGGGAACCAGAAATTTCGAATATTCTTTCTGTACCATGCTCCGTAAAAGAGTCTTTTAAATAAATATTCCTTGGGACCTCCAAACATATAATGAAAATTGTGATGTTGATTAGATAATGATCTTGAATGCTAAATAAAACCCTTAAATGTTTATCAACAGATTTTTACTCTTTCATAGTTGAATTTATCGTGATAGTTTGATAAATTATTCTTGCTATTATGTGCCATGTATTCTGCTCTTTCTGGTAGATGTCTCAAACCACCTCTAAATGTTCTGAATTCATCAGACTTATATTCACTAACATATGTCAATCCTGCTCCCTTTGCGTTCATAAGATATTAATTTATTTAATCTAATAACCAAAAATAAATATAAAATCTCTTTCTATTTTAATGTGAATAGCCTTAATTATCTATTCAATTAAAATCATAATATTATGAATCGTTTTCATAAGCATCTAAGTCTGCAAGAAACTTCTATTAAAATTTTAAATTTACCCTTGTAGTCAGCATATTTATTATTTTATTTGATAATGATAATGATAAATTAACCTATTCACACACTTTATATTTTGATTTAGCTATAGAAAAATTTTAAACTAAAATGTTCTTAGTTTAATAGTTCGTTTCTGAAATCAATCTGAATATCAGATGAGATTTTGTTTGAAAGTAAGCATAAAAAATGTTTGAAAAATTAAATTCAATTTTTATACATATTTTATCCCCTCATACAATACTGAAGTAGATTGTTATATAGTATAAAAATAAACATAGAAAATAAAATTAAAAGAAAAGAAATGAATAACATAATATAATTTATTTGATTTATAATATTTTAACAGATTATTATAATTTTTAACGTATAATTAAAATGCTTCAAGAACAGTACAGATTCTTTGGTAAGGAAATAGTCAATTCTTCTGGTGAATTTTATAAAGAAAACATTGAGAGGAATAAATCAAAACATTTAACAGTACTACCTAGATATTTAAAACTGAATTTGTGGTGTGGGGAAAAGGAAAACTAGATGGAAGAAGAGCCCAATATTAATTAATTGTGTCAATTCGATTAATAGATAATAAAGGATCCATAATTTACACCAATATACAATTAAGAGATCTTTTAATATCTCCTAAGTTAAGAACAGAAATATCTAGTTAGTATTAATTATATGAATGAACAACAATAACCAGACTTAAATGCAAGAATGAGATCTATTTTAGTTGATTGGTTAGTAGATGTCCACCTTAAATTTAAATTAAGGGATGAAACCTTATATTTAACATCGTATTTAATTGATAGATTTTTGAATATTCAAAAAACAACTAGATAACAATTATAATTAGTAGGAGTAGCCTCCCTATTTATAGCTTGTAAATATGAAGAAATATACCCCCCAGATCTAAAAGATTTTGTTTATATAACAGATAATGCATATACAAAATAAGATGTTTTGGATATGGAAGGTCAAATTTTGCAGACTCTAGGTTTCTCAATAACTCAACCATCTAGCTATAGCTTCTTATAGAGATTTGGCAGAATCGCTGGATTGGATACAAAAAATTTATTTTTGGCCCAATATTTATTGGAACTGTCTATAGTCGACATCAAATTCATGAATTATAAGCCATCTTTCTTGACTTCTGCAGCAATCTATTTAGTCCATAAGATAAGGTATCAAACTTATATTTTCATAGAAAGACTCCTTAATCTTGGAATGAAGAGATGCAAAATACAACAGGATACAATGAATAAGAACTGAGATTTTGTGCTAAAGAAATGTGTTTGGTCCTTTAATCTTCGGATAAATCAAATCTCTAAGCAGTAAGAAAGAAGTTTGCTTAGCCAAAATATCAAGAAGTTTCTAGGATCAGAGTTGAAAGACAAACAAAACCATAAAAATGAATTTTTAATTCATTTCTAGTTATATTTATACAAATACATATACGTGAATAAATATCAAAAATAAAATATTCTATCATAATTTAATTAAAGTAGGATACTCACTATATTCACTCATATTGTTAAGTGAATTAACGAGATATGTTAGCACTCTTAGCAACTGATTGATTAGCACTTTTGGTTCTAAATCTGTAAGCATCAAAGGATCTTCTTGAAGCCAAGGTTATGATCCTGTCCTTATTGAATCTCTCATTAATATCTTAAACGCAATGTCTATTTATATTGACCCATCTAGTCTCATTTGCTTATTTTTGCAATAGATGAGTTGCTTATTCACTTGCAACTTTTTACATAAATGCTGATATCTAACAGGATTATCTTTTTTTCAAAACCTTTAACTTATTTTTCACTTTGGATTTTAACTAAATAAGAATCATCTTAAAAATACAATCATTTCTTGTTATTTCTTTTCCAAATACTCAATAAAATCTGCTTCTTCCTTAACTTTTTCTGCCTACTAAAATTCCTTTAATTTTAAAAGCTATTTCTGTTTCTATCTCAAATCTAGAACCTTTTTTGAAACCTTAAACACTTTGGGCTATAGCTCTTCCTAATACTACTTGCTCATCTCTTAGACTGTTTTTTTTTGTTATTCCTAATAAAATCAATATTGTTTTTACTATTAGCATATTAAATTTATAAAATCTACTATTTTAGAAATCGATTACAAACTCATTCCACTTTTTTTATTAATGAAATTAATGTTCAAAAGCTGTTTTTTAGATCAAAGTTTCTTAATATTTTTGTAATTGTTTTATATAGTTTTTCCACCTTTTCTACTACTTTGTCTTTATGTCTTATATTCTATTCTCAATTCTATGCATTTCCCTTGCATCCCCATTCTTACAACAGACTTTATAATAATCTTTAAGCATAATTATTAAATCATTTATTTATGGATTATTTAAATAATCTATTCTCCTTCTATCTCTTTGATTTCCTTCCATTTAAGCTATTAGCATTTCGCTCTGTGTTTAATTTAAACTTAATTCTTGTTATTGTTACATTACAGATTGTCTTAACTCTTCATAATAATCTATTTCTGTTATGAGCATAATAATATCTTCAATTGCAAATTCCTTGCATTCCTTAAGCAGCAGGTTGTCGAAGTAAATTTTGTCTATAAAATTAGAATCTAAATACAATCCTTATTGCATTCATAAATATTAAACAAAATCTTATCTATCTACTCTAACTATATAAATCCAACTTATTATTCATCCTATTGATTGAAAAGCCTCATAAGAGTTCCTAGTTTCACAGTATTAATCATTTATTAATAAAAACAAAAATTAATATTTTCATAGGTTATGATAATAGAATAATTGATTTCAAAAAATCATTAGAAGACAATCAAAATAGTTATGCAAAATTGATAATGGAATAATATTCAAATAAAAGATCTAAATTCTACAGTTATTATTTTCAATATATTTAAATGAACATTAATCCTACTCATATATAGTATCATATTAGATATCGACTCTTTATTAGGATAAATAAGGTAATATTTATTATTGTAAGTTCCTTCTTTTTTGAAAATATTTGTTTTATTTTTCTTCTTTTTATTGTTATTATTAAAACTGAAATTAATGAAATTTCTAAAGTATTATTGAATATCACTTATATTTTAGTAAAAATTATACTATGAGACGTTTAATATTAACAACCTTTAAGAATTATTTAATAATATCTATTCAAACATCAAAACTATATTATATTTGAACAATGATTACTTTGTATTTACTATAAATTGACTCAAATAAAAATACTCTATATTACTGTGTTTTTTTGAAAAAATATTGGATCTTATTAATATTATTAATATTCTCCATATTTTTTTCATTTGGTTGAACTGTATTAGAATTCAATCTGATTTAATGTACTAATAAATTGATATTATAATATGATTATAATAATCAAGTATTGATTTTTTAGGATGACTAATTTGAGATCTATTGTCTTGTATATATTATATTTAAAAACAAGCAGATGTAATGGTTAGGCAAATTAAAATGGATTCTATGCAAATATATCATATGTATAGAAATAAACAGTTTATAAATAAAATAATAGATCCGTTAAACTTTTGGATGTGTTTTTGATGCATCTATAAGTGGAAACAATAAATATACTAATTGCTAATGATCATATATTATTTTGTTTTCATTTTTGTACTTTAGAAGTGATTTGTAATAAGTTCTTTGGTGTCTAAGATAACAAATTAAATAATAAAAATGAAAGCTAAAGCAATAATTGAATTTGTCGTTTTTTTGGATTCTCTTAAAACTATTGGGATCTTTTTATTGGATGAGGGAATGTATCAAATAAGGATTAACTTATATATATAGAGTGTAAGTGATTTTGAGTATTGCAGTCCCAAAATTTGAAGATTCCTCTCACTCCGAAAGAAACTTTGTNCTTAAGCAGCAGGTTGTCGAAGTAAATTTTGTCTATAAAATTAGAATCTAAATACAATCCTTATTGCATTCATAAATATTAAACAAAATCTTATCTATCTACTCTAACTATATAAATCCAACTTATTATTCATCCTATTGATTGAAAAGCCTCATAAGAGTTCCTAGTTTCACAGTATTAATCATTTATTAATAAAAACAAAAATTAATATTTTCATAGGTTATGATAATAGAATAATTGATTTCAAAAAATCATTAGAAGACAATCAAAATAGTTATGCAAAATTGATAATGGAATAATATTCAAATAAAAGATCTAAATTCTACAGTTATTATTTTCAATATATTTAAATGAACATTAATCCTACTCATATATAGTATCATATTAGATATCGACTCTTTATTAGGATAAATAAGGTAATATTTATTATTGTAAGTTCCTTCTTTTTTGAAAATATTTGTTTTATTTTTCTTCTTTTTATTGTTATTATTAAAACTGAAATTAATGAAATTTCTAAAGTATTATTGAATATCACTTATATTTTAGTAAAAATTATACTATGAGACGTTTAATATTAACAACCTTTAAGAATTATTTAATAATATCTATTCAAACATCAAAACTATATTATATTTGAACAATGATTACTTTGTATTTACTATAAATTGACTCAAATAAAAATACTCTATATTACTGTGTTTTTTTGAAAAAATATTGGATCTTATTAATATTATTAATATTCTCCATATTTTTTTCATTTGGTTGAACTGTATTAGAATTCAATCTGATTTAATGTACTAATAAATTGATATTATAATATGATTATAATAATCAAGTATTGATTTTTTAGGATGACTAATTTGAGATCTATTGTCTTGTATATATTATATTTAAAAACAAGCAGATGTAATGGTTAGGCAAATTAAAATGGATTCTATGCAAATATATCATATGTATAGAAATAAACAGTTTATAAATAAAATAATAGATCCGTTAAACTTTTGGATGTGTTTTTGATGCATCTATAAGTGGAAACAATAAATATACTAATTGCTAATGATCATATATTATTTTGTTTTCATTTTTGTACTTTAGAAGTGATTTGTAATAAGTTCTTTGGTGTCTAAGATAACAAATTAAATAATAAAAATGAAAGCTAAAGCAATAATTGAATTTGTCGTTTTTTTGGATTCTCTTAAAACTATTGGGATCTTTTTATTGGATGAGGGAATGTATCAAATAAGGATTAACTTATATATATAGAGTGTAAGTGATTTTGAGTATTGCAGTCCCAAAATTTGAAGATTCCTCTCACTCCGAAAGAAACTTTGTTATTCAAGAGAAATGAATAACAATACTTGCCACAACACACGATAGATAATTTCTACATGAGTGATGCTTTCTTATTGAGATAATGGACAGAGGAGGTACTAAATAATTTAAATCGGAAAGGAAAGATTTGAGATAAAGAACGGGTGCAGGTTCAGTGGTGCAATTCCACATAATTTGAAAGAGCAACCATGTTTTATGGAGATCGAATTAATGTATTATGATTTAGCTTAGAAAATTATTTCGTTTTAAAGCATATCCATAGCAAAGTTTAAAATCGAAAACCTATCCAATGGGATCTATGAATATGTTCCTGTGATACTCGGAGAAGATCACTTCAGTTTATTGAATATCATGGTATAAATGAATAACTAAGAGATTAGGTCCTTTGTTCCTTGACTAGTTTTGATATATAACTATAGTAAGTGTAAAATGAGGATAAAAAGGCAGCAGATCAACATTTACATATAAATATGAGACAATTGTACAATAAGGTGCTGGAACCTCTGAAAACATCATATCGAAACATGCAGACATTCTATTATAATATGGAGTTGGAGATGGAGAGACCAAGCAGTAGTGGTGGGATGCAATACCATCTCAGATAAACTAAGAATTTTTAGATAATGCCATTATCGAGTGCAGATTCATTATTAAAAAATGAATAAAATACTTAATTAATAAGCAAAGTAATGGCTAACGAGTTTAAAGTGTTATAAAGTACAATAAATCAATTGTGGCATAAAATAATTACTGGATTGAAGCTTGGACATCAAAGGATATTAAGATAATTGAAAAAAGAGTCATTAACCAATTTTTAAAGTCGATACTCCGCATTTACTCAAAAAGAAGTCATCCCTGTAGTAGATCATCAATATACTATGATTCCTTAATAGCAGAAATAAAGTCAAGAATAGGCAGATTTACAAAGTAAAAGATTGGAGTATTAGAAATTGTTACTCTAAGGCCAATCTAAAATAGTTGATTTAAAAATAATAGATGAAATCAAAGATAAGTTAATGATTGTTGAAAAACATTATGTTACCAGATAAACCTTTTAGTTGTCTAGATCTAAGTTGCACCTCATTGTTTTGGTTCATGGTTATTAAGGACATTCTTATGATATGAGACTATTGGAGAATTATATGTGTTTGAGGTTTCCTTAACATATGCTATTGGTGTCATTATGTAATCAATAAAACACAGAAGGGGATATATTGCAAATGGGCAAATATCTTAGTGACGAAATTAAAAACTATATTGCTACATGGTCTTACACGGATAAACTAGTAATCTCTTTTATTGGGCACTCATTAGGTGGTTTGATCATAAGAGCAGCATTGCCCTATTTAGATTTTGAATTTCATACTTTTCTAACTTTGGGAACTCCTCATTTGGGTAATGTTACTAATCAAAGGCCATTAATTAAATTTGGAATGTGGTTTTTTTAAAAGCTAAAGAAATCACAAAGTTTGTCTCAATTAAATTGCTATGATGATACATTATTAAAGCTATCACAATTTCCTGGACTGAATAAATTTAAGCATATCATTTTGTTTGGGTCTTAACAGGATCATTATGTGAATAGTGAAAGTAGCTTGTTAATGAAAGTCTCAGGTATTGAAAATGAGTAACAACATAACGAAATGGCTACCAACATTTTAAGATAATTACATCAAAACGAAGTCTTAAGAATTAGTATAGATTATAAGTTTTATGATGGGTATGTGTATAATCATTATTATTCTTAGAGATTTTGATACGTTTCTAGGAAGAAAAGCACATATTGCTATATTGGAATCACATTTTCTAAATTAATATATAATTTATAACTTGGGAGACTATTTTAAATGAATTGATACGATTGTATATTAATTCAAATTTATATTGTTTTGTTTATTATATCAGATAAAAGTAATTAGATTTCCAGATCAATTAGTAATTTGAATTTATTTCTACGATAAAGTTTAATTAGTAGGAATGTTTACATATAAATCCTAATAGTGTATTAAAATTCATAATTAAATTTATGTTCACATAATTAAATAAGAAATTAACACTTTCATCTTCCTTCAAAACTGCTCCAAATATTGGACTTATCAAATACTGGGGAAAATGGAATGAAAGGGAAATCATCCCACTGAATACAAATATTGGTGTGACTTTAAACCCTAAGGATATATTCACAACAACAACCTTAACATTGAATCCAGACACAGATAAGAATTAATTGCTTATCAATGGAAAAGACTTTCACATAAGTAGTAGAATTGAGAGACTCTTCGGTATATTCAGAGAATAAATACTTTAATCTAAATAATTTGCATCTAACAAATACAAAAATTCTCCCTCGGATAAACCATTGGGTTAGGTTATTCCTGATATAGAAAAGTATGGAATTAGAGTTGAATCAAATAATTCATTTCCAACTGGAAGTGGATTGGCATCATCATCATCAGGGTTATCTGCACTTGCATTGTGCTTATAGGATATTCTGAAGACTGATATTGATGTTCGATATTTGAGTAGAATTGGATCAGGAAGTGCATGCAGATGTTTGTATGGAAATCTTGTATTGTTTCCAGGTGTCCAATTATAAAATTTAGATAAATCAGATCCAGAAACTATAAGTTTGGAAAGCAAAAGATGTTTGCCATATGAAATTCAAAGTAGCAAATGGTTGAAGGATAAAGTTTCTATTGTCATATTGACTGATACACATTAAGGATAAAAAGATGTGCTTTCGAAAGATGGAATGAAATTGACATGGGAAACTAGCAAGCTCATTTAGGGGAGAGTAAGATAATACGTTGAATAACATATCAATGAATTGCAATTAGCCTTGGAAAAACAAGATTTTAACAAGGTTATGGAAATAATCATTAAAGATAGTAATCAATTTCATGCTACTTGTATGGATACATACCCACCACTATTGTATTTGAATGATTTCTCCAGACAAGTTATCAAGATGGTTCATATTTTCAATAGAAATGCAAAACATATTGTTGGGTATACATTTGATGCAGGTGCTCATGCTGTGTTGTTGATTCATAATGATGAATTATAGTCCTTTAAGAAGTTCTTATCAGAAGCAGGTAAATTAACATATTAATACATTAGAAAACTTATTTACAAAGTCGAAGTACATCATTCCAAGTTAGCAATTTTGGACATCGATTGGAGAGGGTCCAATCAATTTGAATTGAATAATTTGATTGTGTATTTTATATTATTAATCATTATCTTAAAATACTTCTTTCACTAGTGCATAATAAATGATGCTATAAGAAATAACATGGAAACACTATGTCACCATCAAAGTACATTTAAGATAAGAAATATACGTTTCCATTCTTGGCCAAGTGTCTTCTGAATTCCACCAATTGCACATTCAACAATATGAATGCATATAAAGCAAACAGTACTAAGATCCTTATATAAATGACATTTTATTATACCATATTATTGCTGTTGCTGCATCCTAGATATTCAGATATAACCCAACAAATAGAATTTCAAACAGAAGTACAAATGATATTCTAGTTAATAATTTAATTACTAAGTAAGTACCTCCATGGCTGATCACAAACGATGAAACAGTTCTTAATACCTTCTGACTTATCCAAGTGGAAACAAAGTAAAATTACAAGTAAGTTGATTAAGAGTAAACCAATAACAACTTCCAGATGCAATTATGGGTATAAGACTACTGCATATATAAACCAAAATAATCTCACTAAAGTATTAACTCCCTATTTTATAGTTATTTAATTTTACAAACAAAAATACGTTTTTAGGTTATTTTTGAGATGATGATTCACTAAATTATACTATTGCAATTGACAAGATGTAGAGCATCAAAAGCACAACCCAAATAATAAATGGTATTTGCTATATCTATTCACTAAATTTGAAAAATGTTAATAATCCAATCATCAACAAAGCAACAGCAAAATGACTCAATAATACTAATAAATATTTGAATTGATTCTCCTAGATCTAAGCTTACTATTCCTCTATACTAGGTCCTCTATTGATTATTGGTTCTGTAATTGATATCACCTACTACATAGTATTCGTTATAGCTGATTTCCTAACAAACATGTCCAACAATCCATCCATTAAAGGCTTCTTGTCCTAATTTATTTGTTATTCTTTTGGCTTACTTCAACTTAATCTCGTTATTGCATTTCTCCAATTTAATAACAATTAATAATTAAATACTAATAAATAATAAATTTTTATTCATTAATCCTTTTCATCTTCTTCAAAGTGTTCCATTAAAAAGAGTTCTTATTCGTATGTGTTTTAGGGAATTGATAGAGTATTTTAACTAAAAAGTGGATTAATATTAATGTAATAATAATTAAATACTTCACAATTATTGCGTTTATAAGGATAATTAAGATAGTTCCTATTAAATTCTCATTTAAATAAGTTAAATTCATCTAAATTGAACCTTTGTACTCTATTCGTCCTTCTATCCTTAGTTGATTAATTCTATTAGATGAATTTATAATATTTATATTAATTTAATCATTAACTAATGTAAATTACTGTTCATCTTTTTAAATATAGATTTTAACCCAGTTAATTTAGCTTTTCTAATAATGGGATTATTTTATTGATTTTATAAAATTTAATTAGATAAATGTTATTTATTGTATGGAAGTTGGATAATACTAAAAATTTTCTAAAAAATCAAGTAAACTTGTATCCGATGTCTTCTATGATGCTAAATATTGATCCTTATAATGTATTCACTTATTTTTTAAATTCTATGTACTCAATGTAATTTGAAATATAAAATGCTAATGCGATAGTGCCATTCAATTATTTAAGTGGTTGGCATTTGAGATTGCACTCCATTTCAATTTTATTGCTCTCCTATTTTTGATACAATACAATTTTACCTATACATAATGAGGGTCCATAAAGATTGCATTGTTTTTTTGAAATCCTATGAGAAAGAAGGCTTTATTATTTTTGCCAATAATTGCTCCTGCAAATTGGGAGATTTGCATGTGTGATTACAAATTTTGAATTTCTAATTATCCTAATGATTTATCTCCAATAATAGCATGAACAATCAATAAATGAGGCTTTTTGAATGATAAATCGATCTGAGATTCCAAAACACATTATTCTAGAAAGTTAACTATATTTATTTGTTTAATATTCATGTTATTTTTGTTTAGGTCTTCAATAACACTCATAATTTTAGGTCCTGTATACCAATCCCCAATTTTCATATTCAGATTGATGGATGCTCTTTTGATTATTTATTGAATAGAAAAGGGAGCTATGGTAGAATATTCTTAATTATCATCGAATAAATGTATAATCATAGCTTTGGTTTTATTAATGGCCAGAATTTTGCATTCTCTCATTAGAGCGTTCTATTAGATTTCATAGAATAATACTGCTAACATCATCTGACCGACTCGCACTAAACATCCCCATCCTTAATCTGATATCGCCTTGCCCTCAAACTAAATATTCGCTCTATAACAGAACCAAATGAGAGTGTCCTTCTTCTAATTAAAAGCTTCGGCATTCTGTATTTCCTAACCAAATATATACATCAGTTCATCAATCTTGATTTCCTCACTCCACATTTTATCTAGTTGGAATGCTGTGTTGGTCCTAATTTATGATAAACTTACATCATTTGCATTAGGCTTTATCCGAATCCTTGCTTTTATTTCATTTGAATAATTTATATATATTAGTATACATAATATTGTTAATTAAAATTAAGTAGAATATAACCATTATTAAATCTAATGAGCAATTAAAATTATGTATATAGATGATATATATGGAATGGTTTCAATTTATTAAGCTGCTTTTTCCAAAAGAAGCTAATTTTGATTAACTCATCGACTGGGATTGTTGGAGATTACCATTGTTGTGTTATATTTATCGAAGAATGTAAGGATTTTAAATTTGACTGGGATTAGGATTGGTTAATGGATTGTAGATATTCGACTATGAAACTTCAGTGTTTAAGTTTCCACTGCTTTGACTTTAGGATTGGCTCTAGAAATAATGATATTAATCGAGTACCAATGATGATAACTGTGTATGGTATTGCTATTGAATTTCCCTCTTTCTTAATCGATCTAATCTTTATTATTCTTCAAATAATAGAGAAGCTTGCAATATTTCTTATTTTCTTTGTTCTTTTGCATTATCTTCGTGTTTCCTCTTTTCATTTTACTCTTATATCTGATTGGCCAATCCATTTTAATACATTTCTTTCTATTTTTGTTATAGTGATCTTCTAGTTAAGTATTCAGTCTCCTCTTTATCTTATCTTTCTTTCACTTGCTTATTGATCATCTAATCAAGGTACAACTTCGGATTATCAACCTTTTATCTATAGATATCTTATAAGGCATTTTATCTTTCTGACACTTTCTGATAATACTATTTATGTTAAGGAATTAAGTTACATTTCTATATGAATCTTCCTATTTTTAAATTCGTAGCGATTCATTTTAGGTTTGCTCCTTATAAATTAATTATTCGAATTCTTTGTCTTTCTTCTCTTTTTCTTTTCTTTATTGCAATTCTTTCATTTATTATTCAACAATTTATTTTTACATCTCTCTCTTCTATCTTCTCATTTGTTCTTCCAATGACAATCCATTTATTGCATTATTTATTATATCATTCTCTATTTTTAGTGTTTCTTGTTTCTAATAAAATACAATAATATTTTACCTTCTCATCGATTATTATTTTCTGATGATTCAAAATGAGATGGTTCTGTTACTGCAAATTTTATTTCATAGTTTCTCTATTCTATATTTATTAAAACTTTTCTTCTCCTTGCTTTTTAAGTATCAATTGAATTTATTCCTCATCTTCCCTTTATTTTTACAGCTGTAACTCCTTTTTTCTTTGTTCTTACAATTGTGTCTACTCAATCAGTTGCTATTTCATAATCTCCTATTTCATCAGTCTCACCTGCTTCTCCTCTTCTCTCAACTTTCTATTCATATCAAATTCCTTGTATCCATCATAATTGTTTTGTGATAAAATCATATATTAATAAATAATGTTCAAATTAATCGACTGAATACATATCAACTTTAAATATCTTCCTTCCTTTTCAAGAAGATACCTCCCAATGAAATCTGAGTATGCAATTATCTATATTCAATTTACTATTCATTTATTTATAATCCCAAACTCTTGATTACAGTTTAATGTAAATAATAATAAAAACTACCTTTCTAATTAAATTATATTACTATTTTATCTAAATTTAGCGAGTTGAAATCAGAACTGGATGTCTTTCATGTTGGTTTTCTATTGATTTACTATATGATTGTCAACTTTTTTTTGAATTTTTTGATAAAATTAAGTAATATATAAATTAATTCAAATAAGTCAAGAAATTTGAATCATTTGAAAAACTTACCTTGTTTTTTTAATTTAAACTCAGTAATTACATTATTTTGGTATATTATCACTAATTTATATAAAAATGAATAAATATTAGCTTAGTTTCAAAGATAAAGAGATAGAGCAGATGTATTAGACTAAGTAGCATAATGAATTAAGAATATTAACTCTGAATATTATTTCAATAGGTCTCTTTGTTTATTATTTTGTCATCTCCTTGAATTCTGTGATAATGAACAGATTTGACTTTCTTTTTTGGAAATTGCTAATGATGGCTTACATGTTGGTTCAATACTACACCGTGAAAAAATATCCTCAACTTTTAAGATTGGCTTTTATTCTCACAAATCATCTGAATAGTATATTGTACATATTTGCATCGGACGATTAATACACCCACGAATTCGACATCATAAAGGGTGCCAATCAGATGGGAATGGAAATTATCATAGTATTGTCAGGTGAATTTTTAGACGCAGTTTTTTCAATTCTAAGCCTGAATCTCATACGAGTCATCTATGGTATTATGCACAGCGACATCCAATTTTATGTACCCCATGTCACAACTGCAATACTCGTAATATACTTTGTATTCTTCTTCTACAAATTCCACTATGCAAGGAGATCCTAATTTTTATTAACTCTAATAGACTCATAATGGGATAATATTTTGTCTAACTTAATTCGGAAACAGTCTTATGTAATTTTTACATTTGAAGAAGAGTAACTGCACTACTCCATCAAATAAATTAATAATTGTGGACAATTCTTCTTTTAGAATCAAGACGTTTTTTCATTTTTAAGGGAATCCAATTACTAAGGAAAAACTGTAGAGTCAATTATCTTGTAGGATATCAAATTGTTTTAAATCAATCACCAAAAAAGAATGAACATTGATCTCATTTGCTAATTTCACAAAGAGATTTTCCATATCTAATATTCCATCTACTCAGGTTAGAATCCAACAATTTTGATCATTTTCAAAGAACACAGCATGAATAAAAGGAAGAACAAACTAATCAATTTCGATTAAACATACAACAATTTTGTTACTCTGTTTCTCAAGGTATTGAATAATATAACTCCAACATAACTAAAGTACTAGGAGTATATACAAATTAAAAGACAATTGTTTCTCTTTAAATTATTGAACTTTATTCAAGAACGTTAATTCAATTAAAAGATGGTCAACTTGAGTTAAAACTTGGCCAGCATGGCATCTTTATATCCAGAGAAGAAAATATTTTACGAAAATATTGATGGTTCCCATTAAATAAAAACGATATCAAATATTTTATATTTTTTCTAAATGATTGTATTGGAGAATTCAATAGGCAGAGGAGTCAAAATCCAATATAAATCTTAGTAGTAAATATATACCCTCACTTTTTTTGGCAGTTTCAATTTTAATAAACTAAAATTTGTAGTCTCTAAATTATCCTACCCTCTAAAAATGATATTTTATAAAACCAATATTACAGCCCAAAGTAAGCATTATTAATTAATTTAGGAATTACTTGTGAGTTTCATTAAGAACCGTTAATCCCATTTACAAGATTGCATGCCAGTAAATATCATTGTAATTGAAATGTACTTAAATTATATGTATTCAAATTCAATTAATATAAAGTTAAATTATAGTATTTTGAATAATCTAGATAATTTATGTATGTATATATATGTATATCAAAAAGAAAGAAATTATATATCTATTTTATAAGAATGATTATTCTTATTATTCAAGAGTTATTTCATTATCATATAAGAAGGATGTGATATATTTACATGTTCAAAATTTTAAGATAATATTGTAAATAATATGAATATCATTTACTTAAGGTATTTTAATTTTCATTTTAATTTTGTATATCTAATTTACCAGGCTCAACCCTTTTGATGTTTACATTTATAATTAATTCAAAGGGTTTTGAAAGTACATCAATTAGAGATATTGCCCTGAACAATATTGTTGAATTGGTTGATTTTCTTAGTCCATCAGGTGGAAGGAACGAGGAAAAGATGTAGAAGGGTGTGTTTGTAAGTAGAATTGGATGATATGGGCATATTGGATAATAATTTAAAAATAAATTAAAGATTTTAATTATTATTTGAAATGACCAAAAAGACTAAGAAGGTTGGAATCACAGGAAAATATGGTACAAGATATGGTGCATCATTGAGAAAGATTATTAAGAAGTTCGAAATTTCATAGCACTAAAGATATTTCAATACATTTACTGGAGCGGTAACAATTTGATTTAGCAATTTAGCATTCACTCAAGAGATAAGCTATTGGTATTTGGAGATGCACATAGACTGGTTTATAAATCGCTGGTGGTGCTTGGGAAGTCAAGTAATATTAATAACAATCGTAGTACTCCTGCTGGATTATCTGCAAAATAAGGCATGTTGAGAATCAAGAAGTTGAAGGAGGATGCTGAAGTTGAAGTCAAGGATGAGAAGAAGGAATAAAAGAAATAATAGCCAAAGGAACAACAAAAGGAGCAACCAAAGGGGAAGGAGACTAAGACACCTAATCCCAAAAAATAATAAGCAAAGAAACAATGAGTATATTAATACAATAAATAATAATTTAAAATAATATGAATAAATTAGTATCTGCATTTGTTAGGAGTATGCAAACTCAGGTGCCTCTTTACACTTATCATTTCCCCAATGGATCAGTCTACAATAATGTATTCTATTGACATTAAATTTAGCCAGCTGTGACAGCCAAGAGAATAATCAAGGTTGTCGGAGAAAGATTAAGAAAAATAGATCCTGAAAGAGTATTTATTGAAATCATTAATTCTTTTTTAGTGGGAATCGACTCCAATCACATTCAATACCAATTGGAATGATGCTGCAGGATATGTCGATGTGGCTACATGCATTCACATTCACGATGCCCTTGAAAAAGAATTCGGAATTGAAATCAAAGACAGAGCCTTCTTGGTTTCGAGCATTGAAACGGCATTCTATATCGTAAACATTCATCACGATAGTCATTGACACAATATCAAATAAAATAAATTAAAAACATAATTATATTTATGTCATAATAACTATTTAAGGCTTATTTTCAATCCATTAATCATACTTTCAAGGATCTCCCCAAAGGTAATTTCTATTGGCGATTCTTCAAAAGAGATTTGGGTAGAATTATCAATATGCCATGTCCAGTTGACAGTCCTAATTAAGAGGCTGACATCTTACTTTTTAAGGAATTGAGAGCTTAAATTGGCATCTCAGAAGAAAATGTTTGTTCTAATTGCCCTTTTAATGCTAAGTGTGTAAAAGCGTTTTAGTAGTTTGATACTGGTAATATGCAAAATTTGCTTCTTCCCAATCTCTCTAGATTCTTAGAATAAATCAGTCTTTATAATTTGAATATGTATCAATTACTAATTAAATAAGTCAAAACTTGGATGATTCCAAAAGTTTTTGGTTAGCAAGCAATAGAATTCTAGATACTTTTCATGCTATTCTAATTGACTTTAAAAAAAATTAAAACTAGATTAATCAGCTATTTCTATAGGATTAATAAAATGATTCAGATGTTGAAACAAACAAATATTCTAAACAAACCTAAAAGTCTGAAAAATATTATAGGACTGCCGATTTTTTGAATGAAAATGAAAATAAAGAATAATCATCATAAGAAAGTGAAAAAATAAGTTCAAAATATGAAAATATTAAACCTAAGAAATCCTTTAAGGATAATCAAAAATTTAACAAAAAGAGTAATAGTCCAAATAGGAATCACTATGAAGGAAAGAAATCTAAGAATGAAAGACAACACAGGGAACATGATAGTAACTCAGAACGTATAGATTAAGTGAGATCAGAAGACAAAAAGGAGATCTCTTTTAATAAAGAAACATAAAGGAAGGAGAAGGCTGTCAAAATAAAAAATGAAAAATAGATTAAAAAAAATATGAAATTTCGTATTGCATAATGAGGTTGATTCAAATATTACATTCATTCATTATTTTAATTTACCAATCTAACAAACCATCCATTCATTTACATAAGTTCTTCATATGATCCCAATTCAACGATCTCTCCTTTCTCCAGAACCACAATTCTATCGTACTATTGAATATTTTCTAATCTATGAGTAATAACAAGTAATGTCCTATTATCATTTTAGACGTAATCAAATAATGTCTTATGTAATTCTTCATCTGTTTTTGGATCCATGTTTGAAGTGGCTTCATCCAAACAAACAATATCCTTATTTTATAGGATGACCCTCATAAAATTGATAACCTATTTTTCACCATTTGATAGATTGCCTCCAGATTTAGCAATCATGAAATTAATATTAGTTGAGGATTGCTGACTATCATCCAAACTTGAACTATTAGTCTTATTTGAATCCTCCATGATCCCTCTTATTCTAAATTGTGTATTGTTGAATGCTTGCTCAATTTATTGATCTGTTAATCTTCCTTGAGGATCAATGTTATCTCTGAGAGTAGCATTGTACAAGAATCCAAATTAAGGCACTATTGATAACAATTATCTCACATCTTTCAATTACATGTTTTAAATCTAAAATATAATAAGATTCATAAATTACATCATGACCATTTATGAATATTTGTCCTTGTTAGAAATCATACAATCGGAATAAAATGTTTAGAATTGATGTTTTGCCTGATCCAGTCCTACCCACAAAGGCAACCTTCTCTCCTTTTTTAATAAAAAGAGAAAAGTTCTTTAAAGCATACTTAACACTTTGGCTTTGTAAGACATCATCATAAGTAATAGTGACATCATTGAAAACAATAGCAAATTCATTTGGATTAACACTTTATGGTTTGGGTGGTACTTGTTGTCTAATAATGGATTGGACTTATGGATTAATTTTGACAACACTATCATATTATTCCTAAGGATTATTAAAGTATTATCTAATTCTTTCAACCGAAACCATCTTAGCCTCACTCTAAGTGAACCAATTCATTGTATCATTGAATTCATTAGCTATAAGTACAGCATATGTTAATGTCATAGCACAAGTGGCATAATCGATTTCGATAGAAAACAACATCATTAAAATGATGGTGATTGAAACAGATAAGAAGATCAAGTTACTTAATAAGTGTAATCTTACAGATAACCAGTAACTAACTCTTCTGCTATTTACCAAAGAGCAAATAGATTCAGTCAATTTCACTATGTATTCCTGAATAAAAAATTGTTGTTTCTCAAAAGCCCTTATTGTTCTTAAACCTCCAGTAGTTTCAGTGAGATGGGAAATCACTTTGCCTTCATTTGTTGATTGGATTCTCTTAAGATCTCGATTACTTTTTCTAAAGTATCTTTACAGCCATCTAAATGCAAAGAGTTCAATGATAATAATGACAATCAGCCATGGAAAGAGAATGATGATTCCGATAGGATAGCCTATGCATGCGAGTAATGACATGATGAGGACTTCAACATACCAAGGTAATTCATCATCCACAACCAAAGTATCATTGGATATCCTATTGATAATTCTACCTTAAGCATTGTTATCAAAGAATATCATTTTTGAATTCATAATGCTTTGATTCAATCTTTTGAATGTTCTCCAACCACTTAATAGGATACAAATTTTCATAATGGTACCACTTACGAATGTAATCATCACAATGATGGTGATCAGCCAAGAGAATTTACTATTAAATGATGTTCCAAACCAATCATCAAAAAAGTCAAATGTGTGATTATCAATACTGATCTATGATCTAATCCAAAAATCAATCAAATTTCTACTCAACATCAAAACAATTGATAGTAAGATAGCTAATATTACCAAAGCGTATCCCATTTAAGATATATAATATAAGACAGTATCTCCAGCAATTTCACCAGATTCTCTTTCTTCATCTTCTACTTCGTTTTTCTTTGCTCCTTCAGTTAAATTATTATCTATTTAATCTAAATCAATCTCTTGTGATTATTTCGCTTTAACTTTTTCATGGATCATCTTCTTTTCTTCTTTCTCCTCCTTCTCTAATTGTTCCTATTCTAATTGATGTTATTTCTCCTTCTCCTAAGACATAAACTCATTCAATAGTTATTCATCCTGGCAAATTGAACCGTCAATCATGTATATGATATTACATTTATTGTACATTTCAATGAATCTGAATTAGGAAGTGATCATCAAAATGGTCTTTCCTTAATCCAATAACATCTATTTAATTCCTTTATTAAACACATTGTCAGCCACATGCATATCTAATGAAGAGAATATATCATCCATTAAATAGATATCGCAATTCTGATACAAGGCTCTGCACAATGAAATTCTTTGCTTCTACCCTCCACTAATATTCTTAGCATCTGGTCCTAGAATATATTGATCTCTTTTGGGAAATGTAAGTAAGTCTGGCATCAAATCACACGCAGCTATACATTGCTTATAAAATTATTTATCATAAGGTTTGCCAAACAAAATGTTATCTCTTATCGACATGTTCTATAACCAATGGTTTTAACTAACATAAGCCACGCTTCCTTTCACTTTCAAACTGCTTTGACTCTACTCTTTTATCTCCATCTCATTTAAAATGGCATTCAATAAAGCTGTCTTCCCACATCCTATCCTACCAATTATCATATTGAGAGTATTCTTCTTTATTTTCAGTTCTTCCAACTTCAACTAGAATGTCTCACTGTCATTTGAATTACTCTCCTTCGTTGGCCATTTGAATTAAATCTAAGGAATCTCTATTACATATTCTTCTCCAATACAATTTTTATATCTAATTATTTCTTCCTCGTTGATCTCCTTAACGTCTAAATAAGTTTTAATACGCTTGTAGGAAACAGTCGTATTGATCAGTTAATTAATTGAATAAGGAATCACTCCCAATGGAAATGTCAACAAATTAAATAAGGCTATAATTGTGAAGACATTGGTTGATTTCAATGCATCCTCTCCATTTTCTTTCACATAACTGGACAAGAAGAAGTAGAGCAATATGTAACTGATACTACTCCATTGGACATTATTTATAATATCTATTGTTTTCTACCACCTAATATATCCAAATTCTTTTTCTCTTATTGCCAATATTTTATCATTGAAAGTCTGTTCCCATGAAAGATATTTTATCTGTTTCATCCCCTCAATGACATCTGAAGACAACGCTAATCTGCTATCCTTTTGGATCAAAGCCTTTCTGTAAAACATCTATAAAAAACAAACTGGATAAATAATTTACAATTGTCAAAGTAGTTGTTATTGAATTAAAAATAACTACACAGCCCAGTACTATTAAACCAGACCAAACAGCATTCCCTAACTTAAGGTACAACATATACAAGGCTATGCTGATAGTCACCAAAGATGAGGATACTAAGAAAGTATTATAAGTATAATTACATCCAAAAACACCCCAATATATACCAGAGAGTTCTTCGATATCGACTGTCAACAAATTGTTTACGTTGGCGACGTACTCCTCATCTCCATCCTTTTTATCCTTCATTTCTTTTTGCACTGTTTCCTAAAGGTACTTTGTTCTTAAAGCCTTTTAATATATCAGATATTGCCCAACTATTTTTAATAATGTTGTAAATTAGTTTTAATAATTGTTCGAAATTGACTCCAAGTAAGTTCCAAATGTATAGACAATTGTCATTGTCAACAATAACAAAATGGGTTTCAAAATTTTGTGCTCCTCCTCGGGGTTGTTATAGTCCTTGATCGAATCAGTGACTTAATCTAATAAGTACACCGATCCGATTTGTATTGCTTTGTCCATAAAATTTAGCAATCCTATAAATATGAATTTCCCCAGAAACAAGGATTTAAATATATAAAAGGTAGGAGTTTGATATTCCCTCTCCAGACTAATATTATTCTTTTTTCTCCTCTCTAACTCGTTCAATTATATCCTACTATTCAATTATTGTATACCTCTCAACTAGATCTATTGCCTTTTGAGGTTTTAGATTAGGCTCTAAAAAGTATTGCAAATCTGAATTCTCAAGTTGATCCGATTTCCTATTTATTAGTTCAATCAATGGTGTAATGTTGGTGAATAAAAAATTGCATTCCTTGAAATTCTCATGGCCGAGCAAAGACTCTTAATACTCGCTTTCATCCTATATCCCAACTCTCTTCATTTTAGTTAAATTTTAAATCAATAATAAAATTAAATTAATCAATCTCAAAAATTTGCGGAATCATTTATGTAACACTTACAATGTAACAATACCTGTTAATTCTGCAATTAATATTTTAAATTGGGCACTCTTTATACCAGAAAAATTGAAATGATTTAAGGATTTATTTAAGTAAAAAAAATAATTATACCTTTAATTCAAAGTTTTAAATTGGTTAAAAATTAAATGGTAATTTTTAATAAATTGAATATCGTCTTAATAAATCCATATCAAAATTGTAATAACTATTATTATATTATAAAACACTGAGTTTAATTGAGCCATCCTAATCATAATTGCTTATGGATTAAAAAACAGATAGATTTATTTTAATTCGTCTTATCCTAATTTCTAAATAGGATTAAGAAAACCCTTATTTATTAAAAATTGGGAAGGCTAATTATATAGTGAAGGTGTTGAGCAAACTAAATTGTCCTTTAATATTTCTGAATCATACTGAATATAACATTTATGTTGATTTCATTACGGAGCTTTAAATTGTATTGCAAAATTAGTAAACTCTTCCCATAGTGATAATTTTGATTATTTTATGTACAGTTTATTTCATGATTATTATTAAATTTTATTCAAAACTTAACAGTCGATGATGCATTCTTAATAAGGAGAACTTCTTAAAGCAAATCCTTATTATAAGATTTTTGTAAGCCCAACTTGACATTGCTAAAATGTTAGTATTAATTTAGACTTTTTGATTATGAATCTGATTTAAGGAAGGCAGAGTGGAAAAAGCGTGAGGAATTCTACTTTATATTGTTTTATATTCTTAATAAAGTATAAAAAATATTATTATGCAACAATAATTTACGGATATTAATTTGAATACATTTTATTTATATAAAGAAACTCTGGCTGAGGGGGAAAGACAATATAAATAGGGTCAAATTAATTAATTAAATAGCTTGATAGAAGCCTTGGAACAACAACAAAAGGAGGGCTACAAATTTGCTTAAATTTTCAAGATGCTCAATGAGTAGGACCTTAATAAAGATTTTACTGCACGAATTTTGGGGAACAACTTTGATAATAATAAAAAGGTCAGTTGGTGAATATTCTATAGATAATTATTTTAGCTATTAATAATTGTTTATTAATATTATATAATATCAGATTAAAATGAATACAAAGTCATCTATCCCCACTTTCATTCTAAAAACTTATTAAATGTTAGAAGTATGTTAGTATTTAACTATTTCAGGATCAAAAGAACACTAATGTTATTAGTTGGACCTCTTAAGGCACTGCATTTATAGTTTACAATTAAATTTTGCTGGAGAAAGAAGTTTTATAGAATTTCTTTAAGCACAGCAATTATTCGAGCTTTGTAAGGTATCGAAATCAGAAATATGATTATAGACAATTGAATTTATATAATTTTAAAAAAGTGAAATCAAATGAAGGTTAAATATTCAAGCATAAATGCTTCCGCAAAGGCATGAAGTAATATCAAATAGTTAACTTAGATCAATGTTATCATTTATCAAAAGAAAAAATCAAGATGATTCAGTAGGAGGATCTAATACCCTGGTTCAAGAGGAGCCAAGTATGTATATCATATTAATCGTTTAGCCATTCACATCAAGGAAGAATAGAATCTATTTAAGGAGTGTGCCATTGACATCAAAGAAACAAACAATAAATTAAAAGAGGATATGAAATTATTATAAGAAACATCATCATATTTAATTGATTAAATGCAAAATCTTAATCACGTATTTATTACATTAGCCACAATAGTTTGTTTATAACTAAAGTGTAGACATAGAAGTAAAATTCAAATAAGTAGGATAAATGTTGCACGCAATCAATGAAGAATTGAGATAAGAGAGTAAGAATATAATATATAAATGTAAGATAAAAGTGAAACCATTACAAACAAATTTATGGATAAAAAAGAAGAATCATTTTAAGAATCAAAAGTGGGTTCTCCAAATCCCTATGTGGATTACAATAGTATCGCCCTAAACCCCTTAGATTATGAGTATTTTATTGACTCATTTCTATGAGAAGATTATTAAATTAATTTTTTAACTATTTAATTAAAAACCAATAAACATCAATAATGTCAAGTTAAAACTACATTTATGATTTTAATCAGTTTTATTAGTACATTATAACTAATACAATAAATAATTAATATATATAATACCTTTCTTGATATTATTATTAATGTAAAAACTTAAGCAAATCAAATCCATTCCTTATAAATCTTGATAATTCCAGACCCTAAGAAATCTGATTATGTTTGATTGCTTACAAATGGATTTCAATGTGACCTCTAAAATAAGTTCCATTATTTTTTAATTAGAATTAGAAGTATAAGATTTATCATTAATTAATTAAATACACTCATTATCATGGTTATCAAAACTAAAATTATCAGTCTATATGTCTTTTAATTGATCATTTTAAGTCTAAGGTGGTATTAATAATTTTTTTTGCCATTTAGTTTTTTAAAAATTTATCATCATATTACTTCAAACTTAAGAATTTGAACAATTAGGAATTGTTTCATCAAATTTTACTTAAAGGAAGGCTGCATTATAATATATTTACGAGTATCCAATACATATAAAGAAAATTAAAATATTTGCATTTAATCTCATTATTAATTATTTATATGTAAAAACAAAATAAGTCATTTTTTGAGTAAGAAACTTGTTTGGCTGAAATAGAATTGCCAATAGAATGGAGACCTCAATTTATTAAATGGACTAAAAAGCTAGAAAAATAAGATAAATATTAAGAGAAGTTGAAGGCTAGTATAGAAATAAAAAATAATGAATACTATTTAATAATCGAAGATGAGAAGGATGAAAAACAATCAGTTAGAATGAATATAAGCGACTTAAAATAACCTATGAATAAATGTAATTTATTAATACCATCACCTCCTTATAATGAGCCAAGGGATATTTAAAACATCCATTGTTTGCCATACAAAGCAAAAGCAAAAATTGAAAATAATTAAAAAGATGTTGAAGAATTGCAAAATAAATTTCGTGGCCTTAAATATAGTGATAAATAGAAATAGAAATATAAAAATTATTCTAGCAGTTCAGAAGTTGAACAAAGTCCTAGCGAAGATGAATTTTCAGGATTTTAAATTCCTGTTCTCTTCCAACTCTCTCATTTAGGTATTTAAATATTTCAACTCAGAAATTAGAGATTCACAAAAAGGACAATAAAGTCAACCTGCAGAAACTTATGATAAATAAAACTTAAGGAATAACTTAATTGATTTCTTGAGAACCAAGGGTGACAATGGAGCTAACATATAAGAGATAAAGCAATACTATAAATTCCAAAGCGTTCCAGAAGTATGAGTATAAATAAATAATAGAAACATTTAAGAGATTCCCTAAAGCTGTTTGCGAAAACTACAATGAAGGCGAACAAATTAATTTACATCTTGCCTTCTACCTTATAGAATTGAAATATCCATGATTAAGAAATCATATGCATAGATAATACAAATATTTTATTATTTAATATAACCATTAATATAATATATTTTTTTCTGTTAATAAAGAAATTTATAATATAAATTTTCATGATATATTTAGCTTAATAACATATATAATAAGATTGATTATCCGAAAGAAATTATCAAATGATTTAATTGGTCAAGGACGAAGATACTTTGAGAAAGTCAAAAGATTATGAACATATTATATGTTTTAAATACTATCCTTGAAATTTGTTATTATAGGAAAAAAGTGTTTCTAAAAATGCTTAAAATGAATGAGGTTATAAATAATAATCAGTCGTTTTTTGCTAGATGTTCATAAAAGCTGTAGGAATGAATGAGCTTATTATCTTCCCTGACTTCTATTTTTAGATTATTTGCTTAAGGTATTGTTTTAGAAGTCTTATATCCTGCTATTTTTTTTGTATTAAGCACATCAATGATAACAATTGGAATTGACCGTTTATTATTTTTGTAATAATGAATAAGAGATTTAGCACTAGAATAATTGAGATCCAAAGCTTTCGCAACCTAAAACTTAAAAAGATATATTTTACCTACTTTATCTATTTTCCCTCTTAAAATACCTCTCTAAACAACTATATCTATTGTTCAATAGGGATTTTGTGAACTTTTCTTGTATTTAATTTGGAAACTATTCTTTTTGGGACATAATCTTCTCCATCAGAGCTTTATGTGCTAGAGATAGGATCCTAAGATTAGTGATGATATATTGGTTGGCTCATATGTCAATAAAGGTTTAAGATATTAATTAAATAATTAAGAGTGATTATGAATTATTTCATTATGACTTTTAATTATCTAGAAATTATATCTTCTTATTTTCTAATAATTAAATATACAATGTATATTACAATATAAATTCGATCATTTCTAATAAATGGAGGAGATACATAAAATTTAAAGATATGGATCAAAATAATAATTATAAATTTATCTTGATTTTATTTATATTTCTAATTCATTAAGCTACAGCAACAGGAGGTTTTCTCATTTCTTTGACAAAGCGCTCGTAGATTTCATCTTCTCTTTGTTTAAGCTCATTCTCAGTTTTTGGAGCATAGTAATTTGGATAATCCAATCCTTATCATATGTAAATATAAATTACCATATTTTGTAATTTTGAGTAGTTGCTTCTCAACGTAATTCACAACTTTAGAAGCATCAGCCCAATTTCTATTAGCATTTGATCTATGTCCAAGAATAAATGGTGGTCTCAGATGAAAATATTGATTTTAATAGTTCTAATAATTAGAAAGAATATTACAAACATTTTATCAAATCTTGCACCAACAGGATAGAGATTAGTAACTCTACCTGATTCATGATTTAGGAATACTCTCATATGATTTAGAAATGATTCGCCTTTGATAAATTCTTCAAATACCAACTCTTAATCTCTTGGCAAATGCTTCATATTCATATTCAGTCAAATCAGGTCTTAATGTGCTGAATGAGGATTTATAATATTTGAAATGTTATTCAGTAGTCATCTATCTTGCATTAATGGCAATTCCTCTTTCTGGGTCAATATATACTTCATCTGTGTCTGTTCCTCTTTGATTTCGCAATTAATTCATTATTATATAAATTAATAATAATTTTAACTTTAATTTTAATACTAATTTCTGAAACTTAAAATCCTCTCTACTTATTCGGAATATCTATTTCTACAATAGCAAATAATAATTCGCAAATTATTAGCGGCGTATACCGTCTTAATGATTCCACTTGTTACTCTGTAATTTTAAATTACTGTAATAATTAAATTATGATTAGAATTTTTCTGAATTATGCAACTTTTAGAAATTTAGATTGCTTTCAAGTAAATTATTTTTGTTTTAAGTTAAATTAGCTGGAGTTCTTCTTCAATGTTGTTTAATCATATACAACATTCCAAGCAGTTGACTTAAAAAATAACTAATTTAATTTGTAAAAACTGAGATTTGCAGCTGCTAAATACAACAGCTACACTATATCAGAAGATCATGATTTTGAATTATTTGAACATTTTCTAAACATAAATAATTTTGAAGAAATTCATTTTCATTTTTTTTGTTTCAATTATTCAGTCCAAATCAGAGACAATTGATTATTATGTCAATTTTATAATTCCTAATGAGAAATTAATTTTAATATCACAATTCATTGATTTGAATTTCATTTTATTGATACTTATAATTTATATATCTATAAACTTCAAAGGTTAAGAACCCATTATTCTAATATCTAAGAGTAATGAAATAAATACATTTTGCCCTGAAATCTTTTTATTTTCATTGCACAATATTCTATTATCTTACAACTCTAATTTTTCAATTGAATGTTTGATGTTATATTTCTAAACTACAATGATAAATAAGTATTTTTATCAATGGAAAATGGAAGGAGAATCATAAGAATATATGAAGATTGATATAAGCACTTTTTAAAATTAAATAAAATCTTTTTTTATTTAAGCAAGCATAATTAATGGGAATTTCAAGAGATAGCAGACACAAAAGAAGACTTACAGGAGGTCGTATGCCAATCCATAAGAAGAAGAGAGCTTTTGAGAAGGGAAGATAAGCTGCAATGACTAAATTGGTATCAGGAGAAAAGAGAGTCAGAAGATTAAGAGTGAGAGGAGGAAATTTCAAATTCAGAGCTCTCCGTTTATCAGAAGGCAATTTCTCTTGGGGAAGCCAAGGTGTTGCTAAAAAAGCTAAAATTGTTGAGGTGGTTTATCATCCATCCAATAATGAATTGGTCAGAACCAAAACTTTGACCAGAGGTGTCATTGTCTAAGTAGATGCTACTCCATTCAAACAATGGTATGCCAAGAAATACAATGTTGAATTGGGATCAAAGAAGAAGAAGGTAATTAATAATCATAATTATATAGGAAACAACTGGAGAATAACCTAAGAAATTAAGTTCAAAGTAAGAGAAAAGAGCTAAGGAAAATGTTATTGATTAATTCGTCTAAGAATAATTTGCCAATCAAAGATTGTTAGTCAGAATTACATCAAGACCAGGATAATCAGGAAGAGCTGATGGCTATATCTTGGAAGGAAAAGAATTAGAATTTTACATTAAGAAAATCGAATAGAAGAAGAAATGATTTCCATCATCAATACATTAAATTGCATAATAATAGTACATCCTAGAAAATATTGTTTTTCATAAACACAATTTAAATTAAGATATTTAAATTGATATCATTTTTTCCTCTTTTCTGATCCAAATAACTTTGAATATGAATTCAATTTGTTCACAGTACTGTGAGTTGTTGTTTTAGGAGATGACAAATTACAAAATTATTCTGTTTTAATTCTTTCAATTTAATTTTTTTGATTTTAATCAGGGATAGTTGTTAATCTGTCTGAACTTTATAATTGTTTTGATTGATCAAATAGAAGTTTTAGTTTCTAAAATATGGAGATTTAATTTACTTTTAATTCTTAAATAGATATTTGAGATTTTTACTAGGTTTTCGAATAAACATGATTCATTTTTAGAGATTCTTACATTATTTAAGAAGTCTTAGTCAAAAGATTATGCTTCTTAAAATAATCATTAGTTTCACTTTTTATACTTGCTTTTAAAGATTTTTTACTTTCTTAAGGAGAGTACTAAAATCTAAAGTATTAATACCTTAGCTTTATTTATTGTCTATTTTGGTGGAGATATTGGTTCTTTTTAAAAAAATTGGGATTATAATTTATTGCCATTTATTAGGTTAGATCTATTACTGTATTCCTCCTAATTCGCTTTTTAATAATAGAAGTTCGATAATTAATATTTTGCTGTGTCAACATTCTTTAAAAATCAGTTATAACAATTACTTGAAATTCATTATTCATATTTATTGCGAACTATTTCCTGAACTCAGCATCCCCCTTATTAAACTCCTCTTCATCAAAATTATATTTTAAAGGTTCTGGCTTGTAAGGAGTAGGTAACTATCGATTCATAATTTTTTCAAAATCAACATCATTAAACCAAGGATGAGTTAAAATTTCAATAACTCCTTACTTTGATCCTAATCTTTCAGTAGCATCCTTTTCTAAAAGGGAAGTAATCAAATCTTTCAATTAATTTGATATTTAAACATAATCAGGAAATTAAATGGTTTCTGTTAAGATTGAATGATAAATTTCCTAAGTATTATGAGAATAATAAGGAGGCAGACCTGAAATCAACTCATATAGTAATGCTCCTAAACAGTAGCAGTCAACTAAGTAATTGTGACCTGTTTTCATGAGCATTTCAGGAGCCATATATTCGGGAGAACCACAAAATGAATAAGCAAAATCATCAGCTGCCATACCGGGTTTAGAGAGTCCGAAATCACTTAACATGAGATGGCCTTACAAATCTAATAAGATATTTTCGGGTTTGATGTCCCTATAGACAATATTTTAAGAATGTAGATAATTCATTCCTATGCAGATTTCAACAAAGTAATATTTAGCATCTTATTCATTTAATTTTTTCAACTTTCTTAAATGATAAAATAACTCGCCCCCTGCACAATATTCTAAAACAAATGCTATGTAAAACTTTGATTCGAATGCATAATGCAATGGTATGATATATTAATTCTCCATTTTAACCATGATATCCCTTTCATTTTATACAATAATTTCTTTGTTATTGTCAATAATAAACTTTTTATCAATCAATTTTAATGCATAAAATATTCCATTATCCTTTTTCCTAACTAAATATACTCTTGAAAACCCTCCTACTCCAATACATTTTATTAATTAAAAATCCTTTAATCCAACCTTTTTCGTAGTTTAAGGCTAAGAATACATAGGTTATAACTAAAGCGTTATTCCTTGAAATACTGTCAAACTCATATCAGGTAGAGATAAGTAATAGTCAAAAGGAACTTTTTTTTGTATTGTACAAAATTAACAAATCTTCTTGATCTCTAGAATCTATTGTAAACTTTACCAGCTTGTATTTAAACATCATCAGTAGAACCTGTGCCTCCATCTTATTGGGTATGATTTTTTTCAATGCTGGCTATTTATTAGATCAAATAATTATAGAGATCACATGTAGATTAGTTGCCATAATCGAATAAGTAGTAATATCTATTAGGTTATGCTGATGTATTACTTTGAATTTTTGTAATATAAAACTATTTAAAGTTTCTGTTTGGGATCATACTCCAACATATCATCACTCTTAGTTTTGGCATATTATTTAGGTTAAGGAGTTTGTTCTGTTTTTGAGTGTCCCTAATTCAGAGATTTTGATTCAATATCTGTTTTTCTGATAATTTTGGGTTGCATTATTTGATAAGAACCTTTTGGGCCTTTTTAATTGAAAAAAGCATCTTCTATTGATTGTTTATGATTAGTTGATGTATCTGAAATAATAGATTATTTATTTAATTTTTAATTAAAATACTTTTGATATTAGTTTTAAATTATTTAAGCATTTTTCAACTTTAATATGTTAATTAATTACCATATCGCATAAGTATGAGTCATTTTATTGTTATTTCTTTTTTTCTGGTTTGCTTTAACCTGTAGGTGTCTAATTGTATGAAGTTTTTGTTGTTAATGAATGCTTAGGCAATTCCTTTTTCTATATAATAATCCCCCATTAATTACATCTAAAGATACTGTCGCTAATGATAGATTCTTGTTTTTCAGAGTTGTCCTTTTTGGATTGCTGCCCTCCTCGGTTTGAACACGCAATTCAGCACCCTATTCAAATTTACTAATGTTCAAATTACATTAGGTTATGAAGTTTTGATTCGATCACTTTTTAATGTTTGCAGAAACATATTATCAATACTTTTACTCCCTTTGAATTTAGCTCTCATTAGATTAGTTGCTATAGCCAATGAATTTCTTTCCCTCTTAAAATAATCAAGTAATTTTGCTTTTGCTTTTTCTAAATGTCTTTCTGTTTTTATTGTGCCAACAATGGTTTTTATATTTTTCTTTTCTAATCTTTGTGGGGATTCTTAATAACTATTTTTGTTAGTAACCTTATCCATCTAATGACTAAGCTTCTTCATTAATGAAGTTAAATAATTTATAAAATGAATTTATATTATACAAAATTCATTACATTATTAGTTATTAAAATATCTTAGTTCTTTGGTTACTTAATCTTAATCTTGATATTTATTTTGTTTTGTTCCAACATTTTAATTCTATAATTTAGATATTATGATACTTAATTTTATAAATTAAAAATCTGAAAATCGAGAAAAAATTAATTATATGAAAAATTAGTAACGCTAACTTAAAAGTGCTTTCACTCATTTCATCAACGATATAATATTTATAAAAAATGGCATTTCATAATCATAAACAAAAAATCAAACTAAATATTTGATAAATATATTTCATAATTTAAGGGGATTAGACTTGAAAGATATCAATTTTAAATTGGATCTCTTGATCAAATATAAATTTATTAAGAAAAGGAAGAGATATTAGAAAGCAAAGGGTTAGGCGATTTAAAGAAATGATAGAAGATTTTCTATTTCACTTAAATAATTACTCTAGTATTGTTCTGAGTAATTTATTAAACCTTGGGAGAACATTATATAAATACTTAATTACAATTAACAATTCAGTTGATTATAAATTTCAATACTAAATTATTTTATTGTTTCCTATTTAGATGAATTCTTAAAGAAATTCTCTAATTTATCTAAACTCATACTAATTAATGCGATATTAATTTGCATTAAAATCAAATCATTAATACCAACACACCTTTCTAAAAAGATTTAAAAATACACGAAGTAGCTTAAAATATACAATTTAGTATCATTCTTCATTACTATCTGAATCATCCTAAAGGATCTAACTAGTAGACTAATATAATCATGGGAATTTGTTGCGCTCTAAACTACAGTAACTAAATTAATAATTCAATTGAACTAAAATCAATAAAAACTAATGAAAATAAAATTAAATTGAATAATTTCTTCTATAATCATAAATTTCAATTATTTGATAAAATTTAATAGATAAAAATATACACCGAATATGGAAAATACTCATTTGGTTGAAGAATCTTAATAAATCAACTAGTAATATTAAAATCCACAAACATCAGAAAATAGATTTCAAAGTTTGTAATCCTAAGATGAAGATGATGAAAATTAATAAATCAATAATTCTCATTTTAAGAATTTAAGCTCATCATCTATCTAGAATGTTCTTTCTTCTTAAAATAGTGACTTAGATTAAGAGAACCAGGATGATGCCTTTAATTTCATTAAGCAAGAATAAAACTAAATAAATAACATTGAAAATTAATAGAATGAATAATAAATTTTACCACTAGAGAATGATCAAAAGGAAGAGAAGATAATTTAAAATGACTCAAAGGTTACCCAAACTTAAGGTGTACAAAATGAAGAACCTTAGAAAGAGTAATTAGAAGATAAAAATCATTCTCAAATGAACAATAATTCAGAAGATAAAGATATTAAATAAGTATCAGTTAACATCTTGATTAAACAAATTCCAACTGAAACTTCAGATTTAAAATATGAATAATAAAGGGGAAGCGAAGTTGAATAGAATATTTAAAAAATTCAGAACAGTTCCTAACAAGTAGAAAAGCTTAAATCAATCATTAAGTCTCCAAAATCTGGAACTTCAAATGTTTAATCAGGAGATCCTTCTTTAGATAAAAGTATTTCACCAGAATAATTATTAAAATATAAAAGAAATGAAAAATTGTATAATTAGATTATGGAGACTAATTTAAATGAAATCTTCTTATTTTACTCTAAATAGTTCTAAAGTCCGATAAAATTACCCACAAAAACAAAAGAATCAATTTTTGAGAAAAAATCATTTATGAGTTTTCCTTAATACATGCATTTCTGTAAAGATTTTTAATTAATTGATTTGTTGGTCACCAATGAATTTATAGAGAAGTATGCTGGTCCCAAAAACCAAAAACCTTTATACAAAATAAAATATAAGAATAGAGTAAAAGATTCATTTATTATTACTAAATAAATTCTGCAGGAAATCTTTCAGAAATGCTCTGGAATCCAATAATTAAGCTTTTCAGAGTTTTTATACTCATTAATAAAAATAGCGGATATTGTATTTCCAGTTTCTAATTCTATAAATGCACTCTATTTATTTTTAGGAATTCATGATCCAGAAATCTACAACAAAAAGTTATCTACAATTTAAGATATGAATTAATCACGTATATAAAATCAAGATAATATAATATCTAAATAAGAAGTTAAAAAAATACTCCCTACTATAATAAATAAACCAATAATTGAAAATCACAAAAGTTAAGATACATCTCAAATTTCAAAATTTAATTAAATTTAGGAGATACATAGGAGATCAAAGGTCTAATAAAATAATAATTAGAGCTATTCAATTCGATGGGAGGATTTGGTAAGTAGTGAAAATGAATTTGATCCCAGAAAATTGTTATTGGATGAAGACCTTACAGATTAGGATGATGCTATCTATTTGAAAGAGTACATGATAAGTGAATTTGGAATAAAGAAAAAATAAGATTTTGTAAAGTAATATTAAGAAGGAGAAAGGATCAAGTATTCCCAGTATCCCTACTAAAACTACTAATAAAGAAAAAACCAAGGTTATACTGAAAGTTCATCTAGAGAGCAAAACCCATCAAGTTTATAGGGGAAGCTAATATATTAAAAGGATACTATGTTTTTATAAAAAAGATAGGAATTGGCTGAAGCATAATTAATTTATCCTACGCTACCTATAAATTAAATGTCTCAAATGCTTCAAAAAGAAAGGGGTAAATAATTAATTCATCCTAATTCTTTTGAGTAAAGAAAAAACTACAATGTTATAAAACAACTTCCATCTCTTAATAAATCTTATGCTAATTAAAATATTAGTTCATCAATTGAGAGAGGACAATAAAATGCATAATAAATAGATCATGTTAGTAAATAGAACTTACGTAAAGGGGAAATAAATTAAAAAAAAAGAGATTAATAAATTTATTTAGGAATGTTAAAACTATAGGATAACAAAGCAAGAAAAGTATAAAGGAAATGACTTTATTGATGTTATTTATAACTTAAAATCTCATTTAATTCTTTTTAGTTTTCTTATAAGTAGATTTAGTTTCATAAAATTAATTTTAAGGACACAAATTGAGAAGAATCACTACTATAGGAGTAATTCAACTTAAAAGGTAATAATCAAATTGGGCATAAAATACTAAATAGTAGAAAAATAATAAGGTTAAGAATGGATTCGTTGAAGCTAAATATAATTTTGATGAACTAATATTGAAATTAGAAGAGCAATGTGAATAAATATAAAAAAAATATACGTTTTTGAATATAATTATATAATGAAATTCATTGCCTTAGCGATGTTGGTGATGCTAGCAACATCACAAGAATTCGTAGAATTTTACTCAGCATTTTAAAATTCAGATGTAGCATAATTGGATGGATGGACAATACAAGGATCATTGTCAAAAGCTTAAACTGATAATTTCTTTACTTGTTCAGGTGCCTCAATTTTTGGAGGACCTAAAGCATTTGGTAAAGGAGCAATAGTTACCAAATAATTTTAATTGCCTCCTCATTTTTAGATTAAAATATAAGTTGAAGTCTGGAAGTATAGAAATTATACAAATCTAGATTTGATGCATGGGACACTTAGAGATAATTTTTTTATTTGGATAATTACCTCTGGGAAACAATGTGGACTGGAAGTGATGGAACAAAAAGATGCGCAACTCCAGCAGGCGGTAATGTAAATTCATTCTCAGTTGATTAAACAATAACTCATAATCATGCAGCATTATTTATTGCATTTACATCTTCTGCTGACAAGACAGCCGACAAAGTATAATCAATGCTAATCTTTAGATGTCTTGGGGTTTTAGAAACTTGAAATTATCTTATTTGCCATGTCCAACGGAATGTGGTACATGCCTTGGACCAGATGCAATTGTTTGTTAGATGTGGGTTCCAGTATCATCAAGTTGGATAAAGAATGTAGATGCTGATGGATGGAGTGCAAAAGGATCTTAAACTAGTATTAAAACAAGTACTTGTGCAGGAGTTCCAATTATTGGTGGTCCTGGTAATTTTGGTAATAATGTGTCAATTTAAAAAATCTTTGATAAACTAGTGCCACATTATAGAATTAAGGTGATAGCATAATTTTGGAAGATTGATAATTGGGATAATGATAATGCAGTTTTGTCTATTGATAATTAAGAGAAATGGAAATAAAATGTTGCTTAAGTAGAAGATAAGGAATACTTCATTTGTGATAAGATCAGTCCAGGAGGTGTTGATGGAACAGAAAAGATTATTAATGTTAACTTTGAAACTCCCCATAATTATGGTGCTGCTCTTGTAAAATGGACATCCACCATCAAGAAGTCATCTAAATAAGCATCTTGGGGTATCAGACAATTCCAATTATATGTTGCATAATGTTCAAGCAATTGTGCAACATGTACTGGACCAAGTGTTGAAGATTGTACTGCTTGTGTTTCTCCTTATGTATTATTGGACCCAGAAGATGGAAATGGATCTGGTTGTGTATTGAAAGGAGATTGGGTTGAATTCACATCAGAATTCTAAGGGGCAGGTTGGACAGCTAATCCAGATTGGAAAGTTGCTGATGGTAAAAATGGACCAGATTTTACATCATAATGTGGAGAATTCAAATTCTTTGGTGGTTTTGATAAGACAGGAAAAGATGCTAAAATCACTAGAAAATTCAACTTACCTCCACATAAAAGAATTAGAATTGCATTTGAGGCTTGGAAAATTGATAACTGGAATGGAGAAGATTATTTTGTTAAAGTTGATGGATTAAATGTTTGGTAAAGAACATTTGGATTTGGAGATCCTGGACTTGCTGATATTTGTGGTGGAGACGGATTTGAAAATTATGCCATAGTTGATTTTGTTATTGGACATGAAACACCCACTTTGGATTTACTTATATCAACCACTATTGGAAAAAGCAATGATAATGCCTCATTTGCACTTAAAGGATTTAAACTCTACTATGAAAAACCAGATGCTTGTGCTACTCTTTATACAGAATGCAATTATACAGGTAATTATTTTATTCTATTAATTAATTAGGAAAATCATTCAACATGTGTGAAGACTTACCTAACTTCCAATTAGCTAAATATCCAAGCAAAATCAAATCAATTTAAGTTCCAGCAGGAGCTAAAGTGATTCTTTTTGATGAAATGGATTATAATGGTATTCAATATTATTTTATAAATAGGAAAAACCATTGAATACACTGAAAATCAAAAGTGCATTGAAGAATATCAATACAAATTCCTTTAAAAAAACTAATAAAGTTATGTGTTAACAGCTAACAATTGATATAATAAATAACATATAATCATAAAAATCCTGCTTTTTTTTTAGTGTTTTTGCTACGGTTTTACTTTTATTCATTGTTATCATCGTTCAAAACTTATTAACCTTTTCCTTCAAACATATCAGATAATGTATTTTCATAACTCTACCATATTTGTTCCTCTAATGATTTTAATATAGCATATACTTTTATTTATATTTTAGGAAGGATTGTCATTTTTATTTTATTGTTATGGCTGTCTCTTTTTGATTTGCTGTAATGTTTTATTCAATTTATTAATTGCATAATATTGGATGAAATAATTTGCCATAGGAGTAAAGTTTATTTAACATATTTTCTCTTGGTCAATTTGATCATCTAAAATGTAGACACTCAAGTCTTCATCTTTATCCCTAACTTTATATTAGGCCCTTTCCTTTTCATTCAATCTCTTTATATAATCCTACTCTAATTGCGAAAAGGCTGATTTGTAGTTATTGCATCTATTTTCCAAAGAATGGATTGTTAACAGCAATGGATTTATAATGTCATTTATTAGAATTTTGTTATGATGTTGGTCATCTACAACTTTGCAATCGAAAACCCATGTTAAAGTGTAAATCTTAATGACATTACTGTAACCGTAATACAAAGAGGAGTCATTCAACTTGAAAGAGTATTCGGCTTAAGGATCAAATTTTAGAGCTAAATCTAATAGATCCAACACTCCTTGGAAATTTGTAGTTTAAATTGATTTGTTGTACAGTTCTTTATCCTTTTGGATACGATCTTTGTTGAGTTTGCAAATCCAAGATTACCTTAGATTTGTGATGACTTTGTCTTATATACATAATTACAGATCAAACACTTATCAATATTGATGCCTGCTCGTATTAAATAGGGTGTGTTTCTGCATCCTGTCCATAAGGGTTGGGCTGAAACTAATTTTAAAAATACTACCTTTTAAAAAAATTAGATCATCTTCTTCAACATTCATTTTAATAATATTAATTAATTAAATTATGAATTTCCGATTCTCATTAAAGTAATTAATTTTAATAATAAGAATAATATATCTATCTTAAATTTAAATTCTCATTAAAATGTTCATTTCACTTAGACAAAGATTGGTTTGGCATAGTCTAAGTTAAAAATTGTTAATAAAAATAAAAGGGGCTTGCATATATTAATTTTAATGTGATAATATTTATTCTCCGATTTATTATGCATTACATAATATCTTTCTTAAGATTTTCAAACAATTTAATAATGAACAGCAAACATAATAAATATTTTATCAAATGGGCTGCTCTCTTAAAAAAGAGAAACGATTCTCAACCTTCAATATTAATGAATAAAACACTTTTTATTTTGTGATAATAAATGGAGACCAAGAACTTAAAAATCTTAAATAAAGAAAGAGATTGTCAAATTCAGTTCCAACTTTGGGCTCAATAAGTATTATTTATCATTCAGTAAAATCTAGATCATAGCACTATAATTTAAAGGAGAAATAAACTACTTCAATCTTAATTAGGTCAGATGGTATTATAAAGACATAATTTAAAGACTTCCACCCAGTAACTTCATAAGAGTTGAATAAATATTTATATTTCTAAAAGATCATAAAGATAATATATTATTATTATGCCTAACTCCTCAATTATCATATTACTCCTTAATAATGATAAGTGAGGAATGGTAATGCAACATTATATTCAGAATGATCAAGATATGTAAATTATTCTTAAAAGCTCCATTTTAGAGGTTAAAAAAATAGTTATTAATTTAATATCAATTTAAAAATAATTAAATTATTTTATATTTTCTAATAATGGAGGAGAGAATTGTCTAATTTGCACCATTCTTAGCAAGCAGAGCCAACGAAATTGCTTAATTGTAAAATACTCTTAAAAGCAAATTTCTAAACTCAAATGCTTAGCCATTTTAAGTGATCCATAAGCACATGCGAAGAAGAGCAATGTCACATAATAGATATCGTATTCCTAGTTCAGTAGACTTCAATCATTTTATAATTAGTTAAGAAAACATATGTCTGGCCCAGGATTGGAAGAGAGGGACTTGAAGTAAAAAACCCCAAAGTGTCGAAAGCATTTAAGAAAGCGAAGAGATTTAATATTTCTGAATAGATCAAATAAAATTTTATGGATGGAAACTCACTTGTATTAGGTCAAGAGAATGAAGATGATTACTTACTGTGGATTTAAAGTACCAGAAAAAGCAAACGAAAAGAATTTTAGAGCAGTGCACAGATATTTTGATCATGGAAGTATGATTTTTGATGCTTCATACTATTAAATTGTTGAGGGCAACATAGAAAATGAATTAGTTGTTGACGATCACACAATTATTCATCCTTAAGAAGTACCTGATACAGATTTTGTTGTTCATAATAATAAATACAACATTTTTTAAGTAATCGGAAGAGAATCCTTATAAATTATTAACTCTTTATTAAATATTTTTAATTGCTAAATAGATGGTCAAACTCATAAATATTTTAGTTTTAATTATTAATATGAGAAGATATAAAGTGTAACTACAAAGAAGGGTAGGAAAATCAAGACATTAGCTGATTATGATGAGGATATGAAAGACATGTATGAAGTTTTTGAAAATAAAGGGGATGAAGATATCTATAAATCTGTTTGGTAAATAGATTAAAATTAATTTATGAAGAGGTTCAAAATTGATACAAGAAATCGATATACACATTAGAGAAATAAAAAATAAATATTCAAAACTCTTTTAGAAATTAGATAACAATAATAATAATAATAATAATAATAATAACAATAAGCTGAACCATAAATACTAATTGATCTTATGAAAAAAAAAAGAGCCATGAGATGGTTATTAAATTAAATGGATAAAAATGAGAATGACATAAGTGTTGAGTTATTTGATTAAAATGAAAAAGAATAAAAACCTGATCAAGAAATTTAAATAGAATAATAGCCTGATGTATAAGAATAGTAACCTTAAAAAGAAGAAGATTTATAAAAGATATAATAAAATACTACTCTAAAACCTAAGGATATTCATATAAAGATTTTAATAATACCACCGTCAAATTAGATAAAGAAGCAAATTGACGTTGGTTACAAATTAATTGTTAATTTGGGAGGAGGATTAATAGTTTGGAGATTGTTCAATTAATTAAAATTAAAGCCTGTTGGCTTACGTGATATTCGTCAAATATGTTTGGAAAATAATGTCTTTTTTAATGAATACGAAAATGAAGATCTCATTGAAAAGTATCTCAAAAGTACTAATAAAATAAATTATTTGGCTCTGCAGTTTCCTTATCCATTTTCATTTGATTTTTCACTATATCCATCATGGTGTTCTTGCCATTTAATAGCTTATAAGAATGTTCCATAAAAGCAAGCATTGATCCTTCAACCTACTGAGGAAGATTTTGGGCTCCTTAAGAAGAAAGTCTATAAAATCCAAATATAAAGAACAGAGGATGAAAAGCCAAAAATAAATAACAGAGTTGAAATTTTGCAATATGAAAAAAGGCTTTCAGAGATAGTTTAGAAACGAAAAATCTTGGGAGTGGTAACTTTTGGAAATATATCATTATAACATGGGAAGGGAATAGGGTAAGGAAAAATTGATGGAAGGTTGGCTGGAAAAGACATTATTGTTCTCTTTCGTAATCATGATTCTGAATATTGTTTCTTCGCAGATTGCAAGGTAAATACCATTTGAATTAATACGTATTTGATATATTAAAATATACAATTTAAATTTATACAAATCAAACTAATTCTATTGATTCTGGTTTTCGAACGTAGATCTAAAAATCATAAAATCTCTCAATCGCCAAATCGAATAAAAATAGCATACAAGTTAGAGCTAGAGCTAAATAGAGTTATGGTCTAGAATATTGAATGAAATAAATACGAGACAAGATATCTGTAAAAGTTAAATGAGGGAGACAACTCATAATCGTTCACTAAAATCAAGATTAGCCAATAAACAAGAATTGATAGTACAATGAAAAATATAGTGAAGTTGTAATTTGTATATGTAAAAGTGAGTACCTTAAGATTAACAAGAAGAATGATGATTCCATATATAAATACTCCATCTTCAAAAAATTCCATTGTCATACCGTTGTCCATGTTTTAGTTCTCTGTTGAAAATGTGCAGACTAGAAATATGATCAAGCCTTGAATCATTCCATTGAAAACCCAAAGCCAGAACTTAATAATAGTAAAAATTGGTTATTATCTAAACTAGACATAGACATCAGGTTTATCTTCAAGTAAATTATGTGATGTCTTGCTCCATTATAAGTATTCAGAAGAAGGGTGCATTTCATCAAAGAGAGCATAGAGCACCTAAGGCAGAGAAGCAAAGACAGTGTTAAATAGTTAAGAGAGCCATTGGTCGTATAAGTATTGCCCACTAAAGCCATTGAGGAATCCAAACCAAAAGTAAGGAGTGATGAAAACCTAGTTCTTAAAAAATATGTATAGAATCGTAAGCGCATTTCTTCTGGAACACTCAACCCCATAATAAAACATTAATCGTTTAAGATGTTTGAATTCTTAGATGGCAAAGTCTGCAGCTCTGGCAGCTTGAGTGCCTTCAACTCCTTAAATTCCAACTCCGACATGGGCCTTAATAGAGATGATCGAATTTACCTCATTAATCATGGAAACGTCATTGGCTCCATCACCAATAGCCAAAGTGTAAGCCTTTGGGAGATACTCTTTAACTAAAGCTACTACTTATTGCTTTTGTTTTGGAGATACTCTGGCCACTATGACAACCTTGGCATAGAACGCTCTTTTTAGTAGCATTGATTTAAGTTATGGATTATCTAACATTACTGATAATGCTTATCCGCTAATCACCAATGCAATATTAGCTGACTCATTACAATAATGCAAAAATACTTCCTCTATGCTCCCAACTGTTGTTTCCGTAACTACTTAGAGCATATCATTGCTGTCAATCAGATTGCAAGAGTATCCTATTGCAATTGCAGTTTCAACTTTATCACCTGTTAGAACCCAAACCTTTATTCCTGCAGACTTTAATTCTTAAATAGTTTATCCAACATCATCAGCTAACAAGTCTTCAACAGCAGTAATTCCTAGAAACTCTAAATTGGATTCCAAAGTCTTTTGTAATTTGTTCATCATCTCTTCATCTTTATCCTCTTAAGCCTTTTTGTAACTATAATTTTAATAAAGTGTTATATACTCTGCCAAATAAAAGTCAATCTCATTTTATTTAAATGTCTTTCTACCCAACATTAAGGTTCTGTATCCTTTGATTGCAAATTGATGGATGACTTGCTAGTGTTTGCATTCTCCTATTAATTCAAGTAATACTTCATCAGCGCCTTTGCAAAATAAAATATATTCATTCCCAGTTTTGACAACGATGGTCATTCTCTTTTTTTCACTGCTAAAATCAAAACTCATTACTCTATGGAAATGAGTTTAGTTTATGGTAAGATTATTATTATTATCGATGCCTTAAAATACATACCCTTTTTATTCACAATAATCTAATATTGCTAATTCATCAGGAGATGATCCTATCAATTTATTTTTTGATTTTACAACAGAATGACATAAACTCAAACACAATAAGGCTTCTTTTTCATTTTAAGCAAATAGTTCTCTAAACTGCATAGAATTTTTGGTTAATGTACCTGTTTTATCAGTAAAAACAATATTGATTTCTCCTAATTATTCAATCAAATTAGATTAGTGTGACTTTGAATTGGGCATCACCTTGTCTGATTCTAACATTTTGGCTTGTCCAAATTTGACTAATTCCACATTGACAACCAAAGATATGGGTATAAAATATGAAAGCAACGAAAACCATAATCCAAGATCTACAAATACATTGTCTTTCGAAAGTCCCAAATATGAGTAATTAAGATGATTGTTAGTCCATAGGAATTCATAGATCGATGCCATTATACAAAACAATGCCAAACTGATGGATATGGACATAATACATATTCTCATATATTATTCCAATCTACTTCGTTTGGTTCTTTCTTAAGAGCTGTTCAACATTATTTTACAATCCATACCACTGTAAATACACAAACCTATTATCCATTCTGTGTTTTTCAATATACAATCTCTTTCAATAAAGTTACCATAGTTCAATGAATTTACTTCAGAATTACTAATTTGATACGTTCCTGATAGTTTATAGAGTATTGGGTTCTTCTAATCGTATACGAATTTAACACTGTTATCTTTTTTCTTCTGTTTAATTACTATATAAATACAAAGTTTATTGCATTGTCAATGTGATATTTTTGTTATAAATCGTAAATTGAATATTTTTGCTTTAAGTTTGTTTCGCCATCTATTTGCTTTGTCTCCACATATGCTATGCCTCCTTAATAACTCGATGACAATATTAAGATGTCGCAAGGAATACTTTCATTTTCCATCACCATGATAATGTCTGCTTGATAGATGTTCTTCCAATTGCACTATATAAACTAATTTTCAAAGTATTTGTGCGATTTACGATTATTCTCTTCCTAATCAGATTTATATCTACTTTAATTAGAGTCTTACCTAGAATATTCTTCAAAGGCATCTTTAATTATACTAATACTAATCATCATTGACAAAGGACCATAAATAACAGGCACACCATTTGTATAAGAAGTGACAGGTATTATTTGTAATATACCAATGACAATGAAATAGATATTAGCAGGTTGCGTAATTTGTTTGATAAAAGCATATGGAAGAAAAGTGAGCCAGGTTGTTTTCATAGTTGTTATAGTGTTAGGTCTATTCCTCATAGGAGTATCATCTGGCAAGATAATCTTTTCTGTTTATGAAATTGATTCATTAATTTGGAAGTAACTCTTCATTGGACCAAATAATTTGCTGCAAATTATAATATATATTGCAATTGATTTTAATTCATCCAATGGTTCAATGGTTCAAGAGACAACAACTTTGTGATGTATATAATTTATTAAAAATTTAATCTTCAATCCTAAGTGGTTGTGCTGCTATCAGTATCAATGACTCCATCTATAATGCCTGTGTCCTTTGAGAGTATCTCTTCTCTTATTGATTCATCTATTTTTATGTTGATAGTCGAAGGATCAAAGAATTGTTCCTACCCATCCTATTCATTTACAACTTCATTCTTTTCCTCCATCTCCAATTCCTTATCAATTGACTCTGTATCTTTAATATCCTCGCTCTTATTCTCTGCTTGCTCTTATTTTTCTGTTGTTGTTTCCACATTTCGCTGAATATCATTAGCCGATTGGATTTTATTTATGACTTACTTAATTTCATGATTTTAATTGGGACTGTACATATGAATTGTATGTTTAATTTTATCAGTTAATTTTGTTCTCTTTAATAATTGTACTTAGTCCATATCTAAGGTGAATTAATGAAGGCGTTTGATATCTTCCACATTTTCAGATGGTATCACAGTAAGATGTTTTAATTCTAAAATATGGAAGTTATATTCAGATCCTAAGAACAAAAACTTTGCTTCAAAATGAATCGGCTTGCCCTTTTCCAATTTTTAAAATGTTGAAATTGAATATTAAGATTCGGTTACACCAATGATTATGTCAGGTAATTCATCAGTTGACTCTGTGGGATCCATCTTTAAATATACCCAATAATTGAAATGGAAATTTGGATCATGATTAGGTTTGGTTTGAATAAAATCACTAAAATTAATTTTTGTATAAAATACCCTTTCCATGAAACTATTTTATTCTTGAAATGGGTTTCAAATTGATGTCTTGCTTTCAAGCTATTATCAACAAATTGAAATTTGCCACAAAACTGTAAGAAATCAACCCACGATTTGTTCGCATAGACATTTGCTTCAATTTAAGGATGCTCTTACTCTACGAAATATTCAAAGTAAAAAAACAGAGAGATTATAATTGCCAACAAAATTAATGCATACTTTCTTGATACTACTACTATACAATTGCCAAATCTAAATTATAGAACTTGATCGTTGATGTTGGGTAATTAGAAATATTTTCTTTTTTCCAATTCCTAATGACAATAGTAGCATCTCTTTATTATCATCTTGACAGTTATTTATGTTATATACTTTCGTTGATTAAAACACCAAAGGGATGATAAATATGCACCAAATTCCAAAATAAAACAAAGAGACAAAGGAAATTATAAATGAAGCTGGAGATGGCACTTATTCCAAAATACTTTCCCTTGCTGCACCACAATTAGGACATACAGGTTAAGTTGAATCAACTGCTGTTTCACCCTACTCCTCGTTTTCAGTCTTCGATATTAACATAATTAATTAATATTAATGACAAAATTCCATCAATTCTTAATTTTAACATAAAATAACCATCCACGCATTCCTAAATATATGAATCTTAAAAGTTATAATATTTTATATGACATTCTCAAAAAATAAATCATAAAAAAGGTTGCTTAAGATCTTGACGTGGAGCATGAGCCTTTGATTATTCCAACCTGTTCTTTTGAACATACTCCTGACCCTCTTCCGTATGTTCATCTGCATATCCGAGCTCAAATTAAAACCTTTGAAAACCCAAAGCTCCCAGTAGTTTATCATAGATGTCAAATATATTGCAAATGATCAAAATCACCAATAAAATTGGAAAGGCCAGCTTGAATTCGGCTATTCATTATATATTCAATTTAATACTTAAATACTAATCGAAATTGAAATTTCCAACCACATTTGCAATATCAGCATCTGATTCATTGAACATCCAAAAGAAATTAAAAGCCAAAGGAAAAGCAATTCTTGAAATAAAAGTAGCTGAAAAGATTAAGGACGGTCCATCTGTGAAACCGTAATCATAAAATCCATATCTATTCAATCTTATACTCAGAAGCCCGTACTATACACAATATAACACATAAAGTAAAGGAATTAATACGAGTATTTGAACTGCAAAAAACTCTTCCTCGTCATTTATGAAATAGATGAACACATTAAATTTAAGATTACCAAAGATTGCAATCTCAGATAATGTAATTAGAGCTCCAAGACAGATAAAAATTATAGCTGCACTGTACATGATAATTTTCCAAAATTTGACGTACCAATAATATTGCACTTTGTCTATGAAGGTTCCTAAGCAACCAACTCTTTCAGGTCTTATGGCTGATGTTATTTTCTTCTCTCTAACATCACAATTGATGATGTCCTCTATAAATAATGCTTATTAGGTTAATATTTCCAATTTCTTTGTATTCCTGACGCAATCATATGATAATTCCTTTGCCCGCTTATGAATCTCTGCAAATTTATCAAGATTCATATCTTCTAAGCCTTGGTCGTTCTTACTTCTCAGACGACTGAGCTTTGCGGAATCTATCTATTCCTTTGTGAATAATTCAAGTATCTTTTAGACATAAGGCTGATATTCTTCATTGAATTTGTATTTTGATTCATAAGATAAAATTTCAATCAACAAATCATCTAGATCCAACAATTCCCGCTCAAGCAATTCTTTAGTCTTGTTTATGGAATGATATTTTAAGTTAAGTTAAATTTGATGGTTGCTTTCTCTAAAAAATTATTTTGGAATGGCAACTATCGCATATCCTAAAAGAAAAGTAACAATCAACAACCCTCTAAAGATTAATCAATTTTAATACAATGCATTACTCAGCACCACTGTAAATGCTAGCAAAGCCTGAAAAGTAAATGATTTCTCAACTAGCAAATATATTGTAAATGCTATTCCTAAAACCCCAAAAATCGCATAGGTTATCAAATTTATTTTAATCGCTCTAATGAGTTTTTGCTTAAAAGTGAATTCTCCTGCATCTTCATAGTCTAAAGTGATTGGAAGAAAAAACCTATTATATAGAATACCATAATCATTACCATGTTAACAAAAATGTTACCCAATACAATACTATCCAAATTATCTCTATTTTAGTGTCCTCTAATTCTTATTCATTCTAATTATCATTCAAATCTTACTTTGTAGATGTCCAATGGTAAGATTATAATCAGGCTAAACGAAATCAACCAAGAAATTAATGTTAAGGCTTTAACATAAAAATTCACTTGTTTTTAAGCATGACTATGTATCACATACCACAAATATGCAACAAGGAATATTGATTCGATTATCAATAAAATTAACATTTAATTAACAAACATAGAATCGAATTAATATAAGTATATGAATATTATATTAGATTCAATTTTTATCCATATTATACTAAAAGCAATCTGAATTTTAATGTTTCCTAATCAGGTGATGTATATAACAAATTATGCATATAATCATAATAATTCATTTGCAGAATTTAAGTGTTTAGATACTTTTACACTAATTACCGATATGTTTATGATCTATAGGTAAGATTAGATAAATCATTATGGAATTTACATGAGAATAGTGATATAAACTGATACATCATTAAATTAGATAAATATGAAGATTAACTACAAATGCAGAGATTGATTGTTAATTTTTAATTGTTCCTCAATGTTGGTTCATCATAGTACTATTTTAGAAATAAAGTTTCATTTATATAGAATCAAAAATTTATATATTTAAAATATAAAATTGTGTTCCATTTTAAATTAATTGAAGAGTTAATTAAAGTTGATGACGTTGAGCAGAATTTTATTCATTAACAGTATTATTCACTATTTAAATCTATTATTATAATTGATTAATTTCTGGTTATGACACACCAACTATTTTGTTTCTAATAATAAATTTCTATATAGCCTTATTATTTGAATAGGTTTGAATATATAATTTACATGATGGGTTATTGGATAATTGTAAAATCTTTAATTGATGATTATTAATTTGCCTTAATTATTCTCAAACAAAGAATCAACTGTTTTTAACTATAATAAGCTGCATTGCTTTGAGTTTTAAATAATTAATATTATAATTGCTGTTATTTTTAATTTCAATGGGAAATTGTGCTACTTGTGATGATCCGTCTATTTATGAGAATGCAAAACCGGTTAAAAATAAAACAAATTTAGAAAACTAAGAGAATATTTAATAACTCACTCCTAAGAGTAAATTATCTTAAAGCTTAGTTAAATCAGAAAATCCCAGTTTGATTGTTTAATAACATATTAGGTAAAATAATAGTTAATTGTAAATAGATAAGATCTAAAGGTATTAGATTCAATGCCAGATTTCACTAATTAAAATACAAAAGCCTTACTCGAAAGATTATAACAATTTAATTACGATCAAAATGAACCATTTGAATTTAAATAACTTCCTTTTTACGGACCAGTTGAGATGGAACCTAATGTATTTTATTATGGACAATGGAAAAATGGGTAGAGACATGGAAGAGGCAAGTAAGTGTGGGTTGATGGTTCGATTTATGAAGGATATTGGTTCTAAGATAAGGCTTGTGGAAATGGCAGGTTAATTCACGCAGATGGAGATCTCTATGAAGGAAAATGGCTAAATGATAAAGCACACGGTTATGGAATTTATCATCATAAAGATGGAGCCTTTTATAAAGGAGAGTGGTATGAGGATCAACAACATGGATATGGTCTAGAAAAATGGGCTGATGGTTCTATGTTTGAAGGAACATATAACAATGGTATGAAAGATGGCAATGGTAAATTTAATTGGCCAGATGGCAGTTGCTATGTTGGAGAATTTACAAATAATAATATCCATGGAAAAGGACACTATTCCTGGGCTGATGGGAGAGTGTATGAGGGTGATTGGAAAGAAAATTAGATGGAAGGTAAAGGAATTTTCACCTGGTCTGATGGAAGGTACAATACATATTAAATAAAATAGAAAATATATAGGAGAATATATAGATGATAAGAAACACGGATATGGAGAGTTCTATTGGCCTGATGGAAGAGTCTACAAGGGACAATGGTAGGATGGAAAATAACATGGAAGAGGAAAATATAAAGGAATTAATAATGTCTTTAGGGAAGGAGAATGGGTAGAAGGAAAATTATAAAAATGGATATAATGAAATTGATAAATGATTTACTAATCAATTAAGCTTGACTTCTTATATGAATGGCCAATTTTTTCCTGTAATCCAAAAAGTCTGTGTTTTTTAGTTAAATGCAATTCCATTCAGACATCCATCTGGCCTATTTGCTTCTTTGACTAGATTTGCGAAGTTATATTTTGCCAAAACTTTGCCTTTGTCAAGATCTATTGCAAAGATATGTGTTTTTCCATATTAATTTGCATATAAAATTCCATTTGCATATTCCAATTCATTTAGATATTCCACAGGAATTGTAACATGTAATATTTAAATTGATTTCAACAATTCAAAATCTTCATTCAGTATATGTATTTTGCTTGTTCCATCGGAAATCAGTATTTAAGTTTCTCCATTCTAAACTCGATGAGTTAACCCCCAACCTTCCTTTATCGATGGATGTAAATCAATCTACCCTATATATTATAGATCTTCCTTTTCATATACAAATCTAGAAGTATTATTAATGAATACATTTTTCTTTCCAGCCAAGTTAATTAATAGACTTTGTTATTTATAATATCGCATCCTTCTCCAAAGTACTTATCGTCTAAATTTTATCTGTACTAAAGTTTATTAACATTTTTGAGATTAATATAGTGTATTCCACTCTTTTTGTAAAGCCCCGCTGACTCTAATATGGTATCTTCATTCAAAAAAGTGAATCCCTAACAATTTTATAAAATATTTACTTGTGTGTATTAAGGATTGTTAGCATTATCTCTATATATTCGTTTTAAGTATTAGTAGCTGCCTGTTGGCTTAAGTTGAAGAAATTTTCCTTCAATTCCCATTTACGAATTTGCTGATGCAATCAAAATAATCAGGGCTATCATTCTTTTGATCATTGTAATATAATAATTTTAAGAAAAAATCTAAGAAATCAATACTCCTTATCCCAATTAGGATCACGAGCCTTTTCAGGTTTGTAAACATTCTAAGCAGTGGCAAGATCATTCTAGTCTACTAATTACAAAATACTTTTATTTCTTCGGTAATCAATTTACCAACCTGGATAGCCTTTTAAATATCTTTATCGCTATGTAATTTATTTTTAGGTGGTAAGTAAGGAGGTTTCAATTCTCTATTGATTAAAAGATCCTAGCATATAAATTTATAGATACATAATCGAATCTTTCAAAAAACGAGTTATTTTTTAAACTAGCATAAGATGATCCTAGTCTAAGTTCTGGAGTCTTACTAAGCAATTACTCAATTAATTTCTTTGCCTTTCTATCCTTCAATACTGATGGGAATGTTAATTATTTCTTTTAAATTTCCTCATAAATTTCATATCTAATGTATAATTTATAAACAAATTTACGGATCGTCTGCATCTTCAGCATATGGAACATTTCCACACATAAATTCATACAAGCAGATTCCTATAGACCATAGATCTACTGAATATGTGTATCCCTTGCCAGTTAATATTTCTGGTGCCATATAATGTGGAGTTCCAATAATTGTGTATGTTCGACCATTTTTACTCTTTAAATTTTTAGCAGTTCCTAAATCAATCAATTTCATGAATCCCTAATATTTATAAATATGGTTATTATACTTTTTCATCTATCATAATATTCTCTGGTTTAATATCTCTATATATGATATTATTCAAGTGTAAATATTCCATACACAATATCAATGATCCAATATAGAATTGAGAATCATAAGTGTTAAGCAATCCAATGTCTCTGATTACATCGAAAAGTTCCATTCCTCTGATATATTCTTCTAAGAAGTAAATGTATGTATTATCTTTGAAACTTCGAGCAAAATGCATTATTAATGGGAAGTTAACAGTTTCCAAAGCTATTTTTTCTTATGCCAAGTGCTTTTCAAGATTTTACTCAATAATTTAGGCCTTTGAAATACATTTCAAAGCATAAATCTTTTTATCCATTTTGTTATGCACCAAATAAACATTACCAAATTATCCTTAACCTAATTTCTTCACATAAATCAATTGATCCAATTAAAAATGCTTAAAAACATCTTATTTTTGACCTTCCTCTTTCTTTATAAATCGATCATGAGCTTTTTCATTCTTTGCAAAGATTTATTCTAAAGAACCTCCAATGATCTCAAAGAACTATTTAAATGTTATTGTTGCTATCATTCCTTCATCTTTCATTATGACTGGCTCTCCTAATTTAACATTTTCTCCTTAATCTAAAAATTTATCACCAAACATTTATCCTTTCTCTAAGATTTCCTTTCCATATTTGATTGAACCTTATAATACAATAACAATCTCTCTGCAAGCTTAACCTTTCTCTATAATTACTTCTTCACTTTTCTTTTGTATCTGTTACATATTGCTGACAATTCTTTCTACTTACAATTTAGTCAATTTATTAAGAATAGCATGTCTTTCAAAAGCCCATCTTTAAAGATTACTGTACATAATCAATTGTATCTTATCTCCCAATATTCTTGTTAAATCATCTCTTGCTAAGGCCAAAACTGTCACATCTTCTTTTATAGCCTTTGCCGTAGCCCCTCTAACAGAATTCTATTATAATGCTTATTCTCCCAATGAGTCTCCTGCCTTCATTATTCTTAGTTCTTTCCCTCCTCTAGATATCTATATTTCTCCTTTCTTAATTATAAAGAAAGAGTCAGCTTGATCTCCTTCATTAACTATAATTTCTCCAGCCTTAAAATTTAAATTTATCAATGCTGATGGTATTGCTGCTTTTTAATCATCAGTCAATGATTCTATTTGTAAAATGATAATGTACCAAAAAATTGCACTTTATTTATGAATTCCTTATTCTAATCATAATCTTTTTACGAAATTGACTCTATTGCCTTTCTGACTGTGTTTCTATCAATTGCCCAAAATGCACAGTCTAAAAATGAATATATTTTTACCTCCTATTGCCTTAACAGAAGCAGATCTTGGTGCATTATATAATAAGGCTAGTTCTCCAAAGGCTTCACCACTTTTTAACGTTTTTTTTAATTCATTATTAATTATAATCTGGCACTGTCCACGTTCAATTAAGAAGTATGAACTTGCTTTGTCTCCTTGTTTAAAAACCATCTCACCATCATGAACCGTGCAATAAAACATTTTCTCAATGACCTTCACTCTTATCTACTAAAAAATAGTGTTTATACTTGTCATCGGGCTGCAATTACCCAAAAATAAAGCTATTCCCAAAAGCATTCAAAAGCAATTAAAAATCAAATGGACTTTTGACTTTTTCTTATTTTTGGACATTCTCATAAATGACTTCTTGATCAATGACCGCAGCTATTTTGGCCATCTTCTTCTGCTCTTTTCTTTTTGGCTAAGAAATATTGAATTCTCAAATATACTTCATTCTCTTATTTTGCCTAATCTATTTCTTGAGCCGGCTCCTCTTATTTCTCAGGTACTTGTGTCTTCACTTCCTCCGGTTTTGGAGGTTGCATCTATTAGATAGGAGGAGGCTAGGAAGTAGTAACCTCTAAATCATTTTTATCATTTATTGGATTTTACCGACAAATGTTTCCCATTAATGTTAATATTTTTATTTATTAATAAAAATAAAGGAAAATAAATTTATAATTAATTCAACATCTGAAAGCTAATTTATTGGATAAAAGTAACAAACTTCTACACAATTCAAAGATATATTTTATAGAAGAAATAGCGTATGCCTAAATTAGAAGTATCCAATAAATTGACATGGTTAGTAATCAACCATTTATAAAGATTTACGTCGTAATAAAGCTTAGTTGCCTCATAATTAATTATATAAATTGATTGAGTAATATACTGGTTATGAATATTGTTCATTATTCATGATTATATTGTTTCATCTGAAAAATTCCATTGTTTTAAATCGCTCCAATTTTCACTCTGTTTTCTTTTAACATTAGAAGTCTTCTTTATAATAATTCTAGCTGATTATGGGAATTCAGCTAGTGTTACAAATCTTTTCACTTTATTTTTTAATTAACACTATCTATTCTAAATTGGGTATATCGTTCGATTTACATTAGATTTAGCTCTAGATGTCTAATTGTGACATTTATTTAAATCTTTTAATTCCATTTTGGCCAACCTAATTTTCATATATTTTTAAAAAAGGTTTTCTCTAGGTTTGTTTCTCTCTGGCTAGTTTGATAGCATAGATAAGGGTTAAGATATCTATTATTAGAATTCAAATGGGTTTTTAGGTAAGCATAATGAGAACATTGTAAAAAAGTTTAGAAAAAATTGAAAAAAAATAAGAAATTTATTATCTTAAAACGCGTAATATGAACTTTTAGTCTATTAGAATACTTTATTAATGATAATAATGGAAATTAAATATAATTTTATTGATAAAGAGTAGATATTTATTTAATTCCCTTACATTTTTAATATTATTTAATTATTAAAATGCTGCCATAGTTAAAACTCATTTCATTGATTGTTAGAGTATTTGTGAGACCAATCATTACAAGCAAAAAAGAAGTGTCAATATAAAAGGTCCAGATGAGCAAACAAAGATTTTTCACTCAAAAAATATAAAATTTAGGAAATTATTATCATTATAAGGATGTATAGAGATTATGAAAGATAGTAAAAAATTGATAGAATGTATTTGAATTAAAATTTACAGGATGAATATGATAAATTAAACGATGAAGATGCTTTAAAATTAGTTATTTTAATTACCATTATCTTATAGGGCACAGAATTTTTATTAGAAATGTCAATATATACCATTTTGATACTAGTCTCTTTATTTGAAATATCCAAAACTTATTTCGAATAATAAGAAAGATAATAAAATATGAATAATACAATTAATGTAATTTTAATGCTAAAATAGAATTTATAATAATAAATTAAAGTTATTAAAGAATTGAAATTGAAAGACTTAAATAATCTTTAGAGAGTTTATGAAATTTACGAAGCAAATCTTAAATCATTTCAAATTAAATAAGAAAAAGCATTGAAACTAGTCTCTGAAGTCAGATAAGTAAAATTTGTTTTGATAATGAAGCTTTAACTTGAGAATTTAAAAAAGGACAATCAAAATTGTTGATTATATTGGGATGTAACATATTTGATATCATAAACAAAACGATTATTTTCAAAATTTGATAGTTAAATTCATCATGCTTTTTTCTGTATGGAATCTTAGTCTTCTATTTTTTTACAAATCAAATGAAAATCTCTGAGTTTGTTATCATAATAATGATTGTATGACTTATTGTTCTTAGGACTAGCAGTATTCCTCTGTTTTAGTTCTTTGATTGTTTAATTTTCCTACTGGATCACTTAGTATAAATGATAAAATTACATTTGATGAAATCTCTTAATTTATAGAAATACTTCTTTCTATGTTCAGCATTTGTATCTATTCCTGAATGTCCAATGTTTTCTACTTCCCAATATTCATATAGTCGTTAACAATTATTTGCTAATAACTTTGCCTATGTAAAATCTATTATTTCGTCTTCTAAACCATGCATGATGAAAACTGGGCATGTAACATTTTTAATTCTATCAACATTAGGAAAAATATCATAGAATGGAGTTGATTTCAATTTATTATTTACAACCCTCAATCCAGAACTTAAACCTGAATGAACAACCAAGCCACCAACTGGAAATTCATTATCAGAAACTAGCATAACACTAGGTCCAGATCCTATACTATAACCATAAACAATTATTTTTGTTGGATCAAATTTTAATTAAGTGACCAAAAAGTCATATGCCACTTAAATATTATTGATGATATTGAGATCGGTGCATTTCCCTTAAGATAGTCCATAACCTGAATATTCATATGCAAAGACATTAATTCTTAAGTTCGTACACAAATCTAGTAATATATTGATTTCAAGTTACCAATTAATGTATCAATCATATAACCCAAATCGCTTGCATTTCCATGGCTGAATAATATCACCATATCACTCAATGGAAAAGTACTTTTGACATAAAGGGATGCTATTCTATGTCCTTTTCGGCCTTTTAAAAAATATCCAGTCAATTCTAAATTTTCCTGCTTTGGTATTATTATTTCCTTCCCATTCTCATCAATTAAATAAAAATCATGAGTCGGATACATAGGACTTATTAAATTAAATTTGACTATTACTCTTCGCGTGTTGGACTAGTACTTCCACTAGAAAATTGCATTAGCTCTTCTGCTAAATCGATCAACCCTAATGAGTTTATGTTTTCATCGTCATAGGATTTAGATTTCTACCTTATTTCTGACTAGCATTCAATTTATTTAAGCGAAAAAGAATTTTTATTTGTGCTTTAAGTTGTATTATCTTCCAATCTTTATTTTAAAGCATAGCTAACCTTTGGTGGTTGAAAGGCTATGTTTTTTAATATTTTTTATCTTAAACCACAAAAGCTTAGTGATTAAAATATTCCTACTGTTAGTGAAGACTTTAGATTTGACATAGCAAATTTTTGTATATATAAATTTGATTAATCATTTGAAACAATTCCTTATAATATCATTAAGAAAAACTTTCATATAATTGATATAGATGAAAAATTTGTTTTGCGATAGCCATTTTAATAAAATTTAATAATTTGTTTAATCCCTTTTAACAATCAAATGGAAGAATAAATAAATTATTTTTTTAGTAAATTAATCGTATATATTGGAAATATAATCAAGACAATTGTCTTAGATATGTTCATTAATTTAACAATATATAATTATAGAGTTAGCAATCTTTTTCTGTTGCAACAATAATACCTGTAGAACGAATAGTACTCAGGCAACTCAAGCCAAATTAAAAGTCAAAATAAGAAAATTCAACCTCCATACTCAAGCCTAAATAACTTTAATTGATACAATTATATACAAAGTATTTTTATGCTTGAATTACTGAATGAGAAACTTTATTATTAAAGTGTTAATTCTTCAAAAATAATTAAATTTTTCATAGAATATTAAAATTCAATAAACTAGTTAAAAAATTGCTCAAAAAAAAACAAATGTCAAAAAAATAAGACTTTAACTACAAAAAATTATTCTAAGTATAATAATAATTGATTCACATACAGAGATTAAATTTAAAAAAACAAACATTTTTATATACTTTTTATTTATAAATTCAAATAACTAAATAATTAGGCTATTAATTTAAGAGTTTTCCTGTTTTAGTTATTTTATATCTTTCTATGGTCATTATTGCTATTTTTATCATTTTGAGATATATATATATTGGTTGAGTAGAAAGAAATGATAATGGCTATAATAATTCTTACAATATTCTACTCATTTCCTAAATTTCATTTTCTAAACTTTCCTGATTATTCAGACGAGTTTGATGCCTCATCTTATTAGCAAATCTCAAATTGATTGTAATTCATTCATTTAAAGATAATTTAAATAGGTTATATCTTATTAAGAAATAATTATTATATTTATTTTAAAGAACAATATTTGATTTATTTTAGATTATTTTATGGCCTAATCACATTTAGACCGAAAGCCTTTTCTAAATATAAATTGTTATTATTTTGCGTATATCTATCAAGTTGAACAGTCAATAGTTATTTTAATAACAACTAAAATCAGAATTTAAAAAAATGTAAACAGTACAAGAAATATTAGTAATAAACTATTTTTATCATTAAATAATAATATAAATTCTTTGGCTGATTTATAATAAAATTTTGAAGCCATCTTCATATGTATTTAATGTAAATGTTCTTTAAAAGTCACATTCAGTTTTAAGTTCTTTTATTATAATTATTTTTATATAGAATAGTTATCATTATTTTATTAATAAATATCACATATATACAATCAGATTGTCTTCTGTACTATCATCTTTATTTTAGACCATATTTATTCCTTATTATTGAGATAAAATTTACATCAATGAAATTAAACTCTCCTTAAGCTCTTAAGAATTCATCGGTATGAACTCATCTTATCTGAGTGATATTTTATGTTATTGTCCCACACGAGGTGTTTTCACCCTTTAAATCAATTTTTAGAGATAGTTTAATTCAGTTGTTTAAATAGTTTAGACTATAGTTTCAGTTTTGTTGATTAATGGAGAATGACAACATTGTTTATCGGATTTCTCTGATTTAATTCGGTTTGTTCGATTACCCCTTATCTTTGGAGAAGCTTTATGTCTATCAACTGACTTAAAGTTTAAGTCATATTGTAACGACGGCAAAATAAATTTGGAAGGTCTTTTTCTATCTTGAGAAGACCCAAATACAACAGAATTTTTATTTGCAGTAGCCTTTATCGTGTTATTAATTTTGCATGCCAAAGAAAAATGGTTTTGATGCAAATTGTTTAATTTGAACCTTTAAAAATTAGGAGATGCATCAAATCTATCGTTTTCAATAGTTTTAGTCACCTATATGGATTCTATAATGGGTACATATATCATTATTAAAATTTTATAATATATTTTAAGTTGATGATATCACTTTCTTTTCTTATTTTTGAAATGTAGAATAATTATAAATTGATTATCAAATAAAATATTTATCATTAACAAGTTTTTAAAAGTCTCAAGTGTTCCTCCTTTATTTTGATAAACTTATCATTAAATGAATTGAGCATATTAGTTAAATGCTTGATTTATTCATTTTGTTATGCAATGTGTTAAGCAGATTGGTTATCATTTATTAAAATAGTCTTGGACTCTAATTATTTAATTTTATCTTCAGATCTCTCATTAAGTTATTTCCAAGCCTTTATCTATTGATCTTGGTTTTTTATTTTTTCTTTTAAAATATCTATTTCCTTTTTATAATTCTCTTCCTGAATTAACATACTCATATGTAATGCATAATATTAATCATTAGTTTAGTTTAAATCTTGGGCGAGATTAATTTGATCATTTGTATTCATTCTAGAATCCGGTCTCAAATCAGTGGCTTCAAAGGAATTCAATCTGGACTCTCTTCTAGAAGCTTCTCTAATTTTTTCATTCAAGCAAGCTTCCTTTTAATGGAATTCATGATTGAGTTCATTAATTTTTGATTAAAGTGATTGAACATCGGATTCTAATTATAAAGTTCTTTTTTTTTCATTTTAGAATGAATTAAAGATTTCTTAAAAGGAGGTTTACAATTTATTTAATTATCTATCCTTATCCTCTATAAGTTTAGTATAATATAATTTTTATTATGACAATTTTTCTTTAGCTTATTCATATTTTTACTCTTATTTGATGTATTGCATGATTTTAAGTTTCAATTATTCATTTTCCAATCTAGTATTATCTTTTAACAAATTTGCTTCCTTTATCAAACTTTATTAAGACTAAACTTTGATTTCTAATTCTCTAGTTTTAGATTAACTGGACCATAATTATTTATTTAAATCTTCTAATTCTTTGATTTTCTCTTCATTAAAAGAGGATTTTCTCTCTAAAATTGATAATAAATACAAAAGTATTACCATGTGATTCCAACATGACAATATGTTCAGTCTTTTCTTTGTTTTCCTATTCCAATTTTTTGATTGACATCTTTTATTCAATAATTTCATTCATCAAAACTTAGTGTTAATGAACTAATTTTTGATTTTCTGTTTCTAACTCATCTATTTTATCTAATAAACTTTTATCTTCAGATTATGCAAATGGTTCAACTAATGTTTATAAATATTAAGAAATTAATTCCTGTTTTTTTTCTGGTAATTACAAGACTGGTACGAAGAAATCGTCTTAGAAATCGCTCTATAAAATTAGCTAAAAGAAGTAGAATATTTAAAAACTTAGCATATGACTCCAAATAGTTTTAAAATTTAAGTCTCATTCCTATCTTTTGCTATTTCCATAACATTAATCTCTAATTATTTGTGTGTATAATCTGTTAATTTGTCAACTATTAATTTCAATCTAGACATATTAAGTGCCCAATTATCTGTGTAAGCTTAATTCTCTAAGACCTAGGTAATTTTGATTTAAATTTTACATGGAAAGTAGATCCAAAATGATCTGTATTAATGTGATTCAAAATTTATATGAATATAGTACCATCCACATATTCTCTAAAACCTGTATGATATTTTAAAAAGCTTATCTTGTTCATCCAATCTACTATTGCTGACTAAAGTTCTTAGTTTTACATTATTTTTAATTAAAATAATTAAATTTAATATGCGGGGATTCTTCACATTTGCTAAATCCTTTATCAGCTTCTCCTCTGTAAAAACTCAACAAATGAAAGTTTCAATTAGATTGTAAGCATAATTTTAATTTGAATTTAGAGTCAATCAATCAATTAATGGCTAATTGAGATTGTGTTCCACTTTAACAGCACTTAGAATGGCTAATCTGTATGGAATTTGGTAAAAGTCTTCAATTGAGGAATTTGATGGTGGTAATATTGCCTGAATACTTAGAATCCGAATTAGATATCCACATTTCTCAACTTTTGTCATTGTCTCTAAAAGCAGAACAACAAACGATACAAGCCAAAATTTGATTATATTATACATTAATAATAAAAAGATCAATATTTACATTTATTCTGTTGCAATTTTGTTATCCAAAAGATGAAATCTGGAAATCAGGGTTGAATCTAATTATTAATGATTAAAGTTATTCTTTAAAATTAATTCATTGATCAAGGGGATTTAAGAAAGGTATAGAATGCATTTGGAATGCTAATTATGCTTAGGATAAAAGTTAATAAATATAATAATGAAGCAATTTATTTGGGAAATAATATAATTTGAAAGGAAGTTAGAATATTGTCGTTAAGATTTAGCACTTGATTAAGGATTTTCCATTGAATTTTTTCCAGAAACTATCACATATTTAGGATTAAAGTAGTTATTCCATAGAGAAATGAAAGGATTTTTCAATAGGTATGATTCTGATCGAGATGGAAAATTATCATTCAACGATATTTAATAATTTGTCTAGCCACGATAACTAGAGTATCAGTGCTTTATAAAGAAAGGAGGAAATTACAATCGATTGATTGAGTTAATTGAAATAGCTGAAGAATATGAGAATTATTTGATGGACAATATTGAGACCTTGGAATTTTAGGAGAATAATTAGATTTCAATAAAATAATTTTTGAGTTCTAAATTTAAACAACCAACTGAAAAAGACATATGGTTTTTGAATCAAAGATTTGAATGTTATACAATTGAAGAGTTTTTGGGATATTTTGAATAGTATAAAAAAGCTAATTGACTCAAATTTTATATATATAAATAAATATTTATCTATGAATACTTAAGATGAAATACTTTTGTTGAAGAAGTGCATTTGTGAATTTTTAAATAAGCTACTCCCCACAATTAAGGATCCGTTAATTTTAACCAGATAAAGACTAAGCTAATTTAAAACTGTTCTTTTAGATGAATTGAAAACTATTTAAGATGTGTATTACTATGTTCAAACACTCTAATTTCAAGATGGAATGATCATCAGAACTGATACAAAGATTGAGCATTAAAGAAATCCATCAGGAGCTAATTAAGACTATATGAGTTTAAATTCAAACCCAACACTAGCAGATAAGAGAACCAATCCCCCATTTGGATTGAATAGAGGATAAGATCCTTAATTGCCAAATGCTGGAAATGCAATAAATATGAAAACTAACAATACAACAACACTCAATTAACAAAATCAGATTGTTGAAGATTAATAAGAAATACCTAAGTTAGGCAAAGATATCTTTTTTAAAAGACCATCAACAAGAAAGCTATCTATTAAGACTAAAGATGCAAAGGTTTAAGAAAATAACTATAAACCTATTGATGAAATCTAGAAAGTGAATGTCTACGGATAAAAGGCAGATACTTTTAGTGTGTTAAATAATTATAGTAAGAGAACCCCATTTTTCGATAAAGAGACCTTGTTGAACGAAATCAAGGAGAGCGAAAAGATTATTCGTAAAAACACCACTACTTTAAATGCAGTTTATAGCAGAAGTTTTGAAATATTAACTGGTGACAAAGAATAAAATACAGAATAACTAAACAGTATTCAACAAGGTTTGCGTGCACAATAGGATTTAAGAGAATTGCAAAATGCCTAAAGAAATGCTACATTGAAAGGGTATTCAATTTATGCTAAGAAGGATAAGGATATTGCTAAACAGAGAATGGATGAAATTGCATAAATTAACGATAAAAAGAAACTATATTTTTGATGAATATATTTAAATATATAGATTAATGAATAAATTATATCCAACAGATAAAATACATCATCAATATGTTGAATACCCTCAGCGTTGGATCCAATTAGTCTTATTTTTATGCGCTTTGCTTTCAAACATTATGTTCGGATTTTCGCTTTCGCCCATTGTCAAGGAAATGTCATTAGTTTATTAAGTTGATAGTAGGTAAAAAAATATTTAATGACATAGATATCTGCAATTTTTGACAATAAGTTTTACTGTCTTCTCAGTAATTATGATAATTCCAGGAAACATTATTAATGAAAAATATGGAATTCGTATGAGTATTATGATAGGTATTAAATAATTGCAGTATTAAAGGTTGTGCATTGACTTTTATAGGCTCGATATTTGCAATTTTCATAAATGTTTCTTTTTGGTTTTTCTTCATTGGATAATTGATTTCTTTGATAGGATTTCCATTCAGATTGATTAGCGCATCAAAATTTGTTGCAAATTGGTTTTTCCCCGAAAACAGAATCCTTATTATGGTTATAATCGCATTAGTTTTTAATGCAAGTTCAGGAATAGCTATTAGAATTCCACTGATAGTATTAGGAGACTTTTAGATACATGATCATCCAACAGATGAATAAATTGAGTTAGGAAGAGCCTTAATTGAGAGTTTGATGTTCTTGCTTTTTGGGTTGATGATTTTATTATGCATACCTCCAATTCTTTTTTTCTTAAGTAAACCAGTCACTCCTCCTAGTTATAGTGCTTCCGATGTATAGATACCTTATTTTATTAGGAATGTGTTAGAGAAGATTATCATAAAGCAAGTGTCATAGTGGCTAGCAATCCTGATTTTATATTGCTAACTATTAGTTTTGCTTTTATCTTAGGAACAATCACATTATTTACACTGCAGATGGAATATTTTATATCACCCTTTGATTATTCGCTTAAAGATTAGAGCAATTTGGTGTTAGTTGGAGTGATAGCTGGTTTGATTGGAGATATTTGTGTTGGAACAGCAATAAAGAAGACTTAATCCTATAAAAAAGTGTTGAGGATTTGTAATATATTAGTGACTGTCCTCTTTGGAATACTCATACTAGCCTTGCATGTTAACAAAGTTTTCTTCTTTATTATTTATTTTTTGTTGTGTGGAAGTTCTGCCATTATGGCCTTGACTTTTGAGTTCTCTTGCGAATTATGTTTTCCATTGAGTGAGAACACTACAATAGCTATGCTCGGGTTCTTTGGTAATCTTCTTAATTTCTTGCAAGGAATTCCTGAAATCTTAATTCTGAAGGTATCTATTACTTTATCATTCAATTAGGGAGACAATTAACTCTGTTCTACTATGGCTATGATATTTATGTTGATCTTGATTGGTAGTTCAAATGTTTTGACGATGAAAATTAACGAGAACCTCAAGAGATCAGAATAAGATATTCAATTGGATGATAGGATTGAAAAGAAAAATACTGAAGTCAGCTTATTAGAATAATCAAAATTTAATAATAGTAATGATGATTATTGATTATATATATAAAAATTAATATAATTTATGCTAAAGGTAATTGGCTTTTTATTATTAATTCATTCTGCCATCTCATTAATTAGATATAGAAAGCATTTGATCTACAAGGATATGGCAGATTAATACCATATACCATTGGATGTATGAATATTAATACATTTTATAGATCTTATTAGAAATAATTGTTGGATTCGCTTTGAACATGTTTTTCGGAGTTATTCTGGATAAAAAATTTACTAACATTCACCTATTTCCTCACAAGAAAACGTACACTTTAACTATACTATCATAGATATGACTAGGCATTCTAAAGACCTAATTTCAGATAACCTGGTGGTAGAGGAGGAGTGCTATAATCTGTTGTAAGAGATAAAATTGGAAATTTTGATATAAATAATTGATAAATTTGTGTACATTATGAAATTTGTGTGTGTTTTTATACATATTTAATTCATCTAAAATAATATAATGCTCTTGCTGTAAGTCCTTAAACCTTTGATTCATCTTCAGTCTAATTAAGCCAATATTCCTCAAATAATGCTCTGTCTTATGGTTTAGAAGCATCAAGCTTAGTCAATTATAAGTATTCAAATGTTGGGTGGTCTTTCTATATAAGATTATGTTAATGTCTTACTAAAAATGATGGGACTTCGGTTCCTCTCCATATCCAAGCTCCGCTGATTTAAAGATCTGGAACATCTCCATAGACACCATGAATAGCAAATGCCCATTTTTTAAAATGAGGATCAGTTCTTTATAAGAATCCATTGCAATTATTTCTAAAGGAAATCAAAACCTTTCCCTCTTATTCAGCCTTAATGTATTTGATAATCCAAATTGACCATCCTTAAGAATCAAAAATTGTCCAAAAGTTTTTGAATTCAGCAGCGAAATCTTTTGAAGCCAAAAATTATCTCTTCCAATCATCAATATTGAAAGTTGATTAAGGTAATAAATCAAATTCACATTATTATTTTTTTGGTTTATCTTCGTCATCTTCTTCTTTTGGAGCAGGCTTTTATTATTATGGTTATTGGGTATTTTATGCTTATTATTTTTATTATTATTATTTTTATTATTATGGTTATTATTATTATTATTATTATTACTATTCATATTAAAATGGGAAAGCTTTTACACAATATTTGGTTTTTCCATAATACTATATTATATATTATCAATTTTACGTTCACAAAGGCTGGTAATTCAGAGATGTATTTGTACCATCTTGTAATATTTGGGATTGTTCCTCTGAATTATTTATCAAATGCAAAACTAAATAACCCTTAGAAGTAGGATGCTAAATTTAAATCAGCAATTGTCAATTATTCTCCAACTAAAAAATTATTTGCTTTAAAATGATTTTCTAATATTTTTAATTTCCAATTTAATTCTTTCTTAACTTCTTCTTACTTTTAGGGTGTTGTCTATTCATAACCAAGGATTGGCAATAGTAAACCAAGGAGAGTAGGTTCCAATTCAAGTGATGTGAAGTCTAACCATTGTCTAACTTTTGCTTGTTGGAAATCTGTCACTCCAACCAAAGGTGTTCCTCTGGCAACATATTGTAATATGGCGTTGCTTTCAGTTAGATATCCTTCAGGTGTCTCTAACAATGGAATCTTGCCAACTGGATTCTTAGCCAAAAAGGCAGGGGTCTAAAGTGAATAAAGCAGTATTACTTCTAAGGATTTATATTCTACAAAATCACTAGCGATTTAGACATTGGCTAATTGGGCAGCCACTATTATTTTACCAGCTCTTGGATTGCCAAGTGTATATGTAAGTTTAAGTGACATAAAAATATCTTAATATTTAAATTTTAATTTCTCACAATTCAAAGAACAACAATTCTTAAGGCATTAACAATGTTCCTAATTCTTTCATAATTGATTGCATCATTTATTTATTGTGATTTTTAATAAGAAGTAGAATTGATACTAAATATTGCTGTTTTTTTGAATTGTAGTCATAGGAAGGTAAGTTTTATGAGAGAGCAATAAATAAAAAAAGGGTGAATTGAGTATTATTATCAAGAATTGATTTTATTTATTAAAATATGTCCCTAAACCAATTGTATGGGAAACAAACAATTAATTATGCAAGTACACTATAAAATTAATCATTTTAAGAGAGCTCAGACATATGAGATCTCCAAATGATGCACAATCATTTGGATTGCGTCAAGAATTTCATGATTTTTCATAGTTACATCGACAACCTGCAGATACAAATAAACATTAAAGAGCAAAGTCAACTCTATAAAACAATTATAGACAAGGCACTCCTATAACAGATCTAGAGGAGATGGAAGGAGAGAAATTGTTTGATTAGTTTTTTAAGTTTAACAACTCTAAAAGCGAAAGCGATTTTATGAGGGATTCAATGTAGAGAGATTAAAAGCAGCCTGAATCAGAATTCTTAAGGTTTGTAGAGAATGCAATAGAATATCATAAGTAATCTGAATTGCATTTTCGACCTACTATAAAAAAGAATTAACATTTAGAGTAGAAGACAAGAGAACTTACAGTGTAGAATAGGTTATTGGCAAGCGAAATTAATAGATATAAACAGAGAGAGAGTGAATTAAAAAATAAGATAAAAATAATCCAAAAAGAATATTAATTAGAGTTGGGTCAATTGATATAGAAGAATGAATGGTTGGAAGAGTTGTTGGTAAAACAAAAAATAGACAATGAGAATTCCTTGTTGGCTGTTAAGAAATCTTTAGAAATGATGTAAGGAAGGTGTATGTGTCAAAAGGGATTGGCTGATAAGATAATGAAGGAAGTCAAATAACAATCTAGACCATAATATGATCTATAGGCTACACATTCATCGTCTGAATTAAGCAGCAACACTGGAGACGAAGACTTGGATTTTGATTATGTGAGAAGAAGGAAATCTTTTTCAAAGGTACTTAAACACAATATAGACAGACATCAGAAGAACATTAATTTTAACTAGCGAGAAGCAAGAACTTGAGGGAGTTTGCTAGAGACCAATTTTTTCGGAAGAAACCTCTACAAGACCCTTATTATACATGAATATTAAATTATTATATAATGGTTTTCATAAAGAGATTGGTGCCTCTTTCAATTTTGTATTGTTTCGAAGGAATCATGTTAGGACTCATTTTATACAGTGTTCCATCTGATTTGATAGATAAAGGTGTTGAGATAAGTAGATACAAGTTTTCATTCATTTTGCTATTACCTTACTTGTTCAGATACGTAGTTGGACCTTTGATCGATAGCTTAAGTTGGGACAAGATGGGTAGAAGAAGAAGCTAGTTGACAGTGTTGTATTTTGGATTGGGGTATGTTTTAGTCGAAAATTCTTAGAGTTCTGTTATATTTTTCAAATTTCTAATCGCTAGATCCTAGTACATGGTTTTGGAACATATTCTGGATTGTATGTTTGTTGGCTTGCATTGACATCATAATAGCAGCTTGGTTAGTTGAAAGTTTAGAGAAGCAAGACAGAGGGTATGGAGCATTGGCTCAATTTCTAGGGATTTTGATTGGAGGATTTATTGGAGCATACATATTTAAGATGTTCAATTCACTTGAATTTTGCAATACATATATTTATGCCATTCCTCAAGAGATACCGTATATTACACTCTAAAGTTAAATTATAGATTTATTTTTAGTTGCATTCAAGGATTTGTCTTACATTTCAGTAGGACTTGGAGTTGCATGCATTATAATAATACATAATGAGAAAACTATTAATTAAGATGTATGAATGTCATTATATTAGATAATCGAAGCTTACAAATCAGCTCTTGGAGCATTTTCGAATCGTCATTTGATTGTTCTCTTTTTGTTTTTTTGTTTTTTCAGAGTTGGATAGATGCCTATAGATTTGGCTCATATTCATTTGATGAGAGGCTAATTGACAGAGGGATAAATTCAATTCCTGGAAATACTAACTTTTCCTATTGCATGCATTTTACCATATTATATGGCCAAAATGATCAAGACAAGAGTGTTGGAGATAAGACTTATCATAGTGTTTTCCATTTATGAGATTGGTATATCTATTTAACTAATTATATTCGACTAGCTATCTCAGGAGTATTTATTATAACATTGTTTGCTTCCGAGGAGAATTTCCCATTCCCATACAGAGATACTTTGATGAAGATATCCTTATTTAGTGTCTGGTTATTAAACTTGATTAATATCACCCTGGCTTAGTCATTTATTTACAAAAGCACTTAAAGTTCTGTGTCTGCAACATTCATAGCTTTGTTAAGTAGTGATATTTGATAATATTTAAGCCACTGGAATAAACTTCTAGTTCATTTTTGAAGGATTTGTTGAGTATTTGTTAGCTAATTACAATTATTATTTGATTTGGATATGCGGAGTAGGAATATATGCTCTATTTTTTTTCCATCTGGCTTCAAGAGTCACTATGATAGATTAATTGAATTGCGAAGAGTTTAGTTTAGAAATTGATATAAAGAAAGAGAAACTCCTAATTAATACAGAATTAGCAACTTTGTCCTGATAATTAAATATAATTTTTGTATGCAATCATAGTTTTATAGATTTATTGAGTTAGATTTTGTTATTATGAATAAGTCCAAAAATACCATTAAAATATAGTCTATTTCTTTAATAATTTTATAGTATTATAAAATGGAGGATCGATTGATTTAATTACAAGAAGTAAGAGCATTTTAATCTAGTTTTCGGGCATAAAAGATCAAATTTAATTGGACACTTCTTATTCCTCTTAGGATGATAATTTTATGCCTTAATTTTCTTCAAACGTAAAAAAGGCACAATAGTGTTTAGATATTATAAAAAATAATAACCTAAGAATAAGGGAAATGATGAGCAAATATTCCATGGCTACTACAAGTTCTGTCGAGAAGGGTATTAAAAAATTTAAATCCTTTAGGTTTATCGAGAGAATTAGAGTAGATTATCACGCAAAATTAACAAATTAGTAAGTAACTAAAAGAAGCAATGAAGGATATCAAAGAAGAGGTTGAAAGAAGTCAAAGAGAGAAAAGTTAAGAGGATCAAACTGAAACCAGAATAAAAATTCAACAGGAAAATGCATTATCTAGTGCAGTTTATGAAGTTTTACAGGCTTCCTCACAGGTTTCTTGCTAATATTAGAATGGAGTGAGAGAGAAAATCAAAAGGTAAGCCAGGATCTTAGATGAAAATGCCACCGAATAGTTTTTAGATGAAATATGCAATGATCCATAAGTATCTTAACTTTATCCAATATCAAATTAGAAAGCAACATAATTATTGCAAGGGAAACTCTATGGAGAAGCTCCTTCAGTTCGTCTGACTAATGCTGTTTCTGATATATAAGAGAAATATAAAGACATTCAATAGTTGGAAAAAGTAAGTTGTTTAATTATTTTTTAGTCGGTGTAATTGGTAAGATAACTATGGTAAGATTTAGCAATCTTAGTGGAAACTTAAGGTTAATCAACCAATAATATCGAAATAAGTCTTACTTCAGCCAAATCTTATATTAATAGAGCCAAAGATGAACTTTCAAATGCAGAGGGTGATCATTAATCAGCTAAAAAGGTATTAATACATGCTATTCTATCAAGAAAGTCTGTTGTATTATTCTAATAGGTGTTGTAATTTTGGCTGCAATCATTGGACCTATAGTTGCGACGGCATGAATTATTTATTTTATAATGTAGTTTATTTCCATTTAATTTAATATAAGGATAAATCATTCTTCTTATGATATTGATGTCCTTTAAGTCGATTATAATTTACCCCTATTTTAAAAATAATAAAATTAATGGTAAATTTTACCTGCTTTGTAGACATCAAAAATAGATCAATGAATAAATAATAATATTTTCGAAAAATTTGATTTAATATTAAATATCAATCATGATAAAAATGGCTAGACCTTTATTAATTCACTGCCTTTTATTTAGCTGATTGATTTGAATTCAAAGGTACATCAAAGGATTGATTATTTTGATTATTGATATGAACTCTCTCTTTTTTATGATTCTATGATCTACCTCCACTTTGGAGCATTCTATTATATTATTATTGTTCTCTACTGGAGTTACGATAAGGATTAATAGCATCCAAGTCTCTTTTATTCCTGGAACTCACTTTTCTGAATTCTTCCTTATTATGATAATCAATTGATGTGACATTATTATTCTTAAATTTGACTCCATACTTTTGACACAACATATTGGAGTAAGGGACATGCTTGTTTTTGACAACAGGAGATTGTTCAAAATAGTTTTCATCTTTTTATCTTGCTTGCACACTCTAAGCCTATCCATTGTTTCCTACTCTGTTAACACTTAGATCATTATCAGCCAATATTTTATTTTGATTCATGGTCTTGATAATTCTACCTCTATCCTTATCAGTGGAATAAGATCGTTATTTAATTATTTCATCTTTCATCTGCTGTCTGATAACTTCATTATTAACTAATGAACTAATCGGAGCTGTTGTTAAAAATAAAGATTACCTTTCTGAGGTCTTTGTTTAGGTTCTAGAAGAGTGATATCAAAAGATTCCGAATTAAGATCAGCAGTCGACCTGCCTCCATTTGTCAAATGTCTTTTCAGAAGTAAATGATAAAAAGTGGTAATGTCATTGTGTTTATTGGCATCCAAGCATTTTTATGCATGATCAATATCTATCCCATATTATTTTAATTATTTGAGTATTTCTTGATCTATAGGAATCCTATTATAACCAACCACAATCCCAGGAGGAATATCATAAGTTCGTTTATAGATCTTAAACCATGGGTGATTTCGAATATCATTAATAGTAAATCGCTTATCTGGTTTGACTGTTAGTATTCCTTGTATCATTGATTAAGCTTCCTTCGAGAGATGAGATGGTAGTTGGTATGATCCACTCAATATCTTCTTGTAAAGAGCAGAGGTGTTTTGATCCTCAAATGGCAAATAACCGCATAAGCATGCAAACAATATAACTCCAGAACTCCACAGGTCGACTTTCACTCCTTAGTACTTCTGTCCTTCTATCATCTTGGAAATTAGATTGTTTATACTTCTGGAGCTGCATAACATGGAGATCCACAAGCTGTCTTCAATAACTCTTCTGATTTATAAGTATTGGATAATCCAAAGTCAACGATTTTGAGATTTTTATGTTAATCTAGCAATAAGTTCTCTGGTTTCAAATCTCTATGGACTACTCTTAGTTTGTGCAGATATTCTATTCCTGCAATCAGTTCTTAGAACAACTTACAGGCCTCCACTTCTTCCAATCTTATTAATTCAATTATATTACTTTGTATTTTAGACTATATAATCAAATAACTCTCCTCCACTAATCATTTCCATTACCAAAAATATATGCTTAGGTGTTTCAATTATCTAAAATATAACATTGTATACCTCATATAGTTAGATTATATGGGGATGGCGCACCAACTTCAAGATATGAATCTCTCTTTATACTCTCTCTACATCTGCAGTTTCAACTATTCTATCCTTCTCCAGTATTTTTATAGCCACTTTCTCCTGTGACTGTTCATGAATGCCCATTTTTACCTTTCCAAAAGTTCCAAATCCCAACGTCTTCCCTATCCATAAACTGATGTCTTATACCTATTACATAATTCCCAACCATTCTGGTGCGAGCAACTTCATTTTTCGGTTATTATTCAGCCATTATATAAAAAATTAGATAATTATATATTTATAATGCTCACCAATCCTAATCCTAATGATCAATTAGAAAATTATAAATTGTCATTATATAAGGAAATATAATGCAATCTGAAGAGGTCTTAATTTTTAAAGAAAAAAGATGTAATTAGTAGATTAACAAAAATAGAATAAAAGGGTAGAAAATTTTCTAAATGTATAACAGATTTTTGACAATGGGCCCAGATTAGCCATTATTAAACCATCCTTGACTAAGGAAGAATCAAATCCAACCATGGGTGGCGATGGATCAACTGCTAGTTCTTATAGCAGAGATTTAAGAGAAAATATGAGCAGAGAGTCGATCATAAAATGTTATCCAGGTTTAGCTATCTAAATTCTGGATGCAATTTCAGCATTATCTGATAATTAATAGAGAGGTAAAGTAATCAAACATTTTCTTTCCATTTCCACCACATATTACAAATACGAAAGAATGAGATTCATTGAACAATTTCTCCCTAAAGACCTCATTTAATATCTTAAAACCAATTACTCGCTTGATATTTTTAAATAATTGAACGATTCCTACAAAATGGTACTTATAATCATAAAACCTAGCAATTAGATCAATCAATTTCGAATGTTTTGTTTTTTGAGGCTGGAATTGAAACAGATATCAAACCTCTTTACAACTCTTCATTCTTAGCTTCTTAACTGTTGTTTATGTACTCTTCAAATTATTATAGTAAGTTTATTTATTCTATTTAGAGAAAATTATCCAAAATAGAGAATGATATTTTTAAATTTTACTGGCATCTAGAATAATGATGCCGAGCTTCACCAATAGTTCTCTAAGGAAGAGTGTCTCTACATTTCATTATAAAGAAAAAACACCAGAAATATTCAAAATTCAACTCAAATGTTGAGTTAAAATGAAACTAACTTTAAGATCATATACCTTGAAGAAAATCAGTAGGAATTAACGTGGTAATAATTTAGAATTATTTACAAATACTAAATCAAAAAGAATATCAAAAGTTTTAAATCAAATTTATTCATTCTATCAATTGCGAAACAACTTGACTGCGTAATTTTTTATAGTATCATAGTAAAGTTACTTCAAATTTTCTGAGGATTGCATAATCAAGATGATATCAAGGTTCTCAATACTAGCCAAAGATAAATTGATAATACATTCCTATATTAGCAAAGGTTTATCTCAAAATCAAAATTAAAAGGCTTAAACTGCAGAATTAATAACTTACATCAATAGTTTAGAATAAGGTATTTTGTCTCAAGACATATTTCTGAATCAAGACAAGTTTGAGATGTAAACAGACAGCACACAATTAAGATATTTTGATAATTGGGTTGAAAAATTAATCCAAGGAAATATTAAAATTTTGAAGCCAGAATAGCAAGAATTATTTCAAAGAGAAAGGAGAAATTTAATGCTTGACTCCAAAAATCAATTAGTCGAAGATCTACCCGCCATTAAACTTGGAGTTTATATTTTTAAAGATAACGAATAATGTTAGTTGGATCAGATTATTTACTTAACTCATGATAATCAGAATCTCTAGTTTTTCACTAACTCCATATTATATGTAGATTATATTGGAAAGTAAATCGTCTTGTTGCAATATGAGGAGCCGACGTATTATGTATATCATACAAAATTTAATGACAATAATTTATATAATTGGATACCATAGGATTAAAATTGGTAAATTTGATTATAATTATAAATTAGTTAAAGGATAAACTTGTCAGAACTATTAGAAGATTAAGATAACTTGGATGAATCAATTATTTTCAACTCTTCATTAATCGTAAAAGATGAGAAAGCTTATATTATTTATAACAAGGACGCTTCTAAAATCTTTATGATTGAGTTGAATAATTCTTCTGCAGTTGTTTTGAGAAGAAGGGATTTGAGAAGCGAGAGAATAAAATTTAATCCTTAAGAAAAGTCTTAGAGAATAATTCATTAAAGTTAGGCGAAGGTTGAGAAAATAGTTTAGAATAGAAGAAAGCCTACTATTGTTTCATACCCTTGTGTTGAAGGATTTGATTTTATAATTTTCGGAGGAGAATTTGTTAAGTATCAATATGTTGAAATATTTAAGTTCCAATTAGTTTTGTAATCTTGTAGAATTGATATAAGTTGAAAGTGATGGTTTTTCTTCAGTGACTATTCCTAAAGATATGCTATTTCACAAATGTGGTTATTACATCCCTTGGCCAAACATGATAGTTTTAGTAAATTCTACATCGCCGAAATAATATGTACTATTGCCTGGTGATTATAATAACAAGATTTATTGTTATAATTAAGTCATCAATAAGGAGCATCAAGAAAAAGCAATATTAATGACGTAAGGTAAAGATAATTTACAATTCTAAATTGACTATTTGAAGATTGAGTATCAGGTTAAGTAGGTTGAAATAAATAATTAGTAGATTGAGTTGGATGAATAAAATATCAAAAAAAGAAAACCGATTCCTATTTAATATTTTTCAGGAAATTAAACTAATATTAAGAGTGAGGAATCATATTGGCGCATTGCTATCACCATGTTAGAGACTGCTTAATCCAAAATTATTTAGCTATTTGTATTGGCTGAAATTAAGATTGAGATTGAAGGTTAAAGAAAGCAATTAATAATTACATAATCAATGGAAGAAATTGTTTGCCATGGAATTACATAATAAAAAAAAAATTTCGCTTTTGATTAATAAAATATAAAAATATTGTAATCCAATGATAGTTAAATCTCGCCTAATTAGGAAGAATACTAAAGTAATAAGGATGATAAAAGTACGAAATCCTAATTCAATTGAATGATATAAATTTATAAATATTTCTAATATTGATCCTTTTAATCTATTATTCAATTTGTTAATATTATATAAAGGATTATGTTTATTCTATTAGAATATTTTAGATTCTATTTGACTACAATAATATGTATTTTTAAAATCGATATATATTTAATATTAATTTAATTAGATGCATTAATAATCATTAATTCATAATTAAAAATTGCAAGTAAATGATGAAATCAAATAATAATAAATTATTTATAAATTAATTGAGTTGATAAGATATTTGAATAATAATATTTATAAATGGATAGAAATTAGTCAGAAGAAGAGAAAAAGAACTAGAACCCATTGGATTAATACTATAATTCATTATTATTTCCATCTTAAGGGTTATCCTGTTATTCATAGTTCTTACCAACTTATTCTATAGATACTTGCTTCATTCTCTCCCAAGAAGTTCAATCTACAATATTTTAAATAGAAACACAAATGATCCCTAAAAAGAAAACCATGGAAAAAATTCTAAGGATTTCAAAAAGAATTCAAAGAAAAACTAAAAAAAATCAGAATTCTAAAATTATTGCCAATCCAATTCTAAACTAGATTAGAGATCTTATAAATTAAGTTAATTAAGACACTCCTTTCTACCGAATCAAAGTTGTTAAAAAATTGAAATCGGTGATTGAAAATCTAGAAAATCTGTTAGAAAATATAAAACATCAACTCCTTGTTTAGCTTTAAGATTAGGAGTCCCATATAATAAGTCAATGAAATTTATACAATAATTTAACTTATGAAAAGTTTTTCTTTTTGTATTAATGGTATTTCCTTATGAATTCATAATAATAATGATACTTAAGATTATTATAACAGCATTACTTGCCTTTATTGTTAAAAAATGGAATAAACATATTTGTCGACTCATGAATAGAGATTACCATAGGTAGTTCTAGGCTTTGGTGTTCTAAACAACTATTTAATTAATGATATCCATAATGTGCTAGTAGAGTTAACAATTATACATAACGATATTGAGGACAGTTATTGAGGAAAAAGATTATTGGATAATATGATCAATATGTTACTACTATGAGGTGGGTTTAGATAGGAAATTAGAAGATTATAAAATTGATTGAATTTACTTTATTTTTGTTTTTAACTATTAAAATACTAGTTTAAAAATAATTGTTTATTGCTTCAATGATTCTATGATAGTCTGGTTTCAGTAAAGAATTCTCTATTTATTATATAATGTAATAAAATTAATGCGTATAGACCTCCTCATTTGAGTTGGCTTTTTAATTATAAGATCTAATCTTTAGAGAAACTAAGACAAAATCTCCATCTCAATTGTACAATTTTTCCACATCAACAAAAGCTATTTCATACTCAAAGTAAATAAAATAAATAAATTCACATCGAAGTGTTGGTGAAATAAATACAAATATCTCCTCTCCTGCTCCTATAAAGCTTTTAGGCAAGGCAGTCGAAGGTAAAGCATTTTTGACTAATCTAATGTTTCCTAGTCAATTAAGGATGAAGGTGTCGATTATAGAATATAAATCTGAGAAGAAGGATCAACCAATGCCAAAAAATATACATATGGCAAGGAGACTGAGTTAATACAATATAAATGAGTCTAAATCAGGGAGATAGTTTGAATGGATCAATAAATTTAATTTGCAATTGCAAAAGTGCAATTATTATGTGAACAATGAAAAATCAGTAAAATTAAAACTACAACGAAAAAGACAGTTATCTGTAATAGATGATGTTCGACCAATAAGTTCTCGAAATCTTTTTATAAATGGAACTTAGAGTCAATTTTCAAGTCGAGCCAAGACACCAAGTAGAAAATGATTAAATTAAAATATGAATACTAAAATAACTTTGCGTAATTCAAAACAGAATAGCTTTCTAAGTTCATTCAAAACTACGCATCGACATACATTATCCTAGGGTATGGAACTAAAGTTGGAATCGCCTACAAACAGGGAAACTTCTGGATTCACCTCTTTTTAATCCTTGAAATCTTCATCAATGCACTTGAAAAAATTAGTGAAATCTCCAACTTCTTCACTATAATCTGCAAGATTATTTGATTTAAATGAAAACTTCCTTAATAAGAGGACGTCAATAGTATAAATGATGCAAACATTTTCAAATAATTATGAAATTATCTAGTAATCAGAACCCTTAGAAAATATTGATTTGGATAAACTGTTTCCAGTAGAAGAATAAAAGAAATTGTAAAATAATGAAATAGTTTCTGATGAATCAAAGTTAAGAATATTTGAGTTAAAACAAGAGAGCAATAATTGGATCTCAATTAATAGATTCAGATTTCATTACTTTTCAATTAAAATTTAAGGTTAGGAATCACCAATATAAGTTTATGTAAAATGCGATTAATCAAGATTGCTTAATTACAGAATGTACATATCAACAACTGCTTCATTTCCTACTAAATTCAATTGTGAAGCTGTTGTATAATCTAAATATTTTAAATATTAAGATAAAAAACATAACGATAAATTTTTGGATAAGTACTTATATATAGCAATATATTCTGAAGAGGACTGTGAGATTTCAATATCATTTCTTTATGGAAATAAATTTATCAAGAAATAAAAACCAAAAAGAGAAAAACCAAACTATGATAAATATAAATATTGGTGGTAGCAATAGAAATTTGATATGAGTTATGAAACAGACAAAATAAATAGCAATCTTGATACTAGGTAATACTCGAGAGAAGCAAGAAAAGAGAAATTAATTCAATCATAAGATTAGTTAGATTTAAGATTGAAAAATGCAATGAGTAAGAAAAAGGAATTATGTGAAGACAAAAAAATGGACTTATTATCCAAATATTAAGCAAATGAAACTTTAAAAGAAATTAGAAATCAACAAAAACTCAAATAAAGAATTAGATAAGCCCTCATCAAATTTCAAATCAGTTGGTTTGATGTCTTTCTACTTATACATTTAGCTGAAAATATGAAAGTTATGTTAGATGTATTTTAGTTGATATCCTAAATTAGGAAGCAAAAAGGAGAAGCAAATATCTAGCCAAAGGAAGACTTATTGTTTGGAAATATAGAACTACAACTATGATTAAAATAAAAGAGAGTGGACAAACGGTTGATTAGAGAAATCTATTTAAATTATGCATGGCAATGTGTATGTACGCATTTCATAACAAAAAGAGAATAAAAACTGATGTATCTAAAGTACTAAGGTACTTTTTCACTTTAACTCATTAATATTGTCATTTCATTTAAAAACATTAGGAACTAACAAATAAAGGTATGGAATCATTCATTTTTAGTAAATTATGTTAAAAGGGTATTTAGAAATTTAAAGCAAAAAGAAAAAGCCTATAAGGATAGATTATGGAGAATTCTTAATAAATATGCTTAAGAAATCCTTCATTCTTTGGGAGCACACTTTAGTAATCCCAAAAAGCGAACATACATCATTGATAGGTAATTAACTGACTTATCAAGAGTTCAGCACTAATGAAAGCAACTGAAGATTTTCTAACAACAAAAAAGAGAAAATGTTAACAATTTATTTAAAGTTATGTCAGAGAAAAAGATTAAAAATAAGTAAAACTATAAATATTTTATAAAATAAGAGAGTAGTTGACCTCGCTTTGAATATGATGTAACCAGAAATGTTTGATACACCTTCATATGATGATTTATATGGAATTTTTCGTACTTACATTCTTTACAAAAAAATGACATCTCAACACACATAATAATAATAACTAAAATCTTAGCAAATAAAAGAGCAATGAAAAATGATTATATTTATAAAGTATTTTAATTTTAAAAGTAAACTTGATATAATTTAAATTTATAGATGGATGCTTTATTTACTGTCATCAATAAAGTGAAATTGTAAACTCTAATTTAATTCTCAATTAAGGACTTTAGAATTGAACAGCCGTTGTTGGTGATTTTGTAAGGAAAATTATTTTATTTTAATTAGAAATGTTGAGAAGATTTAAGACAAAGAAATAGCAACTCAAAAAGTAAATCAACACATTTTATTATAAACTTAATAAAATTATGCTTATAGATGATGATATTTATTCAATATATTCTATTGCATATCATATTTTATGAAACATTGCATCCTATTTTTAGAGAATAATAGTGTCACAAATTACTTGAGAATCCATGATAAATTACTTTATTATTTTTTCAATAAAATTTCATATTGAAAACTCAAATAAAATAGCCTTTTATAACAAAAGACAATATTTTTATAATAGATTTGATTCAATTTCGAATATAATTATTTGTAATGTGTGTTTGGTTTAACTAGTTTTATAATTAATATTTCAATGAAAATTTTTCTGATGCTTTCTCTAAACTTTATCCTAACATTGCAACAAATGGGAGGAGGAGGAGGAGGAGGAGGAGGTGGAGGAGGCGGTGGGAGTGGTAGCATCGGAGGTTCTGATTACTATAGTTCTAGTAATAACGAGGATTGTTCAGATAGTTGTTGGATTCCTATTGTTACAGTTTTCTCCTCAATCCTTGTATTTTTTATTAGTTTTCGATGTTATAAATCTGGTTATTTAAGATTTGATTGTATGAAAATTAGAAATTCAAAAAAATGGTTGCTTCAAAATTTCATTTCTGAAGGTAATACATCTACAAGAGATGAATTGTTATATGGCTTAGAATTACTTTAAAATTGTAATTGGAATATGACTTATTTTCAAAAGGGATGGAAGAACATAAAATTAATTGAAAAGGAATTTAAAATAAACTATAGTTAAGAGCTAAACAAATATTACATAGATGTCAAATTTAGAGCTCATGATTCAGTTGGAGAATCAACTTATATTGGCCATATTAAATAAAATTAGAATGAATGGAGGATACTCATGATTAAAACTTATGACGATAGAATTAAAGCACAATAATTTGGTGATTATGCGATCTTGATTTATGATGGAGTAACTCTTTAGCTTCCTCATGGATTTAATGGAAGGTGGTATTTCTATGAAGCTTCTTCATCACATGGAGATTGGAAATGGTAAGGATAGGATTAAGAAGAAATATAATTATGATAAATAAACACATTTGCATAAAAGTATCTACAACAATTTATCTTCAATCTTTTTTAATATATTTGTTTTTTTTCTTTTTATTATAAAAAAACCTATATATCTTTTTTGATTTGATATTTAAAGGAATTAATAATAACCTATAAATTTAATCTAAAATTAATTGAATAAAGTATTTAATTTAGCATTAGACTAAAAATTTTAAATAGACAATATTTAGCTGAAAAATATTTTTCATCAAAGATTTTGGTATATCAAAAGCTTTTCCCTTTTTATTAATTTTTATGGAAAACGAAGTTGAAGAAGGCTGACTGAAGTAAAAGAATAGTCATATATTGTTGATAATGAAATTGATCCATCACTAATAGATTAATAAATATAAAAGGAGCATATATTAACGACATGTAATTAAATTGGGTAATAATAATTTTACTATTTATATCTAATTTATATTATCTTTGCAAAATATTAATTGTAATATCAGCGTATTAATAATTCTATTTATAATATTAATTATAAGGAAAAAAAATTATAAAATTAATGCAATAAATAATAGAGCCCTCTGGAACTATGGGAGATTTGCTGTTCTCCTTACAGCGATTCTCATTAGAGGATGAAAAGCTAATTTAATATTTCGGAACTAGAATAATTAATTAAAATGAAATTTACTACATTAATTACTGCACTCCATTGGAAAAAAATTTATTTTTAAATTACCTTATAAATTTATTCTACTCGAATGATGATATCCCGAAGCAGGATATATTATATATTGATTCCCAACATAATTTTAATATTCCAGAGAATGTTTTTGTAGGCAATTGTTATTCAATTGAGGAGATTGTAATTCAGTTAAACTCAGCAAGGTATATACTAAAGAAGAATAGAAAAATAAGACTAATTATAATTGATTCCATTCATTAAAGACAGAAGGATAATAAAAGAAGAACTTCAAGAACAATAGGAGAAAAAATCTTGCAATTTGATCGAGAAGTAGAATACGTTTTGGAGGAACTGATAAATTTATTAAGGGAATTCAATGCAATTGTGATTGTGCTATGTTTAATGTAGTACCCTTAGAATACAATAAAACTATCTCATAATTTTTAATTTCTAATTTCAGATAAAATAATAGGGTAATTGCTGGAGAATAATATATTTCTGATTCCTCCATTATTTTATGATTAAGAACTGTATAATTATGTTCAGAATAAGAACTAGAAGAATATATCATCTAGTTGTATTTCAATAATGGAAAGTAAAAGCAAGATAAAGTATTATATTTTCGATAGTAATTAAATTATTTAAACTGGAGAAATAGCTCAGAATTTTTGAATATTGAACTTCTATGATATATCATATAATAAAATATAAATAATATAATGTAACTTTATGGGTTAGTAGCTCAGATAATTTCGAAGCCAAATAGGTATAGTAATAAATGAAAATTGGGTTGTTTAAAGACAGTATAATTTATCAAAAATAATATAAAAATTAATTATTCGACACTAGGTTTAACCAATAATTATAAATTAATATAAAAGATGGGCTAGAGTTGTGCATCTTGTTAGTATAAAGATGAATCTACTGCTGGCTATAATTGTATGGAACAGAAGGATTAATTTGAAGGAGAAGACCTAGACGACAGTTAAGAATTTGATGCTAGTATTACATTATTATAGTCAAGAAAGTCCTCCATCTACATATCAATGTAAAACTATGGAAGCAGATATTCTGCAGTTTTAAAAGGTTATCTCAAAAGAGAAGGAAGAGGAATATTTTGAGGAAAGAAAGGAACAATATTTGGTATTTGAAGATAAATCGCGATATGAGGGTAGTATAGTAAATGGAAAAGCCAATGGTTATGGAAAATTACAGTTTGAAAATGGAGACTACTATTAAGGGGAATTCGTTGACAATGTGATGGAAGGAAATGGAACTTATAATTATGCGAAAGGTCCATTATATGAAGGGCAATTTAAGTCAAATAAACCAGATGGTCTTGGGATCGAAACTTGGCCAGATGGATCTGTTTATGAAGGAGAATTTAAAGGAGGTCGGAAACACGGAAATGGCTGTTATAAGTGGTATCAAGGCTGCGTTTACAATGGGGAGTGGAAGGATAATCTGATACATGGTATCGGAAAATATGATTGGCCTGATGGAAGGGTATGGTATAGTAAATATTGCAGTCTTATTCTGGAAGTTGGGTTAAAAATAAAATGCACGGTCGAGGAAAATATATATGGAAAGATGGGAAGAGTTATGATGGAGAGTATTAGTATGATAAAAAAAGCGGTTTTGGCATATTCCATTGGCCTGATGGAAAACAGTACTAGGGTTAATGGTTGGATGGAAAGTAGCACGGAAAAGGGTTGATGATAGGGAAAGATGGTATAAAAAAAATAGGATCTTGGTTGGAAGGCAAACTAATGAGTTCCATTGAGGATGACAATTTCTAAATTATACCAGACGGTTGGATTCAATAATGACAATGATCTTATTATATTGTTCTCATAGTGATCTAATAGCCATTTTTTTATATTTAACACTTAAAATAAAAAATTTATTGTAGAACCTATTTACAATATAATTTTAGTATTATCTATTTCCGTTTCTAAGAATTTTCTATTAATTTAGTATTATAATTAAAGTTTGTGTTTGAGCATAGTTCCTCATATACTTAAACAAATATATTTAGTTTTATATTTAAAATTTAATTTTTAAAGGTTAACAATTCTAAAACTGGTTGCTTAAGAAAAATATCACTTTTGACTAACTGAAATTCATCTCTATACATTAATAATATAACTAACTTTATTAAATGTTAAATGTATCATTCTTTTTATTTTATGTTAACATTTGATAAGATGTTGTTTTTCATCATATGGAAAATTAAGAAAAATAATTTTGAATTAAGTTTAGTATAAATATTTAAGTTTTTATGTTAAATTAACCTCCAAATTATTAAAAATGAAAAATAAAAGACAAGCGCAACATATTTCTGATGAGTCTGGACTTACTTACTTTGAAGCATTCTAAAAGGCCATTTCAAAATTCGAAGTTGATAACCCAATATAATATCACAAACTATATAGTGATCGATTAACAATATATGAGGATTTGAAATTGATCTTAGAATTATCTAAAATCAATTAAATTGAACCACAACATTTTGAAAATATATCAGCTCTGCTTAAAAGATCTAAAATAGTCTTAATGAAGAGGTAATAACTAAGGTTAGCTTAGATATCGGGAGTATTTAAAGAATATAAATCAAGATGACTTATAAGCAATATTTTCATTTCTGTAACAACAAGGGGCTTATGGATATCTTATTTTTACTCTGGAAAACGGATCTTACAGATTATCAGATATAGAGCCAATAAATTAATAGGAATCCCCAAATAAGCTCCCTATTCAAACTCCAATAAAATAAATAAATCAACAAAAAGAACAAGCATCTGCAATCGATGTACCATAAAACTCACAATAATATCAAAGGATCGAGCCAGAATCTATAAAAAAAATAAAACCCAATAATACTTTTTAATTGTCTGCAAAGTAAATTCTTATTCAAACTTTTTAGTTCAAAATACGATGTTTCTCATAAAAAAACCAACTCTTTTAAATAAGAGTAAGCTGTTTTAGATACAGAGTAGAAACATGAGTATGAGGAACTTAAATTTACATTGAAAATTCTATCTGAAAGTTTAAAGATATCATACTAAGAATTATGTCAAAGGATGTTTCAGTGTTCTGGAGATTTGAATACACTCTTAGATGTATATTTAAATCGTTAAGAAAATTTGCTTTGGACAAAGGAAGCAGATGAAGCCTTAAATGCTTACTTTATCGAGGAAAACTAATTTGAAAAACAAAAATTAAGAGCTATCCTACATGGAGAAGAGTAAATATAAAAGAGGAAGGAATGGTTATATGGAAAATGAAAATGATAGTTAAACAGAATTAATGATATTTATCAAATAAATTTTAATAACAAACTCATTTATGTGCAGTAGCATCCATTTTAAGAATATCAGATGGTAACATGATGTGATTTCTAGATTCAGCTAGAATAGCAGATATTTCTCTTGCATATTCAATTCTTCTGACATCCAAGAAGGCTAAAGGAACATTAAAATACAAAATACCTGGATTAGTTAAGGCTGATTTTCCTACTAATTCAATAGATTTAGCTTCTCCCAATGCCTTGATTACAATACTTTTCTTGGCTTCTCTGGCTTATTCGACAACAAACTTTGCTCTTTCAGCTTCTTATTGAGCAACCTATTTGGCTTCAACTGCATCCAAGTATTCTTTTCCAAAAGTGAGTTCTGTAATTGATACATCGTCTATTGCAATTTTGAATTAGGCTGCTCTTTGATCTAGAGCTTGTCTGATTTTGAATGAAACCTAATCTCTTTGACTCATCAATTAGGAAGCAGTATATTAGGCCACAACGGATCTCATAGTTTCATTAACAATGGATGGTAACACTTTTTCATCATAATCAATTCCCAAAGTTCTATAAATGGTTGGAAGATCATCACTGTAAGGTCTATGGAGTACTCTGAGAGTCAATAGAACATTTTGCATATCTTTTAGAATATTTTAAAAGGGGGATACCTCTATTGGCTGTATTGGCCTTGATTTGTCTGGGTCTTGTCTAGATATTATAATCAATGGGGGTCTCAAAGTAGGGAATTCTGAAATGCCATCCTTCCTTGTACTTTTCTTCTTAGAGTCCGAAAAACTTGCTGAATTTAATAGCACAATGTCCAGGCTCAACAGTGAAAAAGCAATTTTTAACCAAGAAAATGCCGAAAATACCTGCTGTTCCAAGACTCATAAGCATTTTTAACGATTCTACTTAGGCAGCCATCTATCTAAGATTATATTTGTGTTGGAAATTTAATTAATTAAAATGGGGGTACCTGCATTCTTCAGATGGCTTTGTGCCAGAAATCCAAAGGCTCTATTGGAAGTCTTGGAAAATTCAGATGAATCCTGCTTATCAAACAACCCAGATATTGATAATCTGTACCTTGATATGAATGGTATCATCCATCCCTGCTCTCATCCTGATTAAGGAGGCATTCCCATCCCAGTCACATATGATGACATGTTTGTGAATGTATTTCACTACATAGATCGTTTAGTTGATATTGTTCGTCCAAAGGAATTGATATACATGGCCATAGATGGTGTTGCCCCCAGAGCCAAACTAAATTAGCAAAGAAGTTTAAAAATACAATAAATCCATATAGGTCGTAGATTTAGAGCAGCCTAAGAATCCATACGAATTCAAAAAGAAAAGGAACGCTTACGAGATTACTGGAGAACTTAAGGCTTAAATTCGGATGCTTTAAATACTTATATTGAGAAAAACTTTGACAGTAACTAAATTACTCCAGGAACTGAGTTTATGCAAAAGTTAAATATTGCCTTGCAGTATTATATTTATGATAGAATGAACAATGTAACAATAATTTTCACATTATATTAGAATCCTCTATTTCGAAATATTCTCATCATTTTTAATGATTCAAGTATTCCAGGAGAAGGAGAACACAAAATCCTGTAATTTGTAAGAGATCAAAGAAAACAAATGAATTATAAAACAGTTAGACATTGCTTGTATGGAGCAGATGCTGATTTAATAATGTTGGGTTTGAGTACACATGAACCATACTTCTATGTGATAAGAGAAACAATTATGGCTAATGATGATAAACAATGTTCCATTTGTTAATAAAAAGGTCATTTTTTTACAGATTGTAAAAAAAGAGAGAAGGTGATTGACGATTTGAATGGAGAAATTAAGTAATATAATTAGATTCAATAACAACAAAAGACTAAATTAATTTAAGTTGATTTTCAAATATTGCAACTTAATATTGTTAGGGAATTCCTATATTTTGAGACTCGGGATTTACAAGCTTCATTGAAAGGGTAATATGATTTAGAAAGGATCATTGATGATTTTGTATTTATGTGTTTTTTAGTCGGAAATGATTTTCTACCACATATTCCTTGTTTGAAAATAACGGAAGGGGGTATTGATTGTCTGCTGATTATATATAAAACAATTCTATCATAAATAGGAGATTATTTAACAAATTGTGGGGAATTGAATTTGTAATAGATGAATTAATTTCTATTTCATGTTGGATTAATTGAAGATGAACTCATCAAAGGTCAAGAGAAAAAGAAGGAGATAGTTAAGAATAGAAGAGAAAGAAATGCAGAAATGAAAGAATAAAAGATTATGACTGCTCCTGAGTTTAGTATTGTAGATACATAGAAGGAGATTCTATCCAAATTTAAATCTGCATTAAAAGAGAAATTGACAGAAATTAATCAATAGGAAATTGATTAAGCATAATCAGCAAAATCATCACAAGAATTGAAAAAATGGAAAGCTGTTAGTTACAAGCAAAGATATTACTAGGAGAAATTTGGAATAAAACCTACTTAATTTAGGGAATTTCAACATAGAATCAAGATCTCTTATTTGGAAGCATTGGCATGGACATTAAAATATTATTATTAAGGATGTGTAGATTGGGGATGGTTTTACCCTTATCATTATGCACCATTTGCATAAGATCTGACCAACTTAGATTAATGTATGTTTGAATTTTCATTGAATACTCCTTTTAAGCCATATTAATAATTATTAGCAGTATTACCTCCTTAATCGGCTTAATTTCTACCTAGACCCTATTAACAATTGATGTTAGAGTCCTCATCTCCTATAGCTGATTTCTATCCTACAGATTTTGTAGTTGATTTGAAAGGCAAGAAATTTGCATGGCTTGGAGAAGTAGTCTTACCGTTTGTTGATGCTGACAGACTAATAAAAGCTAGTAATATAGGTGTTAATTTATCTAAATTGGAATAAGAAAGAGATAGATTAGGATAAACATTGATATTTAGTCTTAAGAAACATGAAATCTTTAATTTCTAATAATGTCATATCCAAGTTTAAGTTGACTGGTTACCTCGCTTTCCAGTTGGAAGTGAAATCAAATCACCCATACCTACGATGGGAAACATTCTCAATAATTAAATTATATGTGGGGCCTTATTGAAAACAATGATTGAAAGTGATGCATCATTTATCTAGAATTAGATTAGGAAAGGGACTATTATGCCACCCGAATTCTTGGATGAATATTACATGAATTAATGTGAGTAGAATAAGAGATCATTTGGAGGTGAAGCTGTCAGAAGAATAGTTTATTCGATATTAGGTGTCAAATAAGTGAGGAGATTAGACAGATCATAAGACGATTTTGATTAAATAAAAAAATAAACAAAATTATGATATTATTATTATTAAATTTGAGAATTATTCCTAATAACTTGATGCATATGTTATTGAGATTTATATAGCTATAAAATTAAATATAAGATGAAGACTATCTATTTACTTAAGTAATGATTAACTAAATCATTAAATAGAATCAGTATGAATTTGTTAAAATAAGAGACACATTTGGAGTTGATAATTTTAAATGAATTTCAAGTAAAATGAAAAGTCAAAATTATTAATTTAAATAATAATTAAAAAATAGAATTTTTAGTAGGAACACAAAATTTATGATTATATTATTTAAGTATTAACTTAAAAAAATAATAGAAAAATTAACATTATTGGTTCCTATTAATTGAAAAAATCCTGATTTACTTATATCGGTAGAAATAAGTCAAAAATTTTTTCCTTTTTTCTTCATATTATACCCTTTAGTATAAATTAATTTATAAGAACGGCATTTCGATTCATCTAACATTGTATGTTGATGCTATCCATCGATTTACATAGAACAGGGATAGAGTAATAAATTTCATGAGATATTTGAAATAGAGAGGAACCATTTAAAAAACTTACATTTTATGAAGTATTTCACCATTATTAAAGAAATTCAAATCAAATGAAGAAGACATCAGAATTATCTGTTAATTTACAATCATACTGACGTTTCAATTATCAATAGCTAAATCTTTAGTAATGAAAGCTATAAATTTACTCTACTAAATTAAATGATGAGTTCAGTTTGTGAACATGAAAATAATAATCGTTTGATTTTATACAATTTGCTATTGTTGATTGATAAAAAGGGGAGTTTTAAGTAAAGGACATAATTATGATTGTTATTTATCTATTAATATATTTGATCATAATCAAATAAGGTCTTGAAAACCAAGTCTCTTTCTAAAACTTATCACTTCTTCACTTGATAATGTGCTATCATTTCTGTATTAGATTTCATCAAAATCTATTGTAAATTCAAAATTTTTATTTACTTCTTCTTCTGTATTTTCTTCTTCTATTGTTGAGGAAATGTGTGCCCAATCTTGGATAACCTAATTAATTCATGATACTATTGTACTTGCCAACATCAATATGGGTACTGTGAAAATAGTGACATCGATGCCTAATCTAACATACCAAGGAATGGGTCTCATTGATAATATTTAATAAATTAATGTAAAATAATAATTGTTTGTTTTGCGAAAAATAAAGAATAGAAGGGACCATCCATTATCCCACTCTATTGCAGACAGTACCAATCTAATTTATGAAGGCACTTTACTTGAAATATAATTCTCAAGATGAAATGTCAATTGATGATCTCATTAAACATGCCCATAAGAAATGGGTAATAGATTTCTATGAGAAATCATAAGTAATATAGGATTAAGAGTTTCTANATTAAATTTGAGAATTATTCCTAATAACTTGATGCATATGTTATTGAGATTTATATAGCTATAAAATTAAATATAAGATGAAGACTATCTATTTACTTAAGTAATGATTAACTAAATCATTAAATAGAATCAGTATGAATTTGTTAAAATAAGAGACACATTTGGAGTTGATAATTTTAAATGAATTTCAAGTAAAATGAAAAGTCAAAATTATTAATTTAAATAATAATTAAAAAATAGAATTTTTAGTAGGAACACAAAATTTATGATTATATTATTTAAGTATTAACTTAAAAAAATAATAGAAAAATTAACATTATTGGTTCCTATTAATTGAAAAAATCCTGATTTACTTATATCGGTAGAAATAAGTCAAAAATTTTTTCCTTTTTTCTTCATATTATACCCTTTAGTATAAATTAATTTATAAGAACGGCATTTCGATTCATCTAACATTGTATGTTGATGCTATCCATCGATTTACATAGAACAGGGATAGAGTAATAAATTTCATGAGATATTTGAAATAGAGAGGAACCATTTAAAAAACTTACATTTTATGAAGTATTTCACCATTATTAAAGAAATTCAAATCAAATGAAGAAGACATCAGAATTATCTGTTAATTTACAATCATACTGACGTTTCAATTATCAATAGCTAAATCTTTAGTAATGAAAGCTATAAATTTACTCTACTAAATTAAATGATGAGTTCAGTTTGTGAACATGAAAATAATAATCGTTTGATTTTATACAATTTGCTATTGTTGATTGATAAAAAGGGGAGTTTTAAGTAAAGGACATAATTATGATTGTTATTTATCTATTAATATATTTGATCATAATCAAATAAGGTCTTGAAAACCAAGTCTCTTTCTAAAACTTATCACTTCTTCACTTGATAATGTGCTATCATTTCTGTATTAGATTTCATCAAAATCTATTGTAAATTCAAAATTTTTATTTACTTCTTCTTCTGTATTTTCTTCTTCTATTGTTGAGGAAATGTGTGCCCAATCTTGGATAACCTAATTAATTCATGATACTATTGTACTTGCCAACATCAATATGGGTACTGTGAAAATAGTGACATCGATGCCTAATCTAACATACCAAGGAATGGGTCTCATTGATAATATTTAATAAATTAATGTAAAATAATAATTGTTTGTTTTGCGAAAAATAAAGAATAGAAGGGACCATCCATTATCCCACTCTATTGCAGACAGTACCAATCTAATTTATGAAGGCACTTTACTTGAAATATAATTCTCAAGATGAAATGTCAATTGATGATCTCATTAAACATGCCCATAAGAAATGGGTAATAGATTTCTATGAGAAATCATAAGTAATATAGGATTAAGAGTTTCTAAAGAAATACTATGACAGAGAATATGAGATCGTTCCTAAGCTAATTGCTTTAACTGAATACTACAAATATATGTTAGATACACCTAATCTCTTTATGCTCCCATTATTTAAGCTAATAAAAAACTACAATAAATTACGAAAGTATCATCTTCAATATTTAGAGAGTATCATTACGCAAAAATCAAGTACAAATTAAAAATATTGGTACCTCAAAGTAGCATTAAAGTTGATAAAAAATATACTCAATTATTGCAATTAACGATGAGCAACCAAGAAGATGAATAGTAATCTTTGATTTCAATCTTAAATAAATTCTAACCATAACAAATAACTATCCCTAAATAATTAAAATCATATACTCAATAGTCATGTATATAGTCTACTAAGTTGCATACGAAACCCTTAATCAAAAAGAGTGAACAAGCAAGCTACAAACTTAAATCAATTGTAAATGGGGATATAATGTAACAACAGCCTTAATTATTGACTCAATAATAATAATATTAATTAAAAAGGAGAACATAATCAAAATCTCATTCGAATATTAAATTCCATACTCTTTAAAGCGTAAATAACAATTCAAAAAAACAGAGCATTTCTTACAATAAATCAAATCTGTAACCCATTAAAACTCTGGGATAAAGCAAAATAGGATCTCAAGCTGATATCATCAGCAACAATTAGATATAGAAAAGTAATTCTATAGGGAAAACCATATCAAGAAGAAAATTAATTTAATTATTTTATAAATGATTATATTATTTGCATTATTTTTACTTTCAGTTTAAGCAATTTACATCTTACACACCAAAGGAATTTCAATAAGTCAATTAGATTATTTTGTAATTGAATTGAATCAAATTGATTACAAAGTGAAATCACAAATTGCACATAATGGATCATTTACTATATCCAAACTGTATTAGGATTCTGCTCTATTTGATATATTCATCCTAGATTCAACTGGTTATACTTGTTATTTATAAGCCTATTACAATAGTTCTTGGGAAACAGAATGCTTTTTCTTGTTTAATTCGAGTTAAACAAGTCTCAATAATTTTGAATATGAGCAAGAATATACAGTAGCAGATGCACAACGATATTTGGTTATAGATAACACTCCATTCCCTTAAAATGGGGCTTATTTCGCTGATAGATTGTATTTGCAATTAGATTACATCTAAGTGATCTAACCAATACCTACCTATTATCAAGTTACCATAAAAAGTATATTATGCCATAAAAAAAATAGTAACAATTGTATTTGTAGGAGTGTTGATTTGTTTTAGTATTTGGTGTTTGATACTGAGTTTAAAGTATAGAAAGGAAACAAAACACAAGGAATCCATAGAAAGGAATAAATTAAATAATACCTTATCACCTTTAAAGTAATATAAATGATATATCAAATCCAAAATATATTGCATCTCTTTATTTAAATTATATTATAAATTTCATAAGTCACCATTTAGTTGTATTAAATTAATTATGAAATATAAAATTATATAACATTGTGGAGGATGGATGATTAATTTATGTACAACCCAAATAGCAATTTAGAGAATCTCTAAGTTTAAAAAAGTGAACTTGTTTCAAATTATATTGAAAGTAATAATAAACAAATAAAAAATGGATAGTTATTAATCTTTATTGATTTTAAAAGAACCAAGTTACAGTTTAATATTATGCTCATGTACAAGGGAAAATTATTAATTAATTCTACAAAGATTTATCACTAAAATAATAATGTATATTGATATTTAATATATAAAATTAAAGTTATGGGTTGTTTATAACCAAAAAAGCTAAATAGGATAGTGGCTATGTAAACAACCAATAAAGATCTCGTATTCACATCTACTGCTGATATTCACAAACTTTATTCGTTTGGTAAAGTATTAGGGATAGGTGCTTTTGGTAAGGTATTGGTTGCCAAAATGAGAAACAACAATTCGAAACAATATGCAATTAAAATGATCGACAAGAGGAAAGTAAGAGGGAGAGAAGCAATGTTGGCAAATGAGATCTACGTTCTCCAGAAGTTAGATCATCCCAATATAATTAAATTTTATGAAGTTTATCAAAATGAACTTTACTTTTACATAATTATGGATTATTGTGAAGGTGGAGAATTGGTAGAACGGATACAAAAAAGTCAAAAAAATCTAAGTGAAGGTCAGGTGCAGAACATTATATTTAAAGTAAATATTGAAAGTAAACTGAGATCTGTTCAGCAATCATGTATATCCATGAATAGGGCATCATCCATAGAGATATTAAGCCTGAGAATATATTGTTTTCAACCAAAGATCCAAATGCAGAACCGAAATTAATAGATTTTGGATTGGCTATAAAATTTGACTCCAGCAATCTTAAGTATGCTAAAATCAAATATATAGACAATTAAAAGCAGCTGTAGGTACTCCTTTGTATTTGGCACCTGAAGTTATCGAAGGCAAGTATAATGAAAAGTGTGATGTTTGGAGTCTGGGCATTTTACTCTTTCATCTGTTGTGTGGCTATCCCCCATTTTACGGAAAGAATAGAACCGATCTTTATGAAAACATCTAATATCAAAATGTAAAGGTTTAGCTATCTATTTTTTTAGTTAATTTTTGATCGGAGACATTGGAATAATGTTAGTGAAGAAGCCAAAGATTTAATTAAGAAAATGTTGAATAAAAATCATAATATTAGACCAAGTGCAAAGGATTGTCTTCGTCATTCTTGGTTCCGTAAAAAATTTCAAAATCCTGTTAAATTGTAAAGAGGAAGGAGTACTATAATTTCAATGAAATCTCCTTAATCAGAAGATTAAAGATCAATATATTAAATGTTGAAAACATATAGAATAGGAGCTAAATTTAAGAAAGAAGTCATGAAGGTGTTAGTAAATTAAATGAATGAAAAAGAACTGGGGAGATTAAAACAAGTATTCTAAAAAATAGATGTTGATAATTCAGGAACTATAACTGTGTAAGAATTGAAAGAGGCATTGTTGGAAGAAGTATAACTAATATTTAACTTTAGGGATCCCAAATATCTCATGAAGAAATAGAACAATTGATATAACTCGTGGGATTTGAGGTTTTCGAAGAGGACAAAGATGATAACGATTGTGCATCTACAACCAAATCTAGTAAGCCGCTTGTAATCAAATATAGTGATTTTCTGGCTGCATGTGTAGATGAAAGAAGAGTTTTAACCAGAGAAAAAGTAGTCAATATTATTATATGTTAGTTATGGTCTGTATTCAAATATTTTGATACTCAAGATGTCAATTTCATTATGAAAGAAGATATCAAAGAAGCATTGGCTAGGCATGGGAGATAGTTATCAGATGAGAAAATCGAAGAGATGATTTATGAGATCGATCCTAATCACGATAACAAAATTAGTTTTGAAGAGTTCTGTTAAATGATGGGCGTGGCTGGAGTTGAATAAACTATGGATTTTAAGGATGAGGTAAAAGAGCAATTAATTTTTCATCAATTTCCAGAATGATTCTTAATTGTTTATTTTTTCATATTATTTAAATCATGATGACCAGAACTATTTACAAGTTCTCTATTTTAAAATACTAATACAGAAAACAAATACACCAGAAATTATATATTCACTTAATAGATAAATTTAGAGCTCATTTAATATTGGAAAATAGCAAATATTTTTGTAAATTATGACATCAAATATATGTCATATTATTATGAAATATGACTTTTTATTATTTTATTATTCCTACCTTAAATCAATATATAAAATGGTATTCATTATTCTCGTCCTGCTACTTGGAGGAAGTTAATCATAAGGATGTCAACCTTACGGTGTTAGATTATTTTTAGGACATTACTTTAGTTACCTGAGAAATAGCTAAGATCTAATCAGAGTAGTCTTCAATACAGAAGTATATGAAATATTTTGATAATTTTAGAAAGAATGCAAGGACTAGTTTATACTTGAGTTAGTTGATAATAAACTAGGTCACAAATTAATGATTTCATAAATCACGTTCTATGATACTCAATTATTGAACATGACATAGATATATGAAAAGAATGAGACTACCCATTTTACTTATGAAACATTCATTCATACATTTAAAGTTGGATTAAATAATATAGACCTCAATGCTTCAACATCTTACAATTACAATATAATTTCTTAATAAAAATAAATATTATCCGGTCCACATAAGTTTGATATTCCCTGGGCAGAGAGCGAATAAAAAATGATAGTGTTTGGAGATATGGATTCAAATTGGGTGAAAAACTATTCAAAGGACACATTTGATTGGTTGGAAAATTAGGTAAAAGCTGATAAACGATACGATACCGTATTATTTACCGGGGATATGGCATATGATTTGGAATCAAAAAATTGTCAATAAGGTGACAATTGGCTCAGAAATCTTTCAGTATTTACTAGTAGGTATCCCTTTATGGCAGCACCTGGCAATCATGATTGGGGGAATAATACTTATTTCGACTTCTTTAGAGCAAACTTTGGATCATTATTCTTAAAGGAATATAACACTTAACACTATCTTAATGATTTCTTTAGTTTTGATGTGGGAATGGTTCATTTCATATAGTTTAATCCAATCAAGGCAGTATATCAAAATGACATCCACAACATCACTCCTTTAATAGTGGAACAAATGAGAAACGATTTGATTCAAGCACATTATAATAGAGAGAAGGTTCCATGGATTATAGTGTACACTCATTATCCAATATATTGTTCAGTTCCAAAAAATGACCAATGCATAAACAATTTTAAATATTTATCAGAATTCGAGGATATGTTTGTTGAATTCAAAGTAGATCTATATCTAAGTGGCCATGTCCATACTTATCAAAGAAATAAACCATACTATAAAAATACTACTGCAAAATACATATAGAAGGATAACATCATTTCATAATATTAATACCCAGTGTAGATAATCGAGGGTGCAGGAGGAACAGATTATGGAGAATAAAATTCCACTTATCCAGATAGTCCATTCATGGAGATATAAAATCCCAATCATGGAGTGGGAATAATCACTGTGAAAAACTCTACACATTTGTATTTTGAACATATAACTGTGGCAGATAATAAAGTCATAGATTCTATATGGTTAGATCGTTCTAGTGATGCCACTAAAACAACAACTCGGGATGGTTTTGAAGTTGCTATGTGGGTAATCTTTTCTGTCTTAATTGTTATTACTGGTGTTTCTATATATTACAAATCAAATCAAGGGAGAAAACTCAAAAGCAAACTCTTAGAGGAAACGGTAACTATGGTTGTCACTTGATTGATTATCTAATGATTATTTTATTAAGTAATAAATATATACGAAGTTTAAAGTACAATTTTTAAATACACATTAAATTCAATTTCTCATTTTTAAAGTTCATTCCAAATCACATATATATATAATTTACCTTTGAAAGTAATAGTAATCTAATGTTATTTGTAAAATAAATTGATTTAAAAGTATACTTAATGTGATTATGCCAATAATATAAATTGAAATATAAAGAGATATAATACTAGACAATTTGATAGTTAAATTAATTGCCATTAAAACACTGAATTATGAATATTCTTGACTATCTTATGCTTATTTTTAATTGTGATTACTTAAATGTCTGAATTACTTGATTCTAATTATAGGTGTATAATAGGAATAATTACTCAAAAATTTAATTTAGTTAGTAATTTAGTTTATAATTATTTATAAATGTTATATTTATTTATCATCATCATTCTATAATAATTACTAATAACTCAACAATGTTAGATATTTAATGAGCAAATGCTGCTAGGAGATTATTATACAAATAATGGTTCAATTTTGGCAGTAATCGAATTCAAGTCTTATGTATAATTATTTAATGAAAGCAGGAATTATGTGAAATACCAATTAAAATCAATTCGATCTAACTTAGATATGAGAGCAGTTTTATTGATCAATAGTATTATGTTTATACAGTTCCCATTGAATCACACTTTACGATTAAGTTCAATCTTGATAACAACGTCACATTAGGAGACTTGCAATTGACATTAAAATTACCAAAAAAATATGGAAGAGAATCGATATCTATTGTAGAGAAGGAAGGAAGCTATTAACTAATAAACAATAACACAATATTAAATGTTCCACCTTTCGAGGCTACAAAAAGCATAAATGTGGAGTCCATTCATTATATCCTAATAAACAGATGTGAAATTGGTAAGGTTATTAAGGATTTACAAAAACCATTTGGTAAATGGACTATACTAATCGGTAAATACTAATGCATGATGAAATTGAGGCTTCTGAAATATGATGCTTATATCCAAATTGGTTAGAATCAGTTTATTACATTTCTTTAGACTAATTAGTAATTTTTAGGAAATGTAATCAAAATTGAATTCCTAAAGCGCAACAACAACGATAATACATTAGAATATAATTATTTTTTTAATGAAGAATTAGTTTAATAAGAATATGTTGTTAAAAACACATTATTACAACCTAGTGCTGATAGTGATTGTTTACCATATGGATAAAGAATAAGCTTAGGATATTATTATACAAATTATAACGATTCAAATGAATTGATTAATATAGCTTATAATACCTTAGTAATTACAAATTGTATTATTTTAGTCTTATTGTCCAAGTGGATTTCTGCATATTTATGATAATGACAATGTAGATCAATTGGTATCACTCTCTGAAATTAGAACCTTGAATATGAGTTAGATTTATGAGAATACATCCTACAATTTCACATATGTGACTTATATAAATATTGTGTCTTTAAACTAGTCTATTCTACCAAAATTAGGTTAAATTTATAACTATCAGATTTATGGAGACTTAAATTAAGAGAGTTCGACATATTAATTTAAAGTACCTTTGAAAGAATCTGACAACTAAATACATAAGATAATATTCTTTGGAGATATGGATTCTAATTGGACTGGAAATAAATCAAAATAAACATTTGATTGGTTTTAATCCATCCAAAATAATTAGAGTGATTATGATGTACTCATATTTGAAGGAGATATGGCATATGATTTGGAATCCTTAGATTGTCAATAAGGTGATATGTGGTTGAGAAATATGACTACTTTTACATCATATTATCCATTGTTGCCAACTCCTGGAAATCATGATTCTGGTGATAATTATGAATTTGACTTCTATAGAGTCTCATTTTTATCTCCAGAAAAACCATTTAACACAAAGGAGAATTATTACAATTTTTACAGTGTTGATTTGGGATTAGTTCATTATATATTCTATAATCCAACAAATATTGTGTATGATGAATGCAATTAGACTGAAATTGATATGATGGTTTCTATTATGGAAAATGATCTGATAGAGGCAACAAAGAACAGAGATTAAATACCTTGGATTATTGTAAATAGTCATTATCCTATGTATTGCAGTGATGCAACTGATCCTATGTGTTCATAAAACTTTATTGCGCTCAATCCATTTGCAGAATTGTTCACCAAATATGGAGTTGCAATTTATATGTCTGCTCATTAACACAATTATGAGAGAGATGCTCCATTTATATACAATGAATCATAGATCAATACAGGTCTTATAACTGATGGTCCTGAACAACATTTAATTATGAATTCAGCAGCTCCAGTTTATATTATTGAAGGATCTGCAGGTTAAGAGTATTTTACACCACTCGTGCCTTGTAATTATTAATTATTTATTGTATATAGATCCAGCATAACCATACACAGTATATTAGACTGGTTATAATGATGGAGTAGGCATTCTATCTGTTTATAATGAGACTCATTTGTATTTTGAATAAATAGATCTTATTGAGAATAGAGTAGTGGATTATTTTTGGGTCGTACAATCAAGAGGACTTACTAGTGAGAAGACGTTCAATATCTTATTATGGGTCATACTGGCATTTGCAATGGTTTTGGTTATTGGCTTGGCTATATTTTATGTAATGAGAAGGTAAATGATAAAGGAGAAATTAATTAATTGATCCTTTGATATTATATTTAATGAATGTTTATCTTTAATGTTCCATTTTAATCTAGTGGGAAATGATTTATGGACTTAGAATATAATAAGTCTACAGATATTAATCAACATTAAGAAATTATTATTTTATATTTAATCATAATTCCACTTAATCGGTCAATTCAAATAGCATTAGTTTATAAACCCAGACCAGACTTTTCCCCTTGAGAAATTATCAAAATTACTATTTACAAAGGATAATCACTTTCCACATTTAAGTATATGTCCCATTATTTTGAAATGTTAATATCAATTCCTTTGGTAATCCAGACTAGTTTCTAATCAATGGCAATTATATGTTACCTTATTAAGGGAAAGACAAGAGTTATTCTTTAAATAAAATTTTGATTGTTATTAAATTAAGCATTTGTACTGAACATTCAGTTCTGTAAATCTAAAGATTATTTGATTTTTAATATATATATTAAGTTATGCCGACTCACAGCTGGATTTTCAAGGTTTATGTGATCATTAAATTTATATTTATTTACTCCTTGATAATATTAAATATTAATGGAAATCAGCAATAGAAAGGACATCGAGAAATTGATTGCCTATAGTAAAAGTATCCAAGTTGGTCTCATTGAAGATGTATTTATGTGAGTTATGTGAGGATTTCAATGACCAATACACTCCCCCTGAGAAACATGTCTATGATTTAGAACCTGTTCCTGAAATAAAATTAGAAGAACTTGAGACAAATCTAAACGAAGACGAGATGCTGAAATTATTAAAACAGAATGTTCAATCTGCAAAACTGAAAGAAAGTGTAAGCAGTGAACAGGATAGTGTAGAGAGTTAGGACTCTATGGAAAGGAGATCTACTCCTCCCAAAAGAAAATAATAATAATAATNAGATGCTCCATTTATATACAATGAATCATAGATCAATACAGGTCTTATAACTGATGGTCCTGAACAACATTTAATTATGAATTCAGCAGCTCCAGTTTATATTATTGAAGGATCTGCAGGTTAAGAGTATTTTACACCACTCGTGCCTTGTAATTATTAATTATTTATTGTATATAGATCCAGCATAACCATACACAGTATATTAGACTGGTTATAATGATGGAGTAGGCATTCTATCTGTTTATAATGAGACTCATTTGTATTTTGAATAAATAGATCTTATTGAGAATAGAGTAGTGGATTATTTTTGGGTCGTACAATCAAGAGGACTTACTAGTGAGAAGACGTTCAATATCTTATTATGGGTCATACTGGCATTTGCAATGGTTTTGGTTATTGGCTTGGCTATATTTTATGTAATGAGAAGGTAAATGATAAAGGAGAAATTAATTAATTGATCCTTTGATATTATATTTAATGAATGTTTATCTTTAATGTTCCATTTTAATCTAGTGGGAAATGATTTATGGACTTAGAATATAATAAGTCTACAGATATTAATCAACATTAAGAAATTATTATTTTATATTTAATCATAATTCCACTTAATCGGTCAATTCAAATAGCATTAGTTTATAAACCCAGACCAGACTTTTCCCCTTGAGAAATTATCAAAATTACTATTTACAAAGGATAATCACTTTCCACATTTAAGTATATGTCCCATTATTTTGAAATGTTAATATCAATTCCTTTGGTAATCCAGACTAGTTTCTAATCAATGGCAATTATATGTTACCTTATTAAGGGAAAGACAAGAGTTATTCTTTAAATAAAATTTTGATTGTTATTAAATTAAGCATTTGTACTGAACATTCAGTTCTGTAAATCTAAAGATTATTTGATTTTTAATATATATATTAAGTTATGCCGACTCACAGCTGGATTTTCAAGGTTTATGTGATCATTAAATTTATATTTATTTACTCCTTGATAATATTAAATATTAATGGAAATCAGCAATAGAAAGGACATCGAGAAATTGATTGCCTATAGTAAAAGTATCCAAGTTGGTCTCATTGAAGATGTATTTATGTGAGTTATGTGAGGATTTCAATGACCAATACACTCCCCCTGAGAAACATGTCTATGATTTAGAACCTGTTCCTGAAATAAAATTAGAAGAACTTGAGACAAATCTAAACGAAGACGAGATGCTGAAATTATTAAAACAGAATGTTCAATCTGCAAAACTGAAAGAAAGTGTAAGCAGTGAACAGGATAGTGTAGAGAGTTAGGACTCTATGGAAAGGAGATCTACTCCTCCCAAAAGAAAATAATAATAATAATAAGTTCAAATTCCTATCCAAGTCCCTGTTCAGAAGAGCCAAACCACTGTTGACATGTCAGAGTACAATAAAGTCCCTGAAGAAGTATTATAGTTTTTGGATGGAGCTAAAGGACGTAGATCCATGTTAGGTGCAGCCATAAAAAATAATAAGGGAACTAGTATGTTGTTGGCATCTCAAGGGAAGCCAATTAAAATTTACTTTTTTAATACTCAACAACATATTCAAATCAATGTTGCCAAAAATACAACAGTTCTATAAGTTATAAGAATGAGCATAACCGAATATTAGAATAACAATAATTTTGATTAGAAATTGCTTAGATATCCTAATAATGTTGATGCCTATGAAATCAGATTTGTTGATGATGATTTTGAATTTAAAGCAGAAATGGCATTTGGAGCGATTGATAAAAAAAAAGAAATCTTGTCCACCCAGACAAATATCTTCTCTCTTATTGAGATTAGCAATTACAAAGAACAAAAAAATGATATGTAAATCTTTGAAAAAATTAATCCCAATATGGTCTTGATGGACGTAGTGATTATTGACTAAAAGCCTGAAAAGAATGTCACTACAAAAGTGTAATTGGACAAGAATTCCATTGTTGCAGATATCCTCACATAAATTAGCAAGAAGAATAAATAAGTAAAATAGTAAATCACTAATTATAGATCAATCAATTAAACTATCTTATTCAATTAAATGATGATGACACTATTTTGGATCTTGATCTAAGAATGCCCGTTGCCTAATTATAGAATAAAAAAATTTAGATCAAATAGAAGACATGGGCAGATTAAGCAGAACAACAAACAGTTAATACTTAAAGAAGAGATACAATCACAGAGTAGGACGATTATGTAGATGCCCCATTGAATCATATCTAAGCATTTAAATATGAGAAGTTTACAGTGGTCAAAATTAATGAAAGAGGAAAAAGGTAGGACAGAATATTAGGTATAGATCAATTCAGAATTTATAATATGAACAAAAAGGAAAATCTAGGTATCATATTATATTTAAATATAATCTAGGGTTGTTTGAGAGGATGCTAACTAATAAAATCACAGGCACAAAATTTCCAGAGAGGTTAATAGAAGACATTGTGGACATTCGAATTGCTAATTAATTTTTATACATTACTTTTAGATAGGAGAGTATGCATTTTAAATAATAATTTTTAGATGACTTCAAAGAATTGAAATTTGATACATTAGATTCTAAAATTGCCTAAAAGATTTATAAAAAGATTAATTTTATTAGAGACTTTTAGATTACAACTTAAAAAGTTAGAACTTATAGTTAAAAATTAGATTGATATTTTTATATATATGATTTAAAAATATATTTAATTCTATTTATGCTGGCAGCATCATATTATATCAAATCACATAAGTCCAAATCCTTCACAATTTTACAAAGCTATTTATAGTTTCGTAATCATTTTCTCTATAGAATCATACTATGGCAATAAAAATACATTAAAACAAGTATGTGCTGAAGGCAATTACTCAGAATCTTATTTAATATAGATACAAACAATACTTTCTCCATGTTTTTAAATCAAAAATTTTAATGATTTCAATCCACCAACAGGTATCCTATCTGAACCAGTGCAGAAGAACAAAAAGCGTTTTTATTATTCCTCGTTTAAAGAACGTAGGAATCTCCAAAATTATCTAAATGCACTTATCATAATTTATACTTAATATATTCAGAATCCTAATCGAAACCATCATACTCTGTTGAGTCCTCCAGTTCTTGCAGATTAAAATGCTTTTATCCTACTATCAATTGCTATAATTCAGAGCCTGAGAATAATTTAATTCCATTCCCCTCTACAACTCTCCAAAATCCTTTCTTAAATGAGTTAAATGGAGTTTTGATTGACTCATTCAAATAATAATTGACGCATAATTTTATATATTCTTGCTTATTCTTTTGATTAACTAGGATTTAAGATCCATTAGGCTAAATGTATGTGAAATAGATTATACAAGCAATTCAACTACAATAATTTCATCCCAAACTGCTTCAGTAATAGTAAAATTGAGTGCAAATACTTCCTCAATATTGTCTTATGTGTATTCTGCGAGAGTGTTAAGTCCTTTATAAACTTCTAGATCCAATTCCTTTAAATCTTCAAAACTAGTTGGTTCATTCATCAATTTCGTAAATATGACTTATGGAAACTGGAGATCCAAATTCACTACTTATTGTTTATATATACCTTGATTATACAAAGCCAATCCTAAGATCATACCTATCAATTCATATTTGATTGGCATTTCCATATTATGTTTATTAAACCACAAAATGGAATTATTATTTTTGGGAACAAACATTCCAAAATTCAAATCGAATAACTTTTATGTCAATAACGAGAAGAACTCTCTTGCTAGTCCACCCTGATCTATGCCTTGTTCCCCCTAAAATACTACTTGAAGTTTGGCCTTTAAATTAATATCATCTCTTGATAGTGCTTCTAATGCACTTCTCACAACATCATTACGATCTATCTACAACTTTAAATAGGGTTATAATAACATTAATGAGCTCTCAAAATAGTGTTTTTAGTTCATTCTTGAATCAATTGCTAGGATTTCATTTTTGAATTCCAATGGTAAAACCCAGGGATATTAACAAAATGTAAAATAGTATCTTTCTAAATCATTTTTAATATAACTATCGAATTAGAAATATTCCAATTAATCGCCATATTTGGGATATAATTTAGCAATTTCTGTTATTTAGAATTTAGTTGGATTTAATCTTTTAACAATTATGTTAGATTTATAAAATACTTGTAAAAGTTCAAGCATCGATTGAACATATTAGATATCAGATTTTTTTAATAATTAAATTTATTTTGTAGATTCTTTTTTCAAAAACATTCCAACTATCTCTGTAATTGTCTGTATGTATCTAATAAAATATTCATCAGGCAAAATTGTTAGATAATTGGATAGTAGATTCTTATCTTCCGCCCTCATAGTCAAAAAGGCTTCTAAAATTCTATTCTGCTCTTAATGTAAAAGATGATTGAAGTATTTGAAATGCATAATTATTATAATTGATCTCACAAAGTAAATATTTTATTTTTGGTTTACAATCAGATTGTCCACCCATTAGCTAAGAATTTTGGCATTTATTACATTGTTCACCTATTAAATAACTTATAAATTTAATTCAGGATTTAGATTATTGTAATTAATCACATCATAACAATTATTAAAGTTAAGAATGAAGGAAGCCCCAAAACTATTTGGAAAATTAGATAATGCACTTAAAGCAACTACGATATCACTTTCAAATGATTAAATGGGGTTTTATTCTATAACTTAATTCCAACATACATTATTCCAATCTATCGTGTCCTCCTTAAATTATTGAATTAGAAATTGCTACAGAGTTTTCTTATCAAACCCAATTTATGAAAATATTGGATTACTTTTACAATAATCCTTATCACAAATGAATTTACCACAGCCTTTGTATGCTTTCTCATATAGATGTTTAAACTATTCAGAACAGGCAATCTAAATTAGGAGAATTCATACTTTCATCTCTAAAATATCATATTGCCATTTTCCATTTGTTTGAATATCAATTATTATTAGATCAGCTTTACAATCACCAACCTTAAGATTTTCATCCAAAATTTCTCCATTGAAACGTCCCTAATGTTCCTCCAACTGTTTAATTGCATAATCCCCCTAGAAGTACTTGTGTTTCCAAAGTCTTATCTTTTCGACGTTAATTTGGAATTCATTTTTCACTGCTGCACATAACAACTAAATCCAATTTTTAATGAGGCAAGTTTCATCCACTTAAAGAATTCCTCTTTTTGGGTTTTGAACATTAATGTAAACAGATTGCTGATTTAATTATTTTAAAATACTCTTAGTAAATTCACATTTGATGATTGGACACCTTGCTTATTAAAATGGACTAATCTTACTATTTTCAAATCTGCACCATATGCATTTTCCCAAAAATTAATCATTTCTTTATTGACCTGTCATAATAGGTATAAATAATCTACTAAAACATAATCTTCAGGCTGTAATTTGATTATTTTCTAATTAAAGGCATGATCCCTTGGATATTTTAATAGAAAATTCTCATTTGATATTAATTCGCTATTTAATGCTCCAGGCTAGTTAGTGAATACGCTTCATACTTAATCTCGATGTTAATTAGGAGCAATCCCTTCAATATACTCTACGTAGTATTTCCATTATCGAAGCCATTATTTTGAAACAACATACAATTCTTAACCTTAATTCTTTATTGCTTTCAAACTCTTAGATCACATCAATATTTACCCTTCTTGTCCTAGAATATAGTTCTATCTCTTTTAAAAAAGGATCATACTTGAGCACTACTTATGAAAGCATTTAATAAATATCTGTATAATTATATAATGAATATTAATTAAATAATATGTTCTCTCTCAACATCCTCTTATCTCTGTTTTCCTTCTCTTTATAATCATTCCAAATTCAAATTAATATTTTGTAAATTATCCAGAAAATCTATTATGTTATTAAGCCAGCTCTCTCTTAATCAAATTTTGATTTCTCTTTTGATATAAACTAATTATACAATTGTAACTGTTACAAATTTCAGTATTGATTTATCTAATTCGCATTTAAAGATAATATATTCTTAAATAACTCTTATTTTTTAGATTAAGCCAATATAAATTTTATTGGATGTATCAAATTATAATTATTCTTTTTGACCTCATCAGATTCCTTATTATTTCAAACTTTTAAATATACTCCTATGTTTACAATTTATATATATATTGTTTTATTTTCATATAAACATATTTATAATTACTATTAAGCTTCAATAATTTAAAATTTTTAATTTTTAATTTCATCTGTTAAATCATGACTTTTAGCTCTTTCGCAATAGTATCAATTATATTTATATTTTTATCATTCATTTTTAAATTAATTGGTTATTTATTGTGTTAATATTGATATTTCTTATTACTTTATACATCAAAATAGCGGTTATCATAATTAATTGTCATTATTGTTCAATTCATTTTGGAAACAATTATAATTTATTATAAATATAAAAAGATGTGTTATTGTAAAATTAAATAAAAAGAGCATTAACAAATATGAATTAATCAAAATCATCAATGAAATTTTCTGATTTTTTTTGAAATACCAGGTTCATTAATTCTTCTTTTGAATTATCTGAGAAGTTCCTGTTCCTCTTCTGACAATAAATTATCGTATGAATAATCAAAATCATTGTTCTAATCCATTGAATCATTATGTCTCAACAAGTTGATCAGATTTTTTATTGATTCTATTGATTCATACTGAGATAACTAATGGTCATAGAGTAGTTTCAACTCTAATTTTGATAATGTGTGATAAGCCTCGTTAATTCGATGAAACTGATCTAATGCAAACGCACGTTATTCTCTATTTTTATCCTAAAAATTAGAACAATTAAATACAGGATGCCATTTTAAGGCCAATTTATGATATGCTTTCTTTATTTAGTGTTACTTTGCATCTCTCTTAATTCCTAGGATGTCATAGTGATTGTCAATCATTATTTTTTTACTAATTTACTAAAGCTTCAAAATAATTATATAATATATAATAATTCGATTCTAGAATTTTCGAATTTAATTAATGAGATGCTGTAGAAATTTGAGTTCCACAAGAAACCAAAGTATGTTTCTCAATAGTCTGAATGCCACCTTATAAACTTATACTCATATATATATATAAAGAAGATAAAAACTCATTTTAGTGACTATTAATTGGATAACATTTCATCCTATGGTTCTTAAGATGAAGCATCGGTCTAATTTTTTACATTTAACTTTTAAACTATATATTCAATCAATAATGCCATAGTGACGTTAAGTGTGAACAACACTACGACAATATAAAAACTAATGAAAAATATGTAAACTAAATCAGTATTAAATATTTTGGCATAGTTATAAGATATTACATTCCAATTGTTTATTATCAATAAAAACCAGCATGTGCACATTCCAGATAAAAAATCATTGAAGTTAGCTAATTCATAATGAACTTGATTTTCATCAGAAAAGAAGATTCTTCCTCCAAAAAGTAATTGTCCGATGGCTGTAAACAACATAAACAAGATGAATAATGCACCAAATAATTACACTATATATTAAAAGGTGGATGTTATGGAAATTATCAAAACAGTAAAACTTTTATTCTTTAATAGCCATCGACATCCCCTCAATAATCTATAACATAATAAAATTAGTAAAATCTTCTGATCATGATATCCAAGCATGTTTAAGATAATTAAAAATAGTATCAAACTGGAGAAAATAAATTCAATAATTAAAGATTTTTTTCTCCAAATCCTTCTTTTACCAGTATAATATATCAATAAGAGGCATTCTCCAAACATTATTGAATTGCAAAATAGTAAAATATTTAATTTCACATAAGTAATCGTGAAAAATATCATTATAAATGATAATGAGGAAATGATTTCAATAAAAATCTCATAAAATCTATTATCTAAAATTTAGTAAATTGATCTTGATATAACATTATCTAATGAAGATATATCTGCTAATCGTGTTATATCTGAACCTGTCCTGGTACGAAAAAACTTCTAAGTTTTAAGACTAAATCTGTGATTATACTTTGATAAAATTTATTTAGTTTCTTTCTACATAAGATCTTTATAAGATGAATAAAAGAAGGCTAACACAAAATTTATGATCAATGTTGTGTTTATGAATTAGAATAATATAAAATATGCCACATAGCCCCTAGATTCACCGTAATATGGTAAGTAAATATCTGGAGAATTAACTGTAGTTTAAAGAACAAAAAGTATTATTACTATACATTGCTCTGGTTATGAAAATGGAGGTTGATCTATCTAACAAATTGTGCTTTCTGATGAAGCATTCTCCTTTTATTAAAAAATTGCTGAACCCAATCCAGCAAAAAATATTAACGAAAAAATCATCAAGTAATATATTTCCTTTCCCTTGTTTACTATTTAACAATAGTGAAATATAGTGGCGCGTAATGTTCGTCTAATTGGAGTATTATTTTATATACTTTTAAAGGACTATTAATATTGGTTTCATTAATAAACTGATATTAATTGGACTGTTATTTTCTAGTATCATCACTGTAACATCATTCACAATAATTAAAAAGGTTATAGCGAGTTAAACTATAGCTGCTCTCTTTTTACTCTCTGATCCAAGTATTGTTGCTTTGAATACCTTAGAATAATGATTTGCAATACTTTACTCAAACAAAGATATAAAACGATCAGTATTTCAACACAGTAGTATAAGCTTATTGGAAGATAAAAATTTACCATAGTTGGTAACTTTTAACCATTATAGATACTGCAATATTCCTAAAATAACATAGATTTTACTTAATAATCAACAAAATTGCACCAAGCTGGACGCTAAAAGACTGTAATTATTAAATATATATAAAAAAACACAGTTCTTATCATTTTTTGCTTTTTGTACTTTTACATTAATATAACAGATTAAGAGTTCTAATTGTAAGAGGCTCTATCTTTGAATAATTTTTAAGTAATACTTTCTAAATGATTGCTCAGTCTATTTAATGCATAGAATGAAGCAAAGTTATTAGAATCATTGTATTAATCAATATTTTGAAAATCCAACACTTTGCTATTACTAAAATATGAGTCTTTTGCCTCATCCAAATGCTTAGCATTTTCTTCAGACTATTATGCATTTTCAATTTTTAAATTCATAATAAAATTTATATGAATTAGCCAAAAAACAACATTGCAAAACCAAAAATATGAATAGACTAGATTAAATTTATATAAAGGAGATGAATAGTAAATCAATAAAATTCATTTAAAAAAGAACTCATAAACCTAGGATTATACAATAATTGTCATTATACTCTTACTCAACTTATTTTTATCAAGATTCCTTTTATTAATATTAAGTTAATTAATCATTCTAAGATATAATGCACTATCAAAATTAGCCAATAAGTAAGGCTTTTAATTATGAAATATATAGGAAATTTATTCTATACATGTATATATAAAATAAAACCAAATATCATACTTTTTACTTTTAAATCTTGCTTGTTAAAGCATCAAACTTCTCTGAAATGATTTTTTTAACTCTTTACATCCAAAATTGATATGGTTATTAATTTTTATTATAATGATAATATACCCCATACATTAGATGTAATGAAATACTTCTTACTGCCTTATTTGTTAGGAACAATGACAAATAGGATATTCCTAAATTTAAAGCTATAAAGAAAGCCACAGTGTGTTACTAAATATTTATGAATTTTTTACTATATTCTTTAAGGTTATTGCATCAATTAATTATGGCATAATATATTATCTTAACAAAGTCTCAGGTAGTTTGCTGAATGAAGTCAATTTTTACACATTTTTCATAAACACAGATTCTGCCTATTCCACTATAATATTGATTTTACTTTTTCTTTATCTTATAAAATCCATTATAAGGCATACTTGTATACCTAAACACCTATTGTGACCAAAAGGAGTAAATTGAAAATTTGATTTTGCAAACTTACATCACAGAAGTCATTGAACAATATGAGTACGTTTAATACTACATAAATTAGATGAATCAACATTGATATAAATATAATAAATTAATTAATTTTACTTCTTTTCATTTTTATATTAGAGTATTTAAGAAAAAAGAAAATATACTTATTACTCTTCATGCTTTTGAATTTCTAAATATACTTTTATTTTTAAATTGAATCTAAGACATATTTAGAATGAATTGATAATACAATCAATAATCTTATTTCTTCCAGAGAATTTTATCGATTACCATAGTATTTTAAATGAATGAGCTTTGATTGTTTATCTTTACCAATTATATTATCTAATTATAAAGTCTTTTTGACGTAAATCAATTAAGCATTATATCAATAATGAAATAAATTTACTTCTTGGTACTAATGAATTAGAGATTCAAAGAAAAGATTTTATTGATTCTATAGGAAAGAGATTTTAATATTTAATTCTGATATTTTTTTTTTCTCATTTATTATATTTATAGTAATGAATATTCCTAGTGAATTCAAATCCGTGACTGATTATGCTGTTATTTGTGGTAGACGTTGTCAATTATTTGAAAATTTTCTAAGAGGTAGAAAACTGAAGAATTTTGAAGATTGTTTATGTATGATCTATTATATTCTAGATAATTGTGCAGAACATGTAAAAGATAATATCTATAAATTGCAAATTGATAAATCGGATGAATGAGTATTACATAATTATAATGAAGACATTCATTTTTAATAGTATCTCCATCAATTCTTATTTATCATACATTTTGCTGCATTCTTGAAATTGATTTATTGTATTTTATATTTTTGTCTTGTTTTCTTTTTTTAACAATTATTCTTCTTACTATTTATTGATTTCTTCAATTGATTCTGCCTTCTATTAAGTTTATTCTTAAATTTTAGTTGTTGATCTTATTGCTACTTTTCATTTATTTCAAAAACAGTCACTGTTTTATTTTTCATTTTGATTTCAAGCAAATTAATATGCATATCAGAATTTAAATGGTCTAGCCATGACAAACCATCAGAAGCTAAGTCATCACATAATTTACAATAAAATCCACCTAAATCCTTCTTCAATCCTTCATTCATATATCCCTTTTTTACCAAATTGTTCATCAAAACCTAAAAAATCAGCATTAATTTATTATTATTTCGTATATTTGGGATTGTTCTTGCCCATTTCCCCAACTTCAACAGCTTACTAATTAATCATGCAAAATCAATTTAGTAGAGGATTTATATTGAATATCCTATTTCTATTTCTTATCTTCACTAAAAGATTTAGACTCCACCTCTGTTACCATTTGGAATATTTTTGTCAGTCATCAAACTATTTAATATAAATTATAATCAACATAATTCTAGAAAAATATATTATTATAATTCGATTGCTTTGAGCTTTTCAGAATCATAAAGATATTTCCTTTTATTCCCAAAAGTATCTAGTATTTCTTACAATAAACTAGTGTTAATTTGAGTCTGTAAGTACTGCATTGAATTTAAACTCAATTTGAATTCAGATTTTCTTGCGAGCAAATATCTATTTTGTTCAATAGATCTGATTTACATTCATCTAAATGTACAATTTTGATCTTCATTCATTTTTCAATACTTATTATACAACTTTTACTATAGTTTAAATATTTTCACAACTTGTTTATTATATTGCTCTTTTCATAATTGAATTCTCATTAAGATTACAATTGTTTATCAAATTACTCAAAATAATGATTTTTATTTCATTAATTTAATAATGTAAACTTTATTGTAGTAAAATTTATCGAAAGTTCTATAAACAATAGTTAAGGCATCAGAAACAACTAATAAACAAGTTACTTTAGTTGCCGTATCTAAAACAAAACCAGTGGAATTAATTAAAGAGGCATATGAAGGAGGACAGAAACATTTCGGAGAAAATTACGTAAATGAGGTAATTGAAAAAGCCCCATTGTTGCCTAATGATATTTCTTGGCATTTTATTGGTCATCTTTAAACCAATAAAGTTTCGACTCTGATGAAGATTTAAAATCTTGAATTCATTCAATCTGTAGATAGTCTTAAATTGGCTTAAAAAATAGAAAAACATTGTGAAAAGCTTGGAAGAAATATAAATGTCTTTGTCTAGATTAAACTAAGTGAAGAAGAAAGTAAGACTGGAGCAGAAATTGATGAAGCCAAGTTAATAATTTAGGAGATAATTACTAAGTTTAAATTCATCAAATTAATTGGTTTAATGACAATAGGACCCATAGGTAATAAGGAGATTTTTGAACAATTGGTGGATTTGGCAAAAAAATTTGAGAATGAATTTAATCTGTAACCATTAAAATTGAGTATGGGAATGAGTGGAGACTATTTAGATGCTATTAAATATGGAGCTGACTATGTAAGAGTAGGAAGTGCAATTTTTGGAGAAAGAAATGTCCAATAATGAAGTATATTTTCATATTGAATAATACCACATTTATAAATAATAAATTTATTATGATTATTATTATGATTATTATTATTATTATTATTATTAT